TTGATACGGCATCGATGCAAATGCCCCGAGATTCCATTAATCATCCATGTACCATAGTACGTAGGTAGCTCTGTACCTGCATCCACCTATACAGGTACCTACCTACCTACATAGGTATACGTACCTATCCAAGGTACCTGTAACCTTGTGCCTGGTCTGGTGCGGATAGGCGGGTAGGTTATTCGATTGCTGATGAAGGCACAGCTGCACTGTGCTTTTGTTATCTGCTTTGCCGGAGACGGGACTAACCTCCGCGGGAAGCCTATTCTTACATATAGTAGGTTGTACATATATGTCTGGCTTGATAGGTAGGGATTGGGGATTGGTTCGGATCCGTCCTGTTGTCTGGGATATCGAGATGGGTTGAGTCACCGGGCAATGACAAATCTCGATTAGGTAAGAGTATAGGATATAGGATATAGGATATAGAAAATAGGATATACTTTACCATAGTACTGATGCGCCCTTCGTAGTGTGATTATTCAAATATCTTGAAACAAGTGGAGAATCAAGAGCATGCGAGCACTTATGATTACATTGTACGAATGCCTTTTAAGACGGGTCGGGAGAGGCCGAGTGATAATGATGACTCTGGATTACTATCGTTTCCTAACCGAGTATGGTGAACCACGTTTTGCAGATGCCACAAGTCTCGAAAAAGAATGTCCCCTGTCGTCCGAACCGAGAAGGGCCGTTGTGGAATACTAAATCTGGGTACCTTACATACATGAACGAACGCACTTACAAGGTATGAAGCGTGCGGATGGTGTAATGTATGATGTATAATGTATAATGACATATGTAATACCACGCGGAGCAATTTTCAATAATGGAATCACCAGTTAAGGGTATTGGAGGGAGTAAGAATGCTACGTCGCTATTAGGGGGACCTCGCGTGATAGCAGGCCTAGTACTTTGGCCTTACCATAGATGATTACCGCATTGATTGGTTAAGATGCATGGAGAACCGAATAGCAAAAAAAAACTCAGATGATATAATTATTCGTCAGAAACACCAATAGGCAGTAAGCTCCCTTGCAGCGTCCCTCAGATACGGGGAACGAGATGGGAGGTCCATTGGTCTCATTGGCCGCATTGGGAGAAAGTCCAAAAAAAAAAAACAAGGGTTAAGGGTCTTAAAATTTAGATACAAAAATACAAGGTACCACACACCCTTTCAGCCCTATCGCTGACTTCAGATTCCAAAAGCGGATTAGGCTGGCCCCCAAAATAGAAGACCCGTATCATTGATGCCTTCCATGCATTTTTGTAAAGATTCTTTGCGCCTTCTCTGCAGGACCCCCGATACCAACAGCTTGGTGACATGTTGTAACCTACTGCAGTGCGCGGCCAAAAACTACATTGCGACCCTGCAACCCTGCAACCTTGCAACCTTTGCAACCTTTTGAACCTTTACCCTCTATTTCAGCACCACATGCACGCATCTACACTAAGCGTCATGTCGCCAAATCTAGAAATGGGACCCTTGTTTCATGAAACAAAAAAAGATGGCTTAAAGTGGTTCTTCAAGCATGTCATACCTACCTACATATGTAGTGTACCTACTTTAATGTACCATGTACCCGTTGGCTTACGCTACGAACTTTTCTGACAAGGCTCTCGTACCTTTCCCTTTCCCACACCCCCAAAATTCCACCACACGCCTTAGGATTCGCTGGGTCTGAACGGGATCCTCCCATGACTATCATCGAGGCTCAAGCATACCTAGGGTAGGCAGTAGATATTTCCGCAGCAGCAGCAGCACACCGGCAGTCTGGGTTTCTCAGCCTGGGGGGCCCCCTGCTCTTACCAACATGGTCCGGTCAGCTAGGAAACGCGCACCAGGTACTCTGATAATGACGGGCTGTGTTTCGTATACTTCAGATATATAAGATGTTGAACTCCCTGGTTTTGAGGCATCTTCATTCCTCATCACAACAGCAATAACTACAAGAACAATAACAAGAGCAAGAATAATATAAATCCTCATCCCTCAACAGATATATCACTAAACAACACTAGCTCCTGCTTCACATACAAATACCACAGCTTTCCTTAACTGTCGCTTTCATTACTGTACTCATCCATATTTCATCTATCTATATATACCAAACCTTACACAATAGCAATGGCTGCCTTCACCTTCACCACTGTCTCTGGCACTGCCAACTTCGGCCGAAGCGGCTACAACAAGGATGGTGACTCTGAGGACGACAAGCGAAACTTCGGACGCAGTGGCTACAACAAAGACGGCGACGACGATGATAAGAAGAACTTCGGACGAAGTGGCTACAACAAGGATGGTGACGAGGAAGACAGCCGGCTCAGCAACTTCGGCCGGAGCGGCTACAACTAAAGGGTCCAAACACTATGGACACTCACTTCTCTTCCATTCCATCCCGGCCACCTGCCGACTTTAATATCTCCTCTTCTCGCCACGGCCGGTCCAGCCCAGCAGCGCTCGACTGGGCCGTCCTTGTATTACCACTCGATTCTCATTGTTTCTGTACCAACGACAGCATTTAGAGAGCATTATTCGGCATTGATATCATTATACTATTAGGACTGGACGATACCACGAAAAAAGATTCATACCATAGAAACATAGACGCGCAAGCAACACCTGTACTATTATAGCATGAGATAGGATTTGGGATAGACATCGGACGATTTAGGAAAAACGCATTGCATGAGAATTGGGGGCATGGAACGGCGCAAATAGGGTATTACTCTTCATCTGTATATTGGTTATTTTGAGAATTCAATCACTTTCCTACACAGAACCTGTCTCAAATATCAGTTGGATCCTCCAGTGTAGTAATGTGCCGGAACTTACTTTTCGAAGATTACGCCTAGGATTTCCTCCACATCGCCTACATCTCCGCGGCCCGTGATCCGTCCCAGGTAATTTGCGGCGTAGCGAAGATGTTCAGCTGCCATGGTAATATCAGCGTCTTCGCCTCCATCGAGCTCGTCGTGGGGGCCCCTTTCACCCGTCAAGTCGGTATATCCCACGGCTTCAAGGTAATTCTCTAGATGTCGTCTACATTTCACAAGAAGCTGTCGCTGACGCTCGGTAACGCCATGGAGGTCTTGTAAAGTTGCGGGAAGCGATGTCATTGTAGTAAACGATGTAACCAACGCATCTACGACCCCCCGGAGCCCCCCTGAGTCGATCTGGTCAGAACCTAGATCTTGCGCCTCCTTGCAAGAAATGGGTATCGGCCGAATTCCCTCAAGCCCATTGACTTTGCCAAGCACATCCTCAGCGAACCGCCGAAGAAGGACACGTAATCTCTCGTCAGGAACGGTATCTCGCTTGTTAACAATTATTAACCGTTCCTTACTATCTGCTGCGAGTTTCAGAGTCTCCATATCGAAGCGAATCTGGGGTATTCCAAGCGTATCCGTTTCGATAGAGGTTAGTACGATGATGACATCAGATTGCGTGGCTTTGACCCTTGCCCTGCGTATTCCCTCTTTTTCAACTACCCCTATAATATCTATGGAATCACGAGAACCCGTCGGATCCAGTGGAGTCGAGCTTCTGAATCCTGCGGTATCCGCAAATGTACACAAATACCCACGAATGTCGAGATTGGCTTCGATGATGTCCCGAGTAGTGCCAGACTCGCCGGATACGATAGACGCCTCCCTACCGACGATCTGATTCATAAACGAGCTTTTACCAACATTCGGTGGACCCACAAGCGCGATTTTGATCCCGTTCCGAAGAAGTTCGCTTCGCTCGCTCGCTCCTTCATGGACGTGTATGCTCTGAAGGATCTGCCTAACCTGTTTCGTCACATTGACGACCAGGGAAGCGGGCGACTCGTCGAAATGCTGATCTTCAGAGAAGTCGATAAGAGCCTCCATCTCGGCCCGAGCATGTAAAAGATTCTGACGCCAGTCTTCGTATGTTCGACCCAACGAGCCACTGCTGCCGCGAACCGCCGCGCGCCGCTGCTGTTCTGTTTCAGCAGCGAGGGTCTCGCTTAGAGCCTCGACCTGGGCTAAATCAAGCCGGTCATTGAGAAAAGCTCGCTTAGTGAATTCACCGGGCTCGGCGTAACGGATTGGGCCTTCTGCGGCACATTTAGGAATCGCTGCGAGAACAGCTTTCACGGTTGCACTGCCTCCATGCACATGCAGTTCTAGGACATCATCGCCAGTGACTGTTTTGGGATTCGGGAAAAAGAGTACTAATGCTTCCGAATCGAGAATTTCTGATTCGCTCGAATCCGGATGATACAGTGACCTGATGGTGGCATGGCGAGGTTTTAAGAAGGGTTTGCTTGGGCAGAGTCCGTGGTAAATCTTATAATCCATCAGCTATGGTCGTTGGTTGGAAGCGAATAAATCCTACAGATCTGCACGCGGGGCCCGATATCCGGATCACCGCGATCCCAGCCTTGCCTTCGGCTGTTGATAACGCGTATATTGTATCATCGCGCAGCTGAAAAGAAGAGTAACGCTGAACGAATTGACCATTGCCAATCAGATTGCTATGGTTAAAACTTAAAGGAGTCGCCGAAGATATGAGAGACTGTCGAGTCAGATGAAGGGATCTGAACTGTATGGTATTTTGAGGCCACCTCAAACAGGTGAACACGCACCTCTTAGCAGCGCGATACATGAGCTATACTCTGCCTAAAACCCCAATAAGGAGTTTTAATTATATGGTTAAACCCATATGAGGGTGATGGATATATCGGAAGGCTGGATCTAATAATCGGAAATATTGATCATTCAATTCAAAAATGCATGTTTCAAGAATGATGCACAAATATTTCGAGTATTCAGATGCGTTAACTAGCACTAAGGTTAAAGATTAAAGATTTGAAGGTACACAGGTACCTAGTACGTCAAAAGGGCCAGTGCGCGAGTAGAGTATCCATTATGTGTCTTATGATTGGTTGAAGATATGTACCAGTGGTTAGCTAGTCCTGTTACCGCCTTTCTTAGCTCAAGTCCAAGACCCCCACCCGCAACGGCAGAACTTTTTTTTTTTCCTTTTCGGAAGTTCTCAAGCGCAAGAGTTTAGTTGAAGCTGTTTGCCACTTTACTAGAACACCACTTCTTACCCTCTACTTGCCCGATTACCTTGATTATATTTAATAGTCAGGCATAATGTCGGACGAAATTATTTGGCAGGTCATCGACAAGCAGTTTTGTAGCTTCAAACTAAAGTGAGACTCATATTTTCGATCGTCGACCACAAGTGCTAACTTATTACTAGAACTACAAAAGAGAAGACTTTCTGCCGAAATGAGTAAGAATAAGGGCTCCAGTTGCCTAGTATTTCGTTTCTAACATAATCATAGGTATAATGTGACAGGTCTTTGCAATAGACAGTCATGTCCTCTCGCCAATTCTCGTTATGCCACTGTGCGGGCGCACCCAACTAAGGGCACCTTGTACCTATATATGAAGACTATTGTTAGTGCCTCTATGCACTTTATTGTTGCCTGCTTGTTGACCAGACGTAGGAACGAGCCCACATGCCAGCAAAACTATGGCAGAGGATCAAGCTGTCACAGAATTATGCCACCGCCCTGAAGCAGATCGATGAACAACTCATCTACTGGCCCAAATTCCTGGTACACAAAGCGAAACAGCGAATCACTAGGCTTACGCAAGTGGCGATACGGATGAGAAGGCTGGCTAAGGAAGAGGCACGATTGGGCGAGAAAGTCGTACCTAAGATGGCACCTAAGATCAGGCGCCGAGAAGAAACAAGAGAACGTAAGGCAGAGGCAGCCGCTAAGTTAGAACGAACAATCGAACGGGAGCTTATGCAGAGGCTGCGCACGGGTGCATACGGCGATCAGCCACTCAACGTCAGCGAGACGATCTGGAAGAAGGTCCTTAATGCTATGGAGCGCGAGGGCGAAGGAAAAAGGGACAAAGATCTCGATAGGGGTATTGAAGATGAGGAAGAAGAAGAGGAAGAAAACGAAGTTGAATACGAGGAAGAAGACGACGAGCCCGACGGAGCAGTCGAATATGTCAGTGACTTCGAAGAGAGCGATGACGACCTTGAAGATATCGAGGATTGGCTAGGGAGCGACGAGTCCGACAAGGAAGAGGAGTCACAAAGCGAAGATAGCGAGGAGGAATCAACCAAGAAGGCTGTTGGCGACAAGAGGAAGAGAGCACGTGTTATCAGCTCGAAGCCGAAGAAGGCGGCTCGACGAGGAAAGGAGATTGAGCACGAGCATGAGTTCGAGCGGCATAGAGAGGAACTTGCTTTCTAGAAGACACTACTATGATCGGAATTCAAGCTCTAGCATCTTATATTACGTTAAATGTCTCGATACCCTTTTTGATACCTACGGGTATCCTTATAAATATAAAGGCGCAATTGTCTCTTTCCCGCGCATGGTATTGGCTAAAATTAAGGATGGTTAAAAATGCAGGCGGCTAACTAATGATATGTTACTACCTATGCGCAAGACATCTTATTTGTCAATTGATGTTCCGAGGCGCTGGTGAACAAACAAATCATCATTGCACTTAAGCGTACATTTATTTAAGGCTGTGGTTCAGGGGCGTACCTGTTAGCTTGGCGGGGTATTTATCGTAGGTATTTATCCACTCCATTTTCTTGTTACATCAATAGCGCTATCCACCAGTCTGGTCGGCATTGACGTTAATCATTCATTCTCACCGATCCAATTCTTTTTGAAACGGATTCCTGAACACCCTTTTCTTTCTTTCTCCATATCGACCACGAAGTCATATTTAAGCTTTGCTCGTCCTGTATTTAAAATCAACTCTACAAAAATTCCAACACGTGTCGATACAATTCCATACAATTTGTAATTTAGTCAAACTCTCCACAAGAATCAGACGAACATACCCGCTTAGACGCATTTATCCAAGAACTAAACCCCCTTAGCTCATCTAGGACCACAAGACAAGATGTCGGCCTGGTATAGCAACCTTGTCGGTGCGACAACTTCGAAAATCTCCAATCTTCAACGAACGTTCCTTAGCAGCGAAGCCGACGGCGATACTGAGGACGACACACACGTGTGCAGAGTCCTCCGATCTTACTACACCGAGAAAGGCAAGCCGTTTCCTTCATGGCTACCACCCGACCCTAAAGCGCCTCCTCCAGTTGCTGCAGTATACGCGCAGCCGTCGCAAGTCGGTTCGAGATACGGTGGTCTTACTCAGCAACCCCAAGGTGGCTTAAGTTCGCTTTGGGACAACAATCCAGTATCGCAACCGCAAGATGCACAAAGTCTAAGGAGAGGCAGGGGCGCGCCGCCTAGTATACGAAACAACGACCCTAGGAACAGCCCGTTCCGTAATTCGGACCCTATGGCCGGACGGGAAGAGGTATCTGCAAGACCGTTGCCTAGCCAAAGAGCCGGAAGCTACCAGACTGCCGGGACAGCACCGCCCACCACTTCGTCTGGTGGCTCTGCACAGGATAGGCTGAAACAGCGATTGTTCGGTGGCTCGAGGACAACAAGTCCTGCAGGAACTGGACCCTTTCAACCTCCACCGCAGAACAACTCTAGAGGCAACAACAACAACTACGGAAGTGGAGATTACGAAGATAGGTTTGCACCTGGGGGTATGTACGATGGAGGTTCTAGGGGAGGTGGTCCTCCATATGACTCGGGATCGGGAAGTGGAGGCAGACCCGGGGGCAGGCGGCTAGGAGGCCTACCGAGCGGGCCTAAGATGAGATGAGGCTGTTGACAGATCGACGGAACTGTATGTAAGACGCTTCCGTTTGGTTGCGCTGTCCTGGGATCTTGAAATTTGGAATTAGGAATCGAGACAGGGGATGGGGATGAGGCTATATCGGACGCCAAGCTGCGGGAGGCAGGGCGCGGATCCTGATATGATCACGGCGCTCTGTGACTACTTATAACTGCGCCTCAGTCTCCTCGGACTATGTCCACCTTATCTGTCTGATTTATGGCGAGCTAGTAAATACCCACGAAGTTGAAATTGTTATGTTATGGAAAGGGATAGAAGAGATCCTAGATCGCATCGGCTGTTGGTTACTACATCAAGACTAAATCTGCGAGGAAGGATGAGAGCGGCACAGAAACATTTGGATTATAGAAGTGTTACGATTTTGCCTCCTAGTTTAGGTAGCGAAGAGATAATAATGTTGTTGCCTACTCGGACACATCTCCACCTTTCTTCGTATTGCGTGTTCGATACGTAGATCCTAGGCTAGATGATTTGGTTTCGTTCTTGTCCCCCCACGCCTTATTCATATCATGTTTATTTTCGTCATATTATACAGCGTGTATCCAATATTAGGAATTTGTTGACTTAGCTATTTTTGTTGCGAGTGCGAAGTGCGTAATAACTGTAGGTAGGTGGTTCAGTTACAAGGTATATATGGTAGTGATAACGCATGTCACGAGTGTGATTCGTCACGCAGACTTTCGTGGCCTGCAGATGGAATTTAAATGCATTGAGATGACTGGACAATTATACGCTAATGCGGCAGGTTCTTAGTACTAAATCTTAGCCTTCTTTTAGCGGTGATTTGACGTATCGATACTAGCAAATAACGTTTGGGGGCGCAATGGAGGGCCCCTCTATGATCAACTGTCGATTGGCGCGTGGCGGGGCACAACGAAGCACCTGCTTGTCTTATTCAAGAACTTCCCCCAAGCTCAAATCACTTTTTGCTTACATGTTGTTCCATCACAAAATTAGCCCTACAGGATTACAGAACAAGAAATCTCAACAGCCAGGGATCTGGATCCAGATATCCTTACTAACTTGAGATACATCTTCTTGTTAATCTACAACATCCAGCTTATCCGAGCTGGATAGGACTACACCCCGCGATGACATCAGCTCCCCTGCCGGGTAGAGCCAGCTCGCCTACAGGCAGCTTCTACGCCATGAGCGACGACGAAGAGGGCGAGTATGATACAATCACCCACACCGAGACCGGAAAGGGTGTCAAACTCCTATTTTCTAAGAGCAAAGTTTATGTTCACCCTACTCCATCGTCAAAGGATAACATCCCCGGCTACATAGCACTATTACAGCAAAAAGGACCCCATGGCGAACGACCAACATCTTCCTCCTCCAACGCATCCAACTCGCTGGCATCGGCAGACCTTTTACTTGCTTGGTTACCGGAGTCGTCTCTTGGCGATGCCGCCAGCATATACGTGAAAGTAGATCTGACTGATGCCGAATCCCCGCCGAGGCAAAGCTATCTTGTACCACCACCCCCCACTGTAACCACCCACAAAGGATCAATCGGTTATTACGCTTTCGCTATACCTGTTAGTGCAATATACTCTCTACTGGTGAGGCCACCTAGCTTGGGGTGGTGGTTCGGGTCTTTGGTGATCAACACCAGGGCTGGGGATAGCTTCCCAGCATTATTCTTTCACGACAGCGAATGCCAGTCAACTATACTCCAGAAGAAGAAACGGGTTAGGGATAGCTTTGACCCTTTTGGTGAAAATGGCCAGATGTTTTGGGGAGGCGATGAGGTCCTCCGTTGGTTAAAACGCTACGTCCGGATAGAAAGGAGTGGGGCCGAGCCGAACATCTACTTGGTAGAGCCTACTAAAGAAGATAGCGAGGCTTTCGGTGGAAAGTTAACGTCTAGTACCCCTTCGCAGATTGGCAGGCATGACAGTTCTCAAGGCATATCCTCGCGCAGTCGTGCCGGGCCTTCACGAGCGGGCGCTGTTGATCAGAATGACGCGGGAATGGACCCTGTCATGAAGTTTGTGAAGGAGACTGGATGGAATCTCCTAGAAAAATTCAGCAAAGTCACAACGTTCACGCGCAGAACCGCTCTGGATATAATTGACAATCCAAAAATACCACCTCAGGTGCGGAGATTAATGAGAAATCCCGAAGTTCAAACGTTACAAGACGAATTTGATAGCGCAAGGATATACTTAGCCCGATGGGCGATGGGAATAGCTGAGCAGAGCGAAAGGGACCGGAGCCAGAGGATATGGACCGCTCGCGATGTCTTAGAATTAGAAGATACTGACGTCGGGGAATTCGAGTTGCTTGAAACAAGTACCTTATCTCTGGAGGAGCGAAGGAAACCAGTGACTATTAAGGAGTGGAACAGTTTCTTTGATCCTCGAACCGGACGTCTTGCTGTCACTATTGATGAGGTTAAGGAGCGAATCTTCCATGGTGGTCTCGATCCGGAGGATGGAGTTCGCAAGGAAGCCTGGCTATTCCTGCTTGGTGTGCATGATTGGTACAGCACAAGTGAGGAACGGAAAGCGGAAATCGCGTCTTTGAGAGACGAATATGTAAAACTAAAAGCTGCCTGGTGGGAAAGGCTAGTAGACCTTGGCGGCGAAGGAGATGATGGTGAATGGTGGCGAGAGCAGAGGGGTAGAATCGGTAAGTTTTACTATTTGTATGCACAATATATTTATACTAACTATTTGACACAGAAAAGGACGTACATCGGACTGACCGCACAGTCCCAATATTCGCAGGAGAAGATCTTCCTCATCCTGACCCCGACTCCCCATTTGCTGAGGCTGGCACCAACGTCCATATGGAACAGATGAAGGATATGCTACTCACCTATAACGAGTATAATAGGGATCTTGGTTACGTCCAGGGAATGTCTGACCTACTTGCTCCGATATATGCCGTTATGCAGGACGACGCCGTTGCTTTCTGGGGGTTTCAGCATTTCATGGAGCGAATGGAACGGAATTTCCTACGAGATCAATCTGGCATGAGAAATCAGCTACTCACGCTCGACCATCTAGTACAGTTCATGGATCCAAAACTCTATGCTCACCTCCAGTCGGCCGACAGCACCAACTTTTTCTTCTTCTTCCGCATGCTATTAGTCTGGTATAAACGCGAGTTCAAGTGGATGGACGTCTTGCACCTATGGGAAGTGCTCTGGACAGACTACTTGAGCAGTAGCTTCCACTTATTCGTGGCTCTTGCTATTCTAGAGAAGCACCGAGATGTGATAATGATTCACCTTAAACATTTTGACGAGGTGCTTAAATATGGTAAGCTCCGCAACACTCTTTTCAACTTAAATTATTGCTAATGCTTTCGTATTAGTCAACGAATTATCGAATACGATAGACCTTGAGTCTACGTTGATCCGAGCAGAGGCTTTGTTCCGCCGCTTCCAGCGGCTGATTGAAGCCATAGATAAGAAGCAAAACTTTCCAACACCAAGGGTACAGCAAGATTCGTCGTCAAATTCTGCATCCACTTCGCCCAAACAGCCGAGTAACAAGAACGGAAAGGCCACAGAAGAACAGCCGAAAAAGACGATTACTCCTGAGCTGCGGAAGCTACTGAGTAAGAATATAGAAGTACTTCCACGGAAGGTCGTGCAAAAGAAAGGCGACAGTATTACTACCGATGGCGCCTAGGAGGTAGTCTATTAGGTGGTTGCTTCAACTTGGCTTTGGACTTGAGCTTTTTATGCTTGGTGTATTTGTATGTTAGGGGATACGGAATACGGAACGGGAGGCATAATGAGGCGGATTGTACTTAATTTTAAGGGTTTGGCGTTGAGGTCTATGGCTTATATAGTATCGGTAGGAAGGGACACAATACTACCTGAAGCAGCGCTTTCGACACCCTTCACTCTAGCGCTAACAAGGGAAATTTAACAATGGAGGTAGAAAAAGTTAGGAAACAATTTAAATTCACACACGACATTGTCTGGAAATGCCGGCAAAATAGAGCTGACGATATGCTTGAAATATCTTGATAACAATGCCCTGAAAGATGACAACCTATGCAAACCTAGTAGTCCTTTCCTTCACTCCGTTGAATTCGCACGATACGCCTATATTACAGCAATGCAAACTGCCCCTTTGCTCTCTCTCTCTTTCTCTCTCCTTTCTCTCGCATGTCGTCTTGCGTCATGCTCAGCCTCCTCATTACTACTTCAGCATATTAAAACTCCTGCTCCTCTTGGAAGAACATGCCGAATGAGATAATAGTCCCGTAGATCAATAGTCCGCCGATAATAGACATTACCATCGCCGGGATACCGATTAGAGCGGAGTGCGCGAGGACGGCGGGGAGAGCTGGGAGGGGAAGGATATGTCAGTTATAGTCTTCTTCTTATCGGGTATATATATATATATGCCAGGGTATACGAAGTAGTGACAGGTTTTGAGTTCCGCTCCGCGCACGCGCGTGCGTAATACGCGCAACCATATCCTAAGCACAGAAGAGAACAAGAGGGTAGAATTTATAGAAAGCCTAGCTAGAGGTTAATCTTACCTATCCCCATCACAACCAAAAAGCCGGTGAAGAAGCGGCCGAGGTCCAAGACGCCATTGCCGGTGCTCTCGACGAAGTCGTCCGGGTTGGCGCAGCGCGCAGCAATCCAGTTGGGTATGGGAGCCAGCACGTAGGTGGCAACGACCAGCAGCGGATAGTAGACCTTGTATAGCGCGCAGGACAGGATGACTAGCAGGAAGCCGATGGCGAGCACGAAGGACAGCGCGATGATGGTCTTGAGCCCTGCGGTCGGCATCGTGGGTGGGCGGATGGGAGCGCGGATAGTTATAGTTATAGTTACGGCTACGGTGCTACGGCTACGGCGGCGGCGGCGGTGGGAAAAGGGGGGGAGGCGTACTCCTAGAGCGGCGGATGGTGGTTTCTATCGAGTTTCGAGATTCGGTGGTGATTCGTATGGATTGCTGGGTAGAGAAAGGGGAAGAGGCGCCGTGTTAGTCGGTAAGTTGTAATGGTTGGGACTTGCGATGGTGTTGCAGGATGTTGTCGTCAGACTCAGCCTTGGCTTGGCTCGGCTTGCCTACCGCTAAAGTTTCCCGGGATTTTGGGGTCTGAGAGCTTAAGCCACTTTAGAGTCCCCCCGTAAATCAAATATGTGTGGCTGAAATACGCCGTATTATTCAAGTCCTTCGTACCTAAGTACTATGTACATATCCATGTGCGGGTAGTGTTACCTAAGCCTCTGGAGCTAGGGCACCAGTACTAGACCCAAAAGAGACGAACGACGAAGCTCTTGAGCTGCCTTGCGGTTGCTGAACGTTCAAGTCTGTAATTCGGGTAGCTCCAGCCTTGCATTTCCGACTCGAATATCCAACTCGAATATCCAACCTGCGAATACCTTCCCAACGCATATACACCACTATCTACCTCCGCACGCCCAATACTAATTACTATCTGAACTACGACATACCGACATAATGTTCAGAAACAACTACGATAACGATTCCGTCACATTGTAAGCTCCTAATTACGCTGCAAACAACCCTTGTCAATCTGCACTTCACTAACAACTACGTTCAGCTCCCCGCAAGGGAGAATATTCCAGGTCGAATATGCCGCCGAGGCCGTCAAGCAAGGTTCAGTGGTGGTGGGTTTAGTTAGCAAGACACATGCAGTTCTAGTCGCTATCAAGGTACGAACATCACAAGAAAAAGCCTACCCAGATCCAATCCAAAGCTCCAAGAGCTAACAACTCCACCCACAGCGAAATGCAGAGGAACTCTCGTCGTACCAGAAGAAACTGTTCGCCGTAGACGAGCATGTCGGCCTAGCCATCGCCGGTCTGACCTCAGACGCCCGTGTCCTCTCCAACTTCATGAAGCAGCAGTGCCTGTCGCAGCGGCTAACCTACGACCGCGCGATGCCCCTCGAGACCCTCGTCTCGCTCATCGGCGACAAGGCACAGCTCAACACCCAGCACTACGGCAAGCGGCCATACGGCGTCGGCCTGCTGGTGGCGGGCGTGGACGAGGCCGGACCCCACCTATTTGAGTTCCAGCCCAGCGGTATGACCCAGGAGATGCTGGCGTGCGCTATCGGAGCCCGCTCCCAGATGGCACGTACCTATCTCGAGAAGAATCTAGATAGTTTCGCGGCGTGCGGCCGGGAGGAGCTTATCCTCCACGGACTGCGCGCTCTAAAGGAGACGCTAGTCCAGGACCGCGCGCTGACCGTTGAGAACACGAGTGTGGGCGTTGTAGGATTAAAGGAGCCCGGAAAGAAGGGCCTCGAGTTCTTCAAGGTGCACGACGGCGCAGAGGTCAAGGACTGGATCAACGGCGTAGCAGACGACAACGATGCGAGCGAGGAAGCGGTAGAAGGAGGAGACGGCATGCAGGTGGATGAGTAGACGACGTGAAGGAAAAGGAACAAATCATGCTACGGTAAAAGAAAGGCACAAATAATTGCATTTCGCTCGGGCGTATGGACTCGGGAGGTGCTATGTCGCGGCACCATCTAGATGTATCAATAGACGACAACAAATCACGAAGCAAGCCAGGAAAAAGCCGTGGCATCTTAAGAGTTAAATGCAAAAAGTGATGTCATATTTCATCTTCCTCGTCGTCAAAGTCATCTTCCCGCCCCATCTCGTATATAATCCGTCCCCCTTCGCCCGCCCCGATGTCCGTCTGGGCGTCGAAGTACGGCAGGACTATGCCCTCTCTATCTCTACGCTGCTTCTCTGTCAACCCTAGGTTAAACGTAGTCTCCATCTCCCCGTCTCCTTCGTCCGCCGCACCCTCCTGGTCAGTATCGCTCGGATCCCGAAATGCGGGGTGGTCGGAGAGAAGATATAGTCTTGAAGTCTGGGCCTTGCTATCCTGCGCTGCTGCCGACTGTGACACTAGGACAAACGTCTCAGCAACGGCGCGGCCACTGCGCCGCCTCAACTCCATCTCGAGCACAAGCCCCTCGCCAGCCGCAGACCTCTTCTCGGCACTACCCAGCCCGATTAGCACGCCCTCCCGGCCCTCGGCAAGCCCCCACTCAGGCTCCTGCAAGCTGCGGTTCCGCGCGCGCCGGCGCTCCACCGCCTGATACAGACTGCCGACGCGGAGCACAGCGGTCGCGAGATGGCACAGCGTCGTAAACGGATGGGGCTCGTACTCGCTGAAGGACGGGGGCAGCACCAGCGGCACGTCGGTGTGGTACACGGCCACGATAGAGACGGCGGGCGTAACCAGGCCGGAGAGGAACATGGACAGGGTAGAACCCGCAGCGCTGGCGATCCCGTTCAGACCGTCGATTACGACGAGCACCTTGTGCGCGTGGCCGGCGCTGCCGGACGAGTAGTGCGAGGTTATCTCGGCGCGCAGGGCCTCGGGGGTCTTGCCCCAGGCTTTGATGAAGATGTCGGCGAAGGAGGGTTTCCGGAGTAGCGAGGAGGATAGGAAGATTGTTTTGCTTTTGGAGATCTGGGGGGGTGGGGGGTTAACATGGTGGTGTATTTGTATCTGATCCTCTGGAGAAGAAAAGGGGGTAAAGGGGGTAAAGGGGGTAAAGGGGGTAAGGAGGAGAGGATAAGAAAAAAAAAAGGGGGGGGGGAGGGGGAGGGGGAGATAGCGCAATAGCTACTAACTTACCTTGGCTCTGCTGAGGAACTCGTGAACTACAGGCGCTGCGCTCTGCTCCAGCGTGTCGAGGACTAGCGTTAGAGGGCTGGCGCTGTCCCGCAGGTTAAGGAGTTTCTGCAGGAGAAGCAGCGAGTGCGAACGCGCGTGCGATTGCGTAGATGATGGCATAGCTGCGTTGCTGTTTGATGCAGTGTTTGGACGTTGAAGACTTTTTGCGATGGTGTCTTGCCGGGGCAGTCAAGAGTATGTAGTTCCGAGGCTAGAGTTGGAGTTATCTTCTGAATACCTGGAAGACCGAGGTCGCATCTGCACTCGTATTGGTTAGTTTTAACTTAACGCTATATAAGTGACACGGATGAAGTTATAAAACCTTAGTAAACTCTACCTACCTTATTACATAACGTTGGGCAGGGCAAGTACATACATACATGTGCTAAAGGCTAGAGCTAGCTTCTCCCCGCAGCCCTAATTGAGGAGTTTAAGCGGCGACTTATAGCGTGCTCCACTAATTCGTATGCAAGGTGAGTGAGATCGACGCAATTGCAGGGGCTAATCCTCGCTATCCTTTTGCTATTTTATTTCTAATTCAACTTCTTTCCGTCTGATTTCTATATTTACCTCTAATATACGAACAAGCGTGCCATAGCTCTACGCAATATTACGCGACTCTGCTCTTATGTTATTGCTCGTCTCATTCCAACTAGGCCGTTGTAAAGTTAGAAGGGAAAAGTACCTAGATGGCGGCCAAGCTACGCACTTCCGCTAATAGAGCAGAGCTCCCCTGGGCTCTGGGGAGCTTCTTCTATGACTCCTAGTGTGATTATCTAACCCTTATGGTCTACTCCTGAGCCGACTCATCTTTGAGAGTCCACCGTGGCCAGTTTTATAGTGCAAGTCCTAACGAGCTATTTAGCCTTCAGTCTCGGGGTTGCTGTCCCCGTAGATCATATGTTAGAGACCCACAACTTCGCTGCTCAAGCTAGTCTAGCTATCTAAGTAGAAATCAGCATAGAGAAGTTTTACCTAGTTCCGGATACTAGCAGCAGCGACATTTGGGTTGTTTCGGACGGATTTAAGTGTCTAGCCCCCTTTTCCGGCCTGGAAATTCCTCAAAAAGAGTGTGCTTTTGGTCCCATCTATAAGGGTGACCTCCCTGACGGGCAAGATCGATAATCTGAATCCGAATATCTCGTATATGAGCGGCGAATACTTAAACGGACTAATGAGATTCGCTAAGTAATCGCCTCCTTACCATTTAACATAAGTGTGATGTAATTTAACAAGTTTTATCAAGTATTATTGTAGGCGATGTCACTATTCCAAAGCAGCAGTTTGGTCTAGTAGATGTGACTGCATTCGGAGGCGAGGGGACGTCGAGCGGTATCCTCGGCTTTGCCCTGTTGCGTGACGAAAACCGGACATACATTGGCCTTCGGCGGTGTGCCTCCTGTCAAGACAAGAGAATATACTACTATACCGATTCAAAAAGTCCGACATACAAGTTTCCAATATCATGCGCTGGATTTACGGCTAACTATTAGATCTACAAGACCAAAAACAACGGCAAGACAGATTACTCCTTCTACAACATCGCGTCTAACTCTATGTCCTGGAACAACGGCACCATCAGCCAGATAGTAACAAACTTGCCTCACATGCTCGTGGACTCGGGTACGATCATCAATTTGTTCCCGCATACACGCCTGCCAGGAAACAGCAAGGAGGCCTGGTCTGGAGCATACCGTGCAATGCTGCGCCGCCTACCCTCGACATCGTGATCGGCGGGAAGGCCATTCGTGCTCACCCGAGTAACATGATTGTAAACCAGCCGGCGTACGAAGGCTCGACTGAGTGCCTGTCTGGAATCGGTGCTGGACAGCCTGGTTCATATATCCTCGGCGATACATTTATGTTGCCGTGTTTGATGTTTCGGATTAAAAGCAGATGGAGTTTGCTCAATGGATGGATTAAGTTGGGTTTCGGTAGTCGATATCTTACGGTTAGACTACCTAGGTATATAATATATATATATATATATCTAGCTAGCCCTTGCTGGCAAAAGCTCGTTGTGTTGTATAATTAAATAAAATCGGGACACTGTTAGGTATCATATTTGTTAGTAGGTAGTCTTGTCCGTTTAATATCTAGGTAAATAATCTTGCTCTGGCTAAAGTTGTAGTACGGAATTTATTCTATTACTTTTCTCTCGCCTTAGTCCTTTGAGTTTTCCCCCCAAATTTCAAGTTTAAGGAGAAAGTTCTACTAAGACAAATCTAAAGGTCAGACGTGGAAAGTGGTTTGAGGTGATATAGGGGTAGCAGCTACTTTTTCCTATGTTTTTATTTAATAAATCATAAAGCATTAAAAACGAAGACATGTTGTTTTATAAAGTAAATTATGAGTAAGTTGAATTAGAAGTAATATGTTACCTCCATTTTGCTAGGTTGGGTTTGCTACTGTAATATGCATCTGTTTAAAAGGGGGGACTGTATAAATGTATGTGCATGTGTGTAGAGAGCATTGTGTTAAAAGTTCCAGCACATTATGTTTCTTACGAAATGTATCATGCCAAAAATGGTCTAGTCAGGCACTCTTCGCAGTGTTTACTTGTGATATCCTGATGGGTTTGCTGTTTAAAAGTCCTTGCTAAAGGGTCCACATCATCCATCAAACACACGTCAATTGATACCGTGCAAAGTTCACATTGTTAAACGCCTGTGTTACAGTAAAGTGAGAATAATCTGAAAGATAATAACAACAAGCGGTCCCACATAATGATTCAAAGACACATTGCGCTCTGACCCGACCTCTTAAGTACATGGCCTTTTTCTACAGTACCTGTTATTAAGACAACTCAAAGTAGGAAATATATCAAAGTACCTGGACGTTAAAATGTCGTACCAACTGTACTCATAATCCCCAACGTCACGGTGTTTACACCATTATTTTACAGTTTCTTTTCTGTCTTCTCGCCGTCAACCTTTACCACTATACTACACCCTCGACGAAAAACTATAAAATCATAGATTCTCATCATCAATAAAATCCTTCTTGTTATATTGTGATACAGAACAATAACATACCATCACCTCTCAAAATAACTATTCCATACAACTACTTCTCTTTGTTGCCTGTACCCCGAGAATTAAGAGGTCTCTCCTATCAACACTCAAGTTTACTAAGTCTTTGACTTATTTCTGGATACCCGCCAAATTTCAAGACCAAGCCCTTCATTACGTCTTATTCGAGATGTCTCGAAATACTACTCCTAGACAAGCCGATTTCGATGCCGTAAGAGCCGATGAGGAAGCACGAATCATCCACAAAGCGGGTTCACGCACTGAGAGGAATAATGCTGTTCTGGCCGCAACCTCGAGGGCTAGGTTCCAATACCATCCCAATGGTAATTCAAGACACGAAACCTATGCCTATTAAATATATAACTAACAATCACAAAGATATAGAGCGAGTCTTAGCTGCCCGCGCTGCCAGGGCAAGCGGTCGAGTCTCGCCGACGGACATGTTCCTAAACAACAAGGCTATCAACTCGAAACGAAAGGCTTGTCAAGACGGAGAACGTCGCCGCAGGGCTGCTGCAGCGTCCCCCGCGTCTGAGGATGACGATGACGACGAGCTGGAGGTTCCTGCCACAGTCCGTCGGAAGACACCAGTCACCGCTCGCAAAGTAGCCCCTATGGCCCCCTTAAGCGATGACGACGACGAAGAGGAAGAGACCCCTGTCTCTAGTCGTCGCAAATTAAAGACTACTAGTACCAAGGACATTACCAGGTTACTCCGGAAGCTGAAGCTCAACAGCGACGAGCGCAAGACGGAAAAGAAGAAACACGGGAGACGGGCGTGAGGGCCGATGATTTTTCTTTACTTTTTTTCTTTTTTTAAGACAACAGATTAAAGGGACCGGTTGGTTTATTGGCGATATATACCTAATATTTGCGTTTGGATACCCTTTTTAGCGTTGGTTTTAATAATAGAAAAGCGGTTTCCTATCTTTGGAGATAGTTGTATCTCGTTATGTCTTCATGCACTATTTTGACTTTTGAAAAATACTAAGGGGTATTTATTTTATCCCAATTAAAGATAAGTCGTGTCTGAGCACCTGAAGTAGGGGATGAATGAGTAGGGGATGAATGACTGTACGCCCCCTTTTCAGGTTTAATGTGGGTCTCAGGAGAGACCTTATATGCGAGGCAGATTTTCAGAAGTAAATCAGTTGGAGACAGATAAGAAGAGTACCTACCTACCTCATATAATATTGCTAAGTTTAATACGTATAAGGCTTGTTAGTTCCGTCAGGAAATATCTGTTGTTAATTTATCCACTTTGTGTTGCAACCCAACTATACAGCCATAGCCACCATCTCGATCTTCAACATGTCACGTCTGTCTTAGCATTGCCCATTTCCATTTCCCCGCACATAAAGGCTGTGTAGGTAGGTAGCGAATACGTGTACTTGCGTGTGTCACGCTTTATAGTTGGCTGGGTGGATGTATTTTCTTGATAGGGGTGTATCCTGTTTTCCTATAAGCCCCCGACAATTAAGTTACTTATATCAAACCAACACATCTCTCAAATACATACGACCATAGGATCTGGAAAACTCGGGGTCCCGTCCGCTCCCCCATCGATAAGCCAGATACCGCCGGATTAGTAGTTGGGTCGGTGACGACCAGCGAATCCCCGGTGTTGTATGTTCTGTCTGTTTTTTTTTTTTTTTCGGATTTTTGTGTTCTTATCCAATGAAAATCCTACGATAGCTTCGACTTGGTTTCATGGTTGGAGATTTGTCGTATGTTAAGTGGCTGAATTGAGTAGTAGATCAAGGTGGTAATCATTGATTCGACTCATATGTTCACCACTTTCCAAGACTTTCCACCTACTTAGTATTACACATAATTTGTGCAGGCCATTTACACGATGGCCATCTGTCGTATTCATCAGGGCTACCCTCAACTCCGGTCATTCGATACAGATGCAGCTTCTCTGGTGGAAATGCTACATCGCGCATATGGCATCGATAGCACGCCGATATGTCTCCATTGTGCAGCGATTTTAGAGGCGATGCTCTATTTTAAGCCAGGCATCATGAAAGAAGATTCCGAGATCTCCTGGAGCGACATCTCAATACAAATTATGATATTCGGCCAGTTAAAATTACAAAGAGTGAACGTTTATAACACCCCGCCTTTAATAACAAGCAAAGTGGCGCGCAACCCGTTTTTATTCGACGTTATCCAACGACCCTCCGGTAGGTTTGACTTACATTAAGTGTAAAACATGGCCATTAAGGGGTAGCTGACTAGTTATTATGTGCAAGGTAGTACTACACACGCACAAAATACCACTAAGCTTTCGGGCCTAAGTTCCTTTGGGAAAGACACGATGTGGATGGACAGAAGCCGATCCTGGGATGTTTTGGAAGACTCTTCAACCCAGATGGCCTTCGATCGTGCTACTGGGTGGCTTTCTCACTGTATGGAGTTTGATGAATCTTGTAATCCGCCGAATAAGAACTTTGTACCCCGCCGCCTTCTTAATGTCAGGCATAACGACCAGTCAGGCGAGCCGTTTCTCATTGATCCCAGTGAGCCAACGGTATATGCTTGTCTTAGTTACTGTTGGGGGGAAGACGTCGGAGACGTTTTGAAAACGACAACATCCAATATCAATGACCATTACAAGGAGGTCCCTTTAACTTCTATGCCTAAAAGTCTACGAGACGCTGTCATGGTCTGTAGGGGGCTTAGCATCCTATACCTGTGGGTGGATTCTATCTGCATTATCCAAGATGATTACGACGCCTGGTACCAAGATGCGTCGATAATGGACCAAATCTACCTCAACTCCCAGGTCACAATCTCAGCACTAGAGCCGAATAATTGCAAAACGGGATTCTTAGGAAAACAGAAATTCGGTCTTCCCGGGTGGCAACATGAAGTCCCGTCTCCAGATATATCAGAAAAAATTATAGCCCGGCCAGGAGTTAATCAAGGTATAGAATGTTCTTTGGATAAAAGAGGCTGGTGTTTGCAGGAGACATTACTTTCTCATCGAAGGCTCTGTTTCAATGGAAATGAGATGAGCTGGGAGTGTCTATGTCGCAAAATTTGTGAGTGTGGACACTGCGTCTGGCCAAGATTCGAAGTAATGGAGCAAAAATACGAACCAAATAGTGTTCAGCTTGGAGCGTTATTAAGGGAAATTGCATCGCAATCTGCACCAGTACAAAATATGGAGGCTTATAATATAGGGGTTTCCGAGCCGCATGGGGAATGGCTTAAAGGGAACAGGCCAACCGAGGATGTTGATGGAGCGCCGGAAAGGATCTATGACCTTTGGAGAAGGGTGGCATCGAACTATTCACGACGCGCAGTTTCTCGTCAGAGCGATAGACTAGTAGCACTCGCCGGGCTAGTCAATATCATGCGTAAGAGCAGCCGGTCCGAAACAAGCACAAAGAATGAATACATTGCTGGGCTCTGGAAGAAGGAGCTTCATTTTGATCTAACCTGGAGAGTGGCTGCGTTCAATTCTAGATCAAGGTTATCGGCTGATGAAGAATCCGATGTCGTGGATCAAGCACCATGCTTCCCCTCGTGGTCATGGGCATCTTGCGAGGGAGCGATCAGTTACGATGATTATATATCACCGTTGTTAATTTGGCGCGGGACCGCAACCGGAATCAGAGTAGCCGACAAATGTTCTATTAAAAGTATCGAGGGAATTGCGGAAGATGGCACCCCTACGACCAAAGGCGGCCGCATAAGCTTGGAAGGAGCATTAATGCCTGTTGAACTGGCAATATTTGGCGAGTATATCCACCCGGTCGGACCCTTCATCCCTGTCCGAGAAGCCAACAGTTTTCCATTCCGATTAGGATACCCTAGGAATGACTTACCGGCGATATCAGCCTTTGTAAGACCGCGAACCTTATACTCGGCAAGAGTGTACCTCGACGAGCCCACAGACTCGACAATGAGTCAAAATGATGCCCAAGCCTCTTGTTGGATCAATGGGCGGTGTGAAGAGCATTGCTGTTCATGGAACCAGGGTCGAGATGATACTGAAACTAGGTATTATTGTTTTAAACTCTTTTCATGGATTTTGAACAACGACGCGCGGAATCCAATGTCAAACAATCGTTATAAACCAGGAACAACTGAGACTGAGACATCGTTCCTTGTATTGAAGTTATCTCAGCGTGTTAAGGGAGCGTTCGAAAGAATTGGTGTTGGCTTTTGGGCCGAGGGGCGGAATTTATTTCGGGGTGTGGAAAATGCCAACCTATTTGAAACGGCCAAGACGGAAGTTATCGATATTATATGAAACCATATATTATAAAATAGCTATGAGGGGGATTAGATTTTCCATAATATGTCGAAGCCAAGGTTAATGATGCCTTAGGTAGGTAAATAAGTGTATAATGTACCTAACGTTCATTATGCCTCTCCTTATGAGTTTCAGTTCTTGACTTAGTTAATCATTTTTGATTATTTTATAGACGTTATACAACAAATACTATATGGCTAAGAACAAAATATAGAGTAAACAAATGGAATAATGACAAATGGCTCGAATAAAAAAATGAAAACCAAGTAAAAGGTAGGTATAAGCAGAAGTACCGTGATAAATCATAAGAGACTTATCACATTGATGCTTAAGTTTTAAAACCAGAGCTTATTTAGGCACAATTAACAAGTGCTGTATCTTTCTTAGTTGCGAATATTTCACACTCTCCCTCCAAACCATTACCCTCTTTTTAACATCCGTAGCCTCCGGGACAACCTCCTGCACTTCCGAGCCGTTGAGATATTTACCTCTTAGCTCGGGGCCAGTTTTAAAGGCGACATTTATTACGTTACTGTTGGAATTGCTAATAGTCCGGATGTGGCCGTTGGGCTCGAGCCATGTTAACAATGGTGCGAGAAGGGGGGGTATGATCGGTCACAGTCAAGGCGTTGTTGAAGCTCCCCTACCATCATGGCATTGCACATTTTAGCAACTCCATACCAACGCATCCCGGCTCTTCGATGGAGGCCCTCGTCATTGTCGCTACTCTAGGTACCATTGACAATGGTACCTATATTATCATCGCGGAAGAAGGTTTTCCATTTTTCATCCTTATAAATCGTATCAATTTTATGTGAAGGATGGTTAACGCTTGCTCGCATGAAATGTTATTACTAGTCACGATAGGATCACTAGTATATTAGGCTTCAACTTAGAAACTAGTAGACTAGGCATTTACTCGTACGAGCTACTGCCAAAGACGACGATACGGCCGTTGTCGGAGTCAAGGTCCTTTAATAGCAGCATGGTCAACAGCCAGTCTCCTAGATAATTGGCCGCGAAGCTTGTATCAAATCCTTTATCAGTAACAGATTGCTGCCCCAAGTCGTGATAACCTGTGTTGAGAATAAGTACACGTATTGGTGGGATATCACGTGTTGCTATACAGGTGTGAGGAGTATGAACGAACTCCCGCGCGTTTGCTAGTGGCGATAGTTCCATATTCCAATGATACTGATGCTTGAGTACTTGGATCTTTTCCCTTCATATTACCTTGGGTACGTATACGTTGCTTTTGATTTGTATATGGTCCTCGTGCGACCAACAAACAATCTCCCCTATTAGACTCATGTACCAAGACTTGATGTAAGGGCTCAGAATGTAAGCAGCTAGCCGCTACCTACACCATCATAGATAAGTTTTGTAGTGAGAATATGTACAAAGAAAGGATTTCCTCAGTATGAATAGTGGCTTCCGTAATTTTAGGTAAGTTTATAGTTCCCTGAAGAACAATAAGGTTGTTTTCCTGTCTTAGAAGCTTGACTTGTGACAACATTTTGCGTTCGATGCTTTCTGAAAGCTCACACGGTTGTGTCCGCTCGTTTAGGAGCTGACAACCCTACTATCACTACTCACAGTTGGGAGCTTAAAACGTTATATATGGGCCTATCAAGGACATGAGCTTATAGGTATAACCACTGTAACAAAGAGCTCTTGGAAATCCCAAAAAAATTCCTCCATCTTTTTGGTTTGCTCTTCCTATCATTATCACCTGTGATATTTTCTACGGAACAGTCTCTGGGATGCAAAACGGCCAAGGGCTACATCTTAGTTTTGCAGAATTATTGATGGTCTCTATTAATTGTTCCGATTCTATCGATACTTCTAACATAATAATTCTCTCCTTTACCTCTTCAATACTCGTAGCCTAAAATGCCTCTCTTCCTCGGAGAAGTAAAAGATGCGAAGGACTTCGACGAGATCCTCCTTGTCCTCTATGCCGACTTCGGTGAGCCCTATAACTCTTTGCGCAGATGGTTTATCCCAGTCCACACCACAGTCGAAGCAGCAATCGAAGATGCCAAAGCGCAGTACATGAAGTCTTGGAAGCAACACGGCAGCATCCACTGGGTCAAAGTCACGGATAACGATTCCGGCAATATTGTTGGGGCAGCCGAGTGGGAGATTCGCGAAAGAGTGAGCCCATCTGATGAGCCACGGAAACTCATTGACGCATATTGGCACATTGAGGGTACTGAAGAGAAGGCTTTTGCTGGAAAACTTGCTACAAGCTTAGAAGGGTTTATGAAAGACAGGATGGCCAGACCTCATATTGGTGTGTAGCCGCGCACTACATTAGATTCTGTAAGCTAACGTTAGAATTTAGAACTGGAACAACTGGTTGTACATCCTGATCACCGCAAAAGGGGCGCTGGAAGATTGCTTACCAACTGGGGGGTCCAGAAAGCGGATGAACTGGGATTAGAATGCTGTGTCGAGTCTGTCCTTTTTGCTGTGCCCATATACGAAAGGTGCGGGTTTGGCAACGTAGACTGCCTCGATCCGGACTTAACTACCTCCAATCCAAGTGCGAGATGGAAGGAGTACGAAGCAGATGACTTACGCGTCTTCTTGATGTGGCGCCTGGCGGGTCATGATTACCGTTCCGGAGAAGATAGACTACCACTGTCCATTATTTAACCTAGAAGTTAACTTGAGGTATCGTGCAATAATGAAACTATACCAGAGTTGAGCTACTACTACAGTCACATATACCTAGGTACACTGGTACGATAGGAGGAATAGGACCGAGCCCATAAAAGAATTAAACATCGGTGCGTTTACACCTGACGATCTACTAAAAGTTTACTGCCGGATATGATACGGAAGTACCTCATACAGGTGACTGACTGTACCGATAAACGTTACTAGAGTAACATAGCATAGACCACCACCTCAGATGACAAGTGAATGGTTGCTTGGACTGCTTAACAGCTGGCCGTCACCAAGGTGACTCTTTCTGCCCGAACTTAGTTACCGCCCTGTTTACCGCTCTAATTGCCGCTCTCGACGCGTATTTAATCCTGCCGTCCCTCGGCTCTCTGTCGGAAATCTTTGTTCACTTTCCAACAACTTTTCCAAAGCTTTGACTTTACAACTTCAATGTTCACAACCACAACACCTTTACAGAGAAGTTAATCAAAGCCCAACTACCCCTTTAACACTTTAATTCAATCATTACTTCTCCAATACTATTCACCTTCTATAAAGTATAGACCTTCTTTCAATCACTAAATACTACATCCTTTCTTAATCAAACTACACCTCTCAACTGTAAGTATTACCTCCTGTTATCTGTTTTCAGAGTCTCCTTCAAACAATCAGCGCTAACAATATTTCTCAAAGAGTTACTGAAGATGTCAACACAAAAGGAGATGAAAGTGGTCAATACCAGTGCGGCCAATAAGCGCATCGGGGGACATGGTACAGACTCTGTTGTGCCTGGACAAACTTCGGTCGCGGTGGCGGCTAAGGCGGCCTTTGGATCGACGCAACCATCTAACCCGTTGACATCCAAGCCTCCTAAAAAACACTTCCGAAATAAGTTCCAGAAAAAGAAGTTCTCAGAGGCGTTCCCCAAGAATGGGGCTCCGACAAAGAAGCTTCCATCTCTCGAGGCCTGCGGTAGAGGCACTGAATGTGCTGGGGCAACAGGCGAGCCCGTCGATGCTGCTGCGGCCCCGGCTGCTCTAGGTGTGGTGCCTGCAAGCCCCGACGACAAGGCAGCTCACAAGGCGAATGATGCGTCTCAAGAACTTGTCTTGGAGAAGTTCGACAAGCCTAATCTTAACGTCGACAAGAAAGAGTTCCAGAATGACATGAAGAAGTACGGCTTCAAGGGTCTGGCAGCTTCACGCTGGGCTTAAACTACTCTTTTATTAGAGGTGAGTAGTTGGACTTATGCTACCTGAAGGAAAATGATAGTTTGACTAACCCAGTATATATAGCAAGTTAATTCATCCTAATCAATACAACTTGATACATTGTTCTTTCCAAGATCACAACTTGTGAATCCTTGATTGTGACTTGCAATTCACCTTGTGAATGTTTCTCACGAGTTGCTCATCGAATTCGTGAGGAGGGCGAGTGCGCTACTACGACATGGTCTGCGCCCGTCCGCACGACTCACTTACAGACTCGCTTACTTGTCACAACAAGATAACTAACTTTATTATTCTCGAATGTTTCCTCAACAATCCCAAGCTCTATCTCAATACTCGAAAAAAAAAAAAAAAAGGGAACCGGATCAACCCACGGAAATTCAACCTTCTATAAATGGGTAAAAATGGTAACCTAGAGGACTAGGCAATAATCTAACCCTACCTCTATCGCGGCCAGGTAAGTTAATACTTCCTAAACGCAGCATAGGATTCCTTAGCTAACAAACAGCAGCAGTGGCCGTCGCCGCAAGTTGGGTGGCCCTGCCGTGGACTCATCACACTCGGCACTATGTTGGGCGCGGGTAGGCAATAAACTAACAAACCAAACTCAAGTCCTACCAGATGATGCGTCCCAACTGGCAAATGGATGACTATAGAGGGATAGGCTGTGATGGCGTCTGAAAAGGCTCATCGAGAGCCTAAAGGCCTGTCTCTTCTACTGAGGTTCGATCCGACTGGAACATCTCACGCCAACGAGTGAGATTAATGAGGAGGAGGGAAAGGGATTTTGTGACGTATGTGGTGGTCCCTGACATGGGCCTTGGCAAGACGTGCCGGGTCGGGACCTTTGGAAATCCCACGTACTGCGTGGTCCTGTTGCTGCAGCTAAACCTGTGTATCCGGCACGTTCACGCCCTTTTTCAAGGCGTGCGTGATCGGCGGCGTCAAGCTGAGGGGAATGGAGTTCTAGGGGGATTCATAAGAAAAGTGGTATTAGGCTTGACAATGCTATTATGACTAGGTACCTATACACAAAGACACAGGCTTCTAAGAAATGTTAGGGAAAGAGGTTGTCTAATCCACTTTATATCAAAATAATCGTCTTAATTAATGACTCGATACGTACATAGGGTATAGCAAATCCAAGTCCCACGTTATTATTATATAAAACCAGACTCCTTGGTATAACAACTGCAACCGAGTATCGAATTAAGAGTAAACAACCTAGCCGCCGCTCCTCATAACTGATCTATCTTAATATCAATATCTTCAGTGGCATATTGGCCGAAGAATAATTCTCTTCCTTCCTCTCCACCTTCTTCCTCTCCACATCATGTTTCTCCTATCCCACGTAGACTAACGTAAAAGAATCTATTGCCGCGTCGGACTTAGAGGACGGTTGAAACCGCCGACGCGATTCATGTACTGGCGGTACTCAGTCTTCTTCTCCTTACGCACAGCACCTGCGTTATTGCCCAGGACATGCGTGCCCTTCGTCGTGCCGAAACCGCCAAAGCCCATCATAGCTTGCATCGCGCTAAGACCGTCATCTTCTTCCACCACCACATCATCATCGTCCTCCTTGTCTTCGTCCATAGCGTCTCCTCTATCCGGTGTCTCGGTCCTTTGCCTTCTACTGTCCTCCGGCTCTTCCTGCGCGTCGTGTTTTCTCCCCATTGCGCTCTTACTACCACTACCGCTACCGCGGCTGGAAGCTTCCTCTTCATGTGGTTGATGTTTGGGACCGACTTTGAACTGTAGCGATGATGCGCCAGCCTCGGGTTTGCTGTTATTGGGGCGTGGTCGCGTTGGCAGCGGAGAGTTGCTATGCGAATGTGTGTTGCGGTCTAGCTTGCTGGCTGGACTTCGAGTGGGTGATGCAGAGCGCCGTGGGCTTCGGTCCCGACCTGGGCCTGTTTTGTAGTTAGCCCTGATCCTAGATATGCCTGGAGCTAGTTGCTCTTCGGGAACTTCGTCGCGGAACATACCTCTAGTTGCGCCCTCATCCCTACCGCGTCTCCTATCCCTACCCCCTCCCCTCCTATCGTGGTAATCATTCCCTTTAGCCCACCCTCTATCGTTGTCTCGAGCTCGATCTCTCTCGGGCTCGCGACGGTCACGGTGCTTTTCGCGGCGGTCTTGTCGGGGCGATCGCGATCTGGACCGGTAGCGACGATCTTTGCCGCGGTGGCTGTCTTCTCGATCCCGACCGCGATCGTCCTTCTTGTCGCGTGCGTCTGGTTCGTGGCGGTTGCGGCGTTCGGACTCATCCCACATCTGCTTGCTGTCCGGGCGATTTCGACGCCGGCGAGCTTGATCAGCCATGCTTTCCTTCTTGTCGCAGGATTGATTATTTGGAAGATGCGATTTTAATTATGAATGCTACAAGAGTACAAAGTGAAGAAGGCTCGGGTTTTATTCGGATTTGTCGTATTGTGTTCTACCTAAGTTTCTTTAAATAAAGAATCAGTTGTCGTCATGATTAGAAGAAGTGTAAATGCACTTGATTTATGCGTTCTGATTGGGCCATATTAATATGGGGTTTGAATTACATAATCGACTGCAGCTATAAAGTGACTTAGGTACGTACAAAGGTAATCTTCTACTATCAACCCCACTACCATAAGAACCTACCATCTACAACTTCGATATTATGTACGCTTACATGCCTCCACCAATATCATGACGGCAGGCTTATGCCCCGCTGTTGCAAAAGCTGTACCATAGAGTCTAGGCCTAAATCCAACGCCAGCTCTAATATCTGCGACCGAGCAGCTGCATCGCCAATGTTCAGGTCCAGTAGCAGTCTCACCATAGCAGTGTGCTCAAGCCGGACAGCTTCGAAAAGCGGCCACCAGTCGTTGTCAATTGGCTTGGCGCCGCTGTTAATCAGCTTGCGCACAATCGTCATACTCCCGCTCATAGCTGCGGCTCTTAGTGGTGAGCCGCGCTGCTGCATAGTTTGACAGTTGGGATCAGCACCGCGCTTCAGTAGTAGATCAACCATGTCTTCGTGCCAGTACCGCGCCGCACAGGACAGTGGGTTGCAATTAAGCCTTCCTCCGCCGTTTATATCGGCACCTGCATCAAGGAGATATCTTACTATGTCCACATTGCCTAGCTCGGCGTAGCGTAGCAAGAGGAACCGGTTGTCTAACCCCGGATCTTGAAAGAATGTTTGAATGTACTGAAACGTTTCTGGAGTCTTGGCGCACAGAAGGGCAGATCGGAGGTCTCTACCCTGCTTGGAGTGTGGATCGACTTGGCCGAATAGGTAACCGGCAAAATCCTTGCTATCAGGTGTCATTCGTGAAGGAGGATATATCGCCAGACGGAGTATGTTCATATCTCCGCGGATTGACGCTCCCTTGATAGAGCCGGGTCCGGTCTTGCCTCGCCAGGAATCGGCTTCAAATGGTATATTCTCAAAATCTGGCAAGTATTCCTGAAGAAACCTTAACATATCGGCATTGCCTGCCCATGCGGCGAGCTGCATAGGCGAAGGGATTACTTGATTATTCACTGTTGGACAGTGACCATCTGAAAGTAATTGTCTAGCTAGGGGGAGGTTATCGAGATAAGCTGCTGCACCCAAGAGATTCTGACCTAAGTTTGGAGTATCGCTATCATGTGGACGGTCTTCTCGGCAACCTTGCATGCCTACATATCGCTCCAGCGCGAGCCAACACAGGGTATCGAGCATCTCGATATATTCTCCTTGTATCTGGCGGCAAATACTCTCTGCTAGGTGCCGTATTTCGACGAAGCAGCGTACGTTAGGGTCATTTTCACTTTTGACTCGATAGACAAAATAAGAATGCCATAAATCGACGGCCCCATACTGCTTCCGAATATACCACAGCTCCATGAAGTCGAGGTCATTGTAGCGAGGTATAATACTAAAGTCGTCAAGAAGCCTCGACTCAAATAGAGCAGGCTGGAGGCAGTTATAAAATTGTTCTGAATTATCATCAGCTGGTTTCTGGCTTGGCGAAGATGGGAGTCGACCTACTGCAGACGAGCTTTAGTCTAAGGCCTCTTGTGACGCCACGGGAAATGACAGCCTGGAGCAAGACCATGTGCATTAATTCGACTGGAAGGTCAAGTATATGCATTTCGGTTATTGTCCGTGAGTTGCGAAATAGGAGAGTCTGTTCGTATGGCTAACTATCGTAGTCCGGATTTGTAGGTTGGTATGCGAGATAGTTGACTCGGACATAGCTAGCGATTACTGACGATTACGAGTGACAAACGCTGCGGTATTTCAAATAAGGCGGGGAAACGTAACTGCTACAATCGTGGTCCCGATATTGATGTTTGGGACGGGAACTGGTGCGAGGCTAACTCTTCTCGAGTAGTTCTGCTCTAGTTCATGTCTCGATACGTCATAAGTGGTAGGTTTATCACACTATTGATTCCTTTGAGGATATATAAAAAAAGACTTTGATCCTTATAGATCGATCCATGGATTCGGCCGCGAGATTTAGTCACCGTGACGTTGACTTCATGAAGAAGTTGATATTTTTATTTCACCGGTCTGTCGGTCTCTTTAGCGGCCTCGCAATTTACCGCCCTTATAAGCATGAAGCCTCGTGATCAACTACATAGCCTCGGAGGTAGTTATTCTTTTAGAAAGTTTGACAAACAGAAACTGGGTACTTTGAATCCTCTTGGCATTGTTTTCGTCGGTGAAGGTGTGATATGATATCAGTTTTCTAAATAAAACAGACGCTTGCGCAGGGCTACTCGGATGGATTGCCGTATATTGGTGGCTGTGGCACAAGCGACCAATTCCTCAAGCAGCTACTTGGGTGTTTTTGGCAGAGTCAGCTCCAGGGGCGTAAGCTAACACCACACTAGTTATGACGATCAATATTAGATAAGCTCACCACCTACGCGCTGGTATCATCAGCTCGAATACGAAAACAGCACTGAGGATGATGATCAAGATGGGATAGGACTTGTAGAAATGCATATAAAGGCTCAAAGGGTTCACCTTGTTTCCGGTCTCTCGTCTCCATCATCACCATCACCTTCACACAACAAGCCTTCTAGCTACTAGCTATTCGATCTCATCAACCAAGCCCACCAGTTTTATAACTATTTTCTAGCTCACAAGCATACAAAATGCGTACTTCCTTCTTCAAGGCCGCAACCTTCGCCCTTCTCGGGCTTGGCAACGTCTTCCCTAGCGTTCTAGGTGCCCCGACTTCCAATGAGGTCGAAGAGGTAAGCTGGCTTCTATCATTTTCTCTTAAGCATTACTAACATCGATTTTACAGCGTTCCGACACACTGATGGCTAGGGCCAAGGAAGTTCCTGATATCACAAAGCAGGGATACAAGGTCGACGATGGCACTGGTCTACCAAGGAAGAAGACTTACAAGGTCACTACTGAGCACTACACTGGTACCCTCGACCTGATCCGAGTCGAGACCGCTAACAAGCTGGCTGCCGTCTTGGATGCCAACAACTCGGATGACATGACTCCTAACCGAGCCAAGCTCCGTGACATCGTCATGTATGTGTACTCGAAGAAGGGAAACCTAAAGCCGGAAGAGATCCAGAAGGTCCGCTTTGAGGTTGTCGTGGAGAAGGCCACCAACGCCGCTATTAAGGCTGCCTACGAGAAGCTAGGCAAGACTACTGGCGACTTCACCGTCAAGAGCAGCGATAGCGGCACGGAGAAGGAAGTCTTCGACAGCCTCTCCGGTACCCCCTTCGGTAAGATCGCTAGCAGCTACCACGGCGACTACAACGCAGGCCAGATCAAGGAAATCAAGATCGAAGACAGCCCGACCCGCCCCACCATGGAGGTCCACTTGGGCTAAGTGGGCTATGTATGATATATATATATATACATGGATTGGGTGTACGGATTACGCTCGGCACATCGGGGCTGGGGTTCAGGCATGGTATGGCAAGGTTTTCTTTGGGTTCCCTTCTTTCCTATCAGCTAGTTAGTAGCTTTCTAGCTCTACTCTCGAGCAAGAGTAAAAATTCGTCATTCGTTAGATCCTAGAATAAAATGAAGCCGTTTCTGGCTCTATAAATCAAGACGGTGTCTACATTGGCTCGTGACGCGTTTAATGCATTCATTCAAGCAGTGTAAGCAATCCCCACAGATCCTGACAGCTAAGCTTTTCGGAAAAGCGGCTGTAAACATGGAGACTCGTCTAATCTGACGTGAGAAAGGCTTGTTTAGATGTTACGTTTATATATTAGCTTTGCGAGGCGAGGAGGCGTTAATATACCCACTGGTAAGCTTTACTTGTTCAATTAACGACTTGCATAAATTAATAGATCCGCCGTAAGCCTTTTATTAATAGCTGAAATGATGAATATCGTGGCCAAATGAGTTATGGGTAGCCTCAAATCAAACTAGTCTTATGACTATGAAAATATCGCAAACAAGTACCTATCTTGCAAATGGTATGTTCTTATATACATGTGGAATTCCCCTTTTTCTTGGCGTAGATGTGAATAAGGTTATCGGTGAGGCTGCGCGCCAAGACTGAAAGGTTCCAATGTACATAGGTGGGATGTCTTGGCACCTGTACCTGTGTACCTGTTAGGTACGTACTGCAGTACCTGATTGTTAACTTTAAAGGAGCCGGGGTGGACCCTGACGTCAAACCAATTGAAAGCTTCCCGCACCAAAATTCCAAAACTGTGTTCACTTTTGAAGCTTCCAAAAGGCCGAGCCGCTAATCGGAAAGCTCTAGAAAACCGGCATCTTGCCATTGCTTCTTCTAACTAGGTATTCTACAAGAAGGAGATTCGCCTATTCGATGCCGTCATGACGCTCTCAGGTCAATTGACAGCTGTGCTGTCATTTCTTGCCGTACCGTTATTTGCCCCGTTGGCAGCTTGTCAGGTTGAGGGTGAAGGTATTCTCAATGCCGAAATTGGCCGCTTAAACAACCAGAGCCTCTTATGGGGTCCTTATCGTCCAAACTTGTATTTTGGAGTCCGCCCCAGGATACCCAAGAGCTTGGCCACTGGTCTCTTATGGGCAAAGGTTGATAATTATGTCGAGGTCCAAAATAGTAAGCCCTACAACCTACCGTGTACCTAAGTCAAGCTGTAAACGGGATTATTGATTTAGCACTTAGGCTTCCGTTACACATGTGAGCAACATGAGGGAATGGCCGGTTATGGATGGGATGAGTATGATACCCGAAGAGGCGGTGTGCAGCATATTCATGATGCCGGAAACAAAATTGACATAACTACTGAGTTCGTCAAGATCCCGAGTGGCGCTCATGGTGGCAGCTGGGCAGCCCGCATTAAAGGCGAGCCCCGGGATGATGCACCCTCTGACCTCCAGACCACGGTGCTGTTTTACGTTGCCTCGGAGTCTCTCGGTGAGACCGTTGATATTGGCAGCGACGGCGACGAGCACGGATTCGAAGGCGACGTAACTTTTGTTGGCAAGTCCGCGGTTCTAGGTGACTATAAGCTAGTCGTGACTAAGGGCACGGGCGATCATCCTAACAGCGATCATGCCATATCTAGCAAAAGAGATCTTAGCAAGACGGTAGTGCAGTCATTAATTGTACCTGAAGAGCACTTATGGCAGGCTAAGCAACTCCTATTCCAGCAGCTCAAGGCGGGTGTAGACGAGATCATTCAGGAATATGGAGCTGAGAACGCACCCCCACCCTGGCAAGTTTACCAACTCTCGAACAAGCCTAACCCTGGAAACTTTCATCTTGTCCAAAAGGTATTCGAGGGGCCTTTCGAGTTTGATATTCTATTCTCGAGCGGCTCTGCTGGTAAGGATATTACAAGCGAGGATTTGACTCGGGAGATCAAATCGACAACCGAGTCTTTCAACGAGCGGTTTGTCGACGTCTTTGCGCCGCAGGCTCCGTTCAACGCCGACAAGTACCGCAAATTTGGGCAAAGTATGCTTTCCAATCTCGCTGGAGGCATAGGATACTTCTACGGACAGCATGTGGTAGATCGGTCGTACGCTCCCGAATATGATGAGGAAAACGAAGGGTTCTGGGAAGAGACCGCAGAAGCTCGCGCACGTAGGCAAGAGCAGCTTGAGGGCCCATACGAACTGTTCTCTAGTATCCCGTCTCGACCCTTTTTCCCTCGCGGATTTCTATGGGATGAAGGCTTTCACCTCCTCCCCATTGCCGATTGGGATATTGATCTTACTCTCGAGATTGTGAAGAGCTGGTACAACTTGATGGACGAGGACGGTTGGATTGCCCGAGAACAGATCCTCGGCGATGAAGCTCGAAGCAAGGTGCCTCCCGAGTTTCAAGTTCAATACCCGCACTACGCCAACCCTCCGACGCTATACCTGGTTCTCGAAGCTTTCACCGAAAGGCTGCAAAAGACAAATGGCAGCCAGCACGTAGGCGAGAAAGAACATCTTACACCAGACACCGTTTTAGAAAGCGCACACGTTGATAACCCCTCATTGGGTATCGAGTACCTTCGCAATCTATATCCCCTTCTACGCCGCCAATTCCAGTGGTTCAAGAAGACCCAGTTCGGCGATATCAAATCGTACGACCGACAGGCCTACTCTACGAAGGAAGCCTACCGTTGGCGCGGGCGCTCTATTCAGCACATCCTAACGAGCGGATTGGACGACTACCCCCGACCGCAACCTCCTCACCCTGGTGAGCTGCACGTGGACTTGATGTCTTGGATGGGCATGACAGCCAGAGTGCTAGCGAAGATCGCAGACATCGTCGGCCTCCCTGAAGACGTGCAGGAGTACAACAAGGTGTTCGATGGTATATCGCACAACCTGGTCGACCTGCACTGGTCCGAATCCGCAGGCTGCTTCTGCGACGCCACGATCGATGAATTTGAGGAGCACACCCTTGTCTGTCACAAGGGTTATATCTCCCTATTTCCGTTCCTACTAGGTCTGCTTCAGCCTGATGACCCCAAGCTCGGCAAACTCCTTGATCTCCTAGGTGACGAGGAGGAGCTGTTTAGCCCCCACGGCATCAGGAGCTTAAGCAAGAAATCCGAGTTCTACGGCACGGACGAGAATTACTGGCGTAGTCCTGTGTGGATTAATATTAACTACCTCGCTATCGTGCAACTCCGAGTAAGTTCAACTGCTGCTCAACCTTATCCTCCCATCCCTTTTCTTCTCCCCTCTTCATTATCCCAATCTACCCATTCAATCCTTCATAGACACTCACATAAACCTCAACACACCGCTAACCAACCTATTCCAGAACTACGCCACCCAAGACGGCCCCTTCGCCGCCAAAGCCAAGACCCTATACGCCAAGCTGCGGAAGAACATAGTCGAGACCGTGTACCAGAGCTGGGAGGACACGGGTTTCGCCTGGGAACAGTATAACCCCGAAACCGGCAACGGTCAGCGCACGCAGCACTTCACTGGCTGGACTAGTCTCGTCGTCAAGATCATGGCTTTGGATGATCTAAGCTCCTGGTCGACGGGCGGGAGCGCGGCGGAAAGGGAGAGGGATGAGCTATAGGGCGTTTTCGCGTGATGAAAAGGTTTTATGAAGAATACGATGCGTATGGAATGACGTTACGCTTGAGGAGAGCGGTGGGGGAGGAATGTCCATATTTTGCCTAGATGAAATTCTAATGACAATTGAGATGAATGATATGATATGCCAATGATCTTTTAAAGCATATAATGAGCCTTGAAAATACAAGACGATTTTATATTTCTTTGCTATATGTAGTAGTGTACCACACTATCCTATCCTATCCCATCCCATCGAAAGGCGAGCTCTATGATGAATGAGCCGCGATATTCCCCGTCCCGAATTATTTTCCTCGTCCCTATAATGCATCGTTGAGTCATCTAGCCCGCAGACGAGCTCTCTCAGTTATAATACCTTACCCGCACCCACCTGTATACGCCTAATATGATTGATAGATTGATAGATAGTTATATAATAAAACACACATGTATTCACCCGTAGATTCGTAGGTCGTATATCACGCCTCGTCATCGAACACGCCCAATGGGCCCTTAAGCTTCGTAAACATCTCGTCGCGCTCGCCCTCGGCCGTACTCAGAGCGGTAACCGCGCCACCGGCACCAATATGCCAGACCTCGTGCTCCTGCTGGTTTTGTCCCTCGACCGTCTCGTCGTCCCAGCGGAACAGGCTCCGGATCGTAACGCTCCAGTCACCACGACCCGCGGCGTCCATGTAGCCTACAACGCCGGAGTATAAGCTCCGCTCATGGTGACCCTCGATCTCGTGTAGGATCTCGCAGCTGCGCTTCTTTGGGGCGCCGGTCATACTTCCAGGGGGCAGGCTTGCGGCTAGGACATCTAGACCGGTTTTCTTTGGCGTTCCGTCGTCATTGTTACCCGGTAGCTGGCCCTCAACGACGCTGATCATCTGGAACACGCTGGCGTATTCCTCGACGATGTTAAGCTTAGGGACGGCTACGCGGTCGGGTCCACATACGCCGTGCAGGTCGTGCCGTACGAGGTCGACGATCATCAGATTTTCAGCTTCTTCTTTAGGTACGTGCAGGATGGCTTCGGCCTGTGTGAGGGTCGAGACGGCGCTCGATTTGCGCACTGTGCCTTTCATCGGACGCATTGAGCATAGACCATCAGCGCTGAACTCGAGGAACCGTTCTGGTGAGCTGCTGATCAGCGTCGCACCGCCAAGCCGAATATACGAACCAAAGGGGGCAGGCTGACGAGAACGCAGAGAACGGTATAGCTGCCATGAAGTCTGGGGTGGCTTCCCAGGTTCAAGAGGCATTAATGGACAAGATTCCATCGCGGGAAGAATTTTAGGTCGTGTGATATGCGTCTGATCTGTTAAGCATAACTCATACGAATCACCCGAGGCAATGAAATCTTGACACTGTCGGACTTTTGCCTCATATTCGTCGGCGTCCGGCACTTGTATTTGTGCTTTTGCGAATATGGAATCCGGCGTTGACGGTGGTGTAAGCTGGTTTAGTTGTGTACGCTTGTTGAAATCCGCGCGAAGCCCATCTGACCAAACTGGTGAAGCTGAAAGCCTGTCGATGATAGAGTCCGCCCAGTCGTTTCCTTCAGACTCTATTGGCGATAAGTGTTGAATGCGTAAAGTCCCATCCGTATGATCTATCACGATACTTTTGGTAACCCAGGCGAAGCAGAGATCCGGTCTGGTGTGACGCCTCTCTTCGTGAGATTTGACATCAATACCTTCCAATCCAAGTTCGTAAGTAGTATAGCCCATGAAACCGCCAAGGAAAGGTGCAGAACGATCATCGGGTGCCACTCTTCGCTTAGTCCAGAATTCAGCTAATAGCTCCCATATGGTTTGCCCAGAGCTAAGATGAAGCTTTCCGGACGAGAAAGGTTGTCGAGAACATGAGCATCGGGCAGTAACATAGCTATCTCCCGTTCTGTATTCCAATTTCAATGCCTCATCAACGTCTAAGGCGATGATGCTATAACGCCCTCGCACATCAGCTCCGATTCTATTTGCCTTGGCGCTTGCAGAGTCCAGAATGATGAAATCCCTCCTATCGCCTTGTAGTATCTCGACAATGTCAGGAGCCTCGATATGAATTGGGAGTTTTATACTTCTCGATCCATAGTGGTGGTTTATCTCAAAGGATGCTAGCTCGCTATCGCCATTTACCCACGAAGAGTGACTATTCAAATCATGTACCTTAAAACCTAGGCTGTCCTTAGCGCTACGTGCGCTAGATTTCGGTAGTCTAGTAATAGAACCGAGTGAAACAGCGGTGGAATCTGTGATGCGGCCATTCGTGTAATTCCACCGTATGGCCTCACTGAACCAGTTCTTAATAACTTGATGACCTGTTGGTTCCGTACATATTGACTCGGGGTGATATTGCAAAGCCCAGAACGGTCTCGTTCTGTGCTTCATACTCATGAGGATTCGCTCTATATAGTCACCTCTGTTTTCATACACCCAGGCCAGGGGAACAACGTCTGGCAAATGCGTAGGGGATGTCCATTTAGACGCCGTCCAATTATCTGTAGATATGGCATCTTGTCCAATATCCGCGTATAGACTGTGGTATAGCGTAGCTTTAAAAGGTGGAACACCATAGAAGATGTTTCCTTCATTTAAGCTAGGTCGTTCAGCATCATGATCGATTTCCCGAATCATGCCGTGAAGGCCGGTCTTAAGTTTCTTCACAATGCCACCACAGCTGACAACTAGGCTTTGAAAACCCAAGCATATTCCGAGAACCGGGACCAGATGCGCCGGTTCGAGGTCCCATATGTATCTCATAAGCCCCACATCTTGAGGCAAATTGGGCGATCCGGGACCCGGGCCACAGACGACAGCATCATAGCGACGCAGCAGATTAGTCAACTCGTGAGTAAAATTTGGTGCTTGCGGGCGAAGCTCAGGTGGATCAATGGGTAAGATGTCAACATGAGCTTGTAACGTCGTTGTCAGAAGAGAAACGATATTGTTACTAAAAGAATCATAAGCATCAATGAAGAGGATCTTAGGTTTGTTCATATTGATGTCTGCGAAAATATGCCAACCTTGGCTTGGTTGTACATGATGGACGTTTTGCTCCACGATTACATGTATGTATATAATAAGCGCAGGTGTGTAGAGTTATTTATCTCATTCGCCAAGATAATAGGTAATAGGTAGGTAATAGGTAATAGTAATAAAATAAGTAAGCCTGACTTAGAAGAATTTTTCCAAGGGATTAGATGTGAAAAAGGCGTATGTTTGCAGCTGACAACGGGCACTAACTTAGCGGACTAACATAAAAAAGGGGCGACGCCTTAGCTACGAATATTGGACCGAGAGGAAGCGGCTTGAGCCGAGCCTCCATAATTTCTTGTTTTTATACTGTTACTTTTTTCTATGACCAGAACATCGTCCAAAATATAGAATTCTTAATCACACATAAGCAAATTGGTAGTTTTCTCCATTATATTAAATATCGGAGTGAATCCTTTTTCATCTCTATAACCACTTAACTTCCTGACCATACGGGGCTCAATCCAGGACCAATCGCTATTCGATAGCCTATCAAATTGTTCCAGACGTGAATTCTCGTTGTGTAACTAAGTTGTTAAGCCGAAGACAAACTGAGCATGTTGCATGTGTTACACCTGAAATAAACCTAGCTGTGAAGTATCTCACCGCTTATAATATCTGCAATTGTAATATATCACCTAGACTCCCGACTTCTACGGATGCGAATCGGGCATAGAAAGCCGAGCTAGCTCGACATCGCAGATCTCGTCGGGGTTGCACACAGATAGGATACACCAGAGCAAATGCCGGTCAATTCTGCGCTAAGTATCAATATATACCTGAGTAGGTAGCTTTCGTAATGCTTCTAATGCAGCGACTCCTTCATTCGTTACCCCAATTTAATCCATAACGCGCGTCTGAAACCTTGTATTCCCGTAAGGCCTTGAGCGCACCCTCGGCATCGTCTGCCGTAACCAAGATATCGGCATTGCCTGCCTTAACGAAACCCTCGTCGACGGCTGTCTTAATCCACTGTGTCAAGCCGTTATAGAATCCATTTGTGTTGAGTAAGCAAACGCCTTTATCATGGATACCCAGTTGATTCCATGTGGCCGTCTCGAGCAGCTCTTCCATCGTGCCGTAGCCGCCAGGGAGCGCAATGAAGCCACTTCCGGGTCCTCCTTCGATCACTTCTCTCGCCATCATCTGCTTCCTCGTATGCATGTCTTTAACAACCGTCGTTCGGCCGTAAATCTGCTCTTCCGGAACGTGATACCCGTTGGCATCCGTAGTTGACGAATAAGTCGCATCTCGCTCCCATTTAACTAACGCTTCGGGGATGATACCGTGGACGGCATCAGGACCTGATATCGATACTATTGTCTTCGCTACTTCTCCCATCAACCCTACTGTGCCACCTCCGTATACTAGACATAAGATATTAGTACTGCTCAAATAATAAGACTCCCTATATCCGTATAGAAAGAGAGAAAAGCAACAAAGAGCGTACCTAAAGAGATATTGTTCTCTGCCATAAGCCTGCCTAGCTCTTGAGCTGCTTTAAGATACGCCGGCTTGTTCCCCGGCGACGAGCCGCAGTAAACGCAGATCTTGGCCGGGAGCGGGGTGGCGTTGGAATTCGGACCGGACGTCATCGTATTACGAACCTCAGAATGTCTGAATGTCTGACAGAAGTGGGGTTTATCGAGATAAGTGGCCGAGACTTGGGAATGTAGAGGCGTAAAAATAACCTAGACTATCTTATAAAGGTTTAGGTAGGTAAAGAGATGTGCTTCCTAGAGCCGGCTACCAAGAGAAGAAGAAGACGGGAAAGTTGGGCATAAGGCGGAACAAGCTCAGACTACTAAGGCAGATGGGCGGAGGCAAAGATTTTATGATAAGAAAAGCTAAACTGCCCGGGTAGAGGAGCTGGGTACGAAGAGGCGAGTGCTGTTTCGGGAGGAATGTAAGATATCGAGTCACTAGCACAAATCAGACCTCGCAAACAACGATAGCAAAGTACCTAATAGAAGCGCAACGAGGAAGTGAAGTGTTTGTGTGTGGCGGGAAGCGGCATCTGAATCAAAGTCAAGGTGGGACTTGGGCGTTGAAGCGATGAATCTCCGTTTTGGCTGCCACTTTTTCTCTTGCTAGGCCAGAGTCACTAAAGTCCATCTCACCAATGACGTAGCTTAGTGGACAATAATGAATTTTCTGGTGGCATGGCAGCATGGCCAACCAGCCAGCCTGTCCAGCATTGGTTGAGCTGTAGGCTGTAGGCTGTACATAGCAGCAGCCTTTAGATAATGTACCTGTCTTGATTTGCCGAGGGGCCAATTATAAATTGGGCCGTTGTGTTGCTACAATATAGGTATTATGTATGTATGGCATATGCGTATGGCATATATGTATGAGTATGAGTAAGAGTAAGAGTAAGAGTGAAGAAAAATTGTCTTAGGCGCGTCTTAGACTGCATTAGGTGTTGTTGTAACACCTAAAGACCCAAGCCTCGAGTCATTATAGCAAATCGCTTCGGGCAATGATAAAGGGGAAAACGAATTATAATTGGTCCCCTCCTTGCCAGCTGACATAGAAATGGCTTACGAAGCTGTGAAGTTAAGGCAATGTTGCACTTGACAAGTCAGCCAGGTTTACATACATATTATATACATTATGTACATATTACCTTAGGTAATAGTACAGGCTTGCATACCTTATGTAGTGGTGGTGAGTCGTGACAGACTTTTGAGGGGTCTACTGTCCTGCGAGTTTCTCTAGGTACAGGCTTATGTCGTGCACCAGCATCGGATTGTGATTCGCCGATCTTACCGCTGTCGGAGGGTCCAGGCCAACCAGAGCTGGCTAGAACCTAATCGCCCAGGATTGCGATAAGTCCAACTACACACGTCTTATCATAAACATGTACTCTATTCTTTTTTTCCTGGCGACGTTTTACAGAGGCATAACAACCTCTGCCTAATTCATCGCGATCCCAACCAAGTGTCGATTAATGTCGATTAAGGTCGCATCCACCTTGAAAGACTTCCTAAATAGTGCATATTCCTTAAGTCTGTATCACAGCCTGGGCATCACTACTAGGAGAAATGCCTGAGGCAAACGCCGCCCCTGCCGGGGACGCCCGCGAAGGGCAGGGCGTAAGTTGTCGCGTCACAGTCTTTCTTAATAGCGACTTTGAGACCAAAGCTAACATCGTTATCTCTTAGTCAATAGTCGGGAAAATCGTCCAGGGTTTAGCGATATGGTTTGGCATGCAATTGCTAATGAAGCAGTTGACGGGCGGCAACAAGACACAAACTGCCACCGTTCAAGACGCCTCCGGCAATGCTGTACAGGTTCCCGCGAATACCGGCGATATACCTGCTTACCAACTTCGCCCGCAAACTCTTGACGAAGGCGCCGTCTGGAACCCCATTCCACAGCGGCTCGCACCTATCTGGCCCGATGATAGTCCCGTCGATATTGTCGTTACGCTCTCGCCATCCTTCATGCCCACCAAGATCTCTGATGTGCCAGAGGAGTACGTTGCCCTTAGTGAGAAGAATTTCAAGCTGAGCAACTCGAGTGACACACGGGTTGTCGAAGGTACTTTCAATGTGCCTTCGGCCGTTCAGAAGAATGGGACGCTCTGGGGACACTTCTATATTGGACTGACAGGAGCCAATCTTGACCCTAAGGAGCCAGGATTCGATCCAGCGAAGGCCTTCCATTTCGTGCACCCCTTGACTCAATATATTCCAAAGAAGAAGGAAGCAAAAACCCGTAACTTGCTAGAAGGACGGTCTGAAGTGGAAGTAGAGGAAGAACCCGAAGACAAAATCACCGGCCCAATCGTCGCAAGCTACTATCATCCCAATACTAGCTTATCATTCATTACTGGCATGGGCGTCTTAACATATCCACAATTGCAGCCCGCTGTAAGACAATTCGTACATGTAGAGGTAAGGTCCCAGCTTCGTTGAACCCGCCACGCCAATGCTAATATCCTACAGCCTACGGGTGCTCGCGATGGTTCTGGGCAGAACTCTTGGTATTGTAGGTTGCCCCTCATCTAAGATTTTATTCTCTTTCGCTTAGGTGGACATAAAGGCTAACATCCGTGTAGACCCTATCTTATACGTTAATACGTTCTGGCAACTCAAGAGTCATATGACGCTTCTTAATGAAACTGTTAAGACACTGCCTATACGCCTCGACCTTGGTAACCTGAAGGGCTTGTATTTCAACGTTATGGCTACGATGGATTTGAACTCTAAGCAGCAACAACTCCAAGCTGCTTATGGCGCGCCTATGCCAGGTGGCAGCGATGGAAGCGAGATTGATATGATCAAGGAGATGTTATTGGACACGAACCCTTATCTCATTGGTGTAACAGCTGTCGTGAGTATTGCGCACCTGTTCCTTGAGATGCTCGCTTTCGGATCCGATATCGCCCATTACCGCAAGAAGAAGGACAACGTTGGTATTTCGGTTCGCTCGATCCTGGCCAACGTCTTTATGCAAGCGGTCATCTTCCTCTACCTGATCGACAATTCTCAGAATACTAGCTGGATGATTCTCGGCACTCAAGGTATTGGTATCTTCATCGAATTCTGGAAGATTACTACCGTTGTGGATGTCAGAGTGCGGCCAGCTCCACCAGGATCATTGATACCGTACCGGATCGCGTTTGAGGATAAATATAAGCTTAGCGAGACTGAGGAGAAGACGAAGGAGTATGATGAGATCGCATTCAAGTACATGTACGTTGCTGCGGTCCCTCTACTCATCGGCTATGCCATCTGGTCGCTGGTCTACGAATCACACAAATCGTGGTACTCGTATATCCTCACAACCCTGGTAGGATCTGTATACGCATATGGTTTCTTGATGATGGTACCTTCGCTTTACATCAACTACCGGCTTAAGAGCGTTGCCCATATGCCGGGTAAGGCAATGCTTTACAAGTTCTTGAATACCTTCATCGATGATCTATTCGCCTTTACCATCAAGATGCCGTTCTTGTATCGTCTAGCCACGTTCCGAGATGATATCATCTTTTTCCTCTACATATATCAGCGCTGGGCATACAGGATTGACTACACCCGAGTCAACGAATTCGGCCAGGGTGGCGACGAGGAAACTGAGGAGACTAAGGTCGAGCCTAAGTCGTTACTAAACGCCGAAGCTGTCACCGAGAAGGTCGAGGGCACCGCGAAAACCAGTGGTGCGGATACCGGCGCAGCAAAGAAGAGGAAGTAGAGTAATATGAGCTTTAGAGGGATGACATGTTCGCATGCATCTTTGACATATAAAGTTATGAATACTTAATGTTGGCATATAGAAATAGAGTACTGCACCAGGCAGAATTGTCCGGAGGGAAGTCTTAGTAATAGTCTCTAATTGCACCAAATGCCTATGCATAAAAGTATGCGCTCATACACTATATTGGACATCTTCTAGCGTGCGGAATATCATAAATTCGTACTGTCGCTATGTAATCACATGCATAATAGTACAATATCAGCCCTACGCACATGGGCCTAGCAAGTCGCTAGCAATTTAATTAACTAACTTAGCGACCCAAGAAATTCTACGCTAGACCAAATATAAGGTACATGTACTAATTGAAGACACGAAACAAAAGTACCATGTAGGTACATTTATGTAGGTCTTTCCGTGTCTGGGCTATTGGGAGCTTCTGTTCCATGCTCGTTGTACAAGTAGCAGAGTTCGGACGATAAGGCGTTTCTCTTTTCCTTTTCTTCCCTTGTAATTCAATATCCTGCTCTGCCCCCAACACACGGATCCATACAGGAATATTATTTAAACAGCGGCTCGCGTCATTACGTACCTAACCTACCTAGACGACAGAATCATACTACTCCTTAAACATTCTGATAGGTAACACTATCTTATCTCCCCGTCCCTTGCATCTCGATACCCGGTAGTTAGTTGCCGGTCTAGATCCGTCTCCCCGAGCTTTAACTAAAACGATAGTTACGTAGGTGGACTATCACCCTCCTTTTAAGTTTCGTCGTTTCGCGACGTTTCGCAAAAAAGGAAAATATAAAGGAGACCAAATATAATACACGAAAGGGTCCTCGGTTTTCTTAGGAGACATCTGCCTCCTTTTTTAAGCTTTCATCCCACCCACCTTTCTAGAGGAAGACGGAGGAAGGGGACGAGGTGTGCCAGATCGGATCGCGTCACGTCGGGAAGCACAAGCACAGGCACAGGCAACTAACCGATAATTCACACACCGCCCTCTCCGCCGTTCAGGGGCGAGAGAGTATAACTCCAGGTAGGACATGAGCCACGAGACCGTTGGCTCGCTTCTGGCCGTCATTGCGAACTCGCTCAACGATGGCCTGCGCATCATGATGTTCGCCGACAAGCGGGCCTGGGGGTCGGACGAGTTCGAGCAGCTGCGCCTACTAGAGGAGACCCTCGACGAGGCTAAGAAGGACTTCCAAGAGCTGCCTGCTCTTGTCAACGGGAGGTACTACTACGAGAACGACCGCATAGGTACGTCAAGTATTCCCCCTTTTCCATCCACTAAACCTCCCATTCGCAATAGTCTACATACTTACATATCGTTACCTGCATGCCACCTACCTATTCCTTTAGAAGACTACCTGCCTGCTCCCTGAAAGAGAAGTTGACCTAATAAGCCTAATTCTGTTTTGCGCCTCCAACAGACGAATCCCTCGAAGACCTCCGTATCCTATGCACGCGCTTCGAGCTACACACGCAGACCTTTAAAGACTGGGTGCGCCACGGCGGCTCCATAGACCTGTCCTGGGCTCACGAAACAACCGCCCTCCGACGCGAATTGCACCGCGCCCAGTGCCGCGCCGCTAGACGCATACACAGCGCGCAGCAGATCGAGACGTCGGCCGAGAGCGTAAGATGCCTTGGCGCCTTGCAGGTGTACCGCGTGCAAAAGGGGCGCGACGTGCGCGTCGAGGACGAGCGGGCAGCATGCGCGCAGGCGGGCCGCTTCGAGAGGTATGCGGAGAGAGACGTGGCTTTCGTGTGTGATTTCTGCGACGGGTTTTTAGTCTGGGAGGACCTGCGCGCGGTCCCGACGACGCGGATAACTCAGCCTCCCCCGCGCAACGAGGATCTCCCCGCACCCGTTACGAGCAATACGACGAGAGCTGGCGAGACCGGCGACAGTAATAATAATAATAATAAAAATAAAAGTAATAATCCCAGCGACGGTGATAACGAGACCAATCCCGCCACAGCGAATTGGCAAGCCCGAGGCATCGCCCTCTCCAACGGCGAGCAGAAGACGATAGTATTCGCACCGGTGGCCGTGGCAAACCACGTGCCCCCCGAAGTAGGCGAGTGGCGGTCGCGGATCCTGTGCCCGCACTGCGACGAGTACTACTACGAGGAACAGGGCGACGGCGACATGGAGCGCGTGCGGTATACGCAAGGCCGAGGGTTCGAAAGCGTTGCGGCTTTCCAGGAGCATCTGGAGTGGAGCCATGCGTCCATGGTGCCGAGCGCTTCGAGCTGCGGAGTTATGTAAAGAGGGAAAAGGGGGACGAAGTAAGGGAGGTTATTTGAATTCCCAGATTGGGAGGTTAACTTAATTACATGGCGGCGTTCGGAGCCTGTGCATTGAATCAATTGGGCCTTATTTTATATACCTAATCCATCGCGGGTCTAAAAGAGCAAAGGCGAGGCGTTCAGGCGTCTATCAAAAGGGAAGAAGGGATATATCTGATTACGGCCCTGCTTATAGATATCTAGAATCGAGGCCTATAGAAGGGGGAGGGGACGCAGGTTGAGCATTCAACAAGCCGAGTAAAGGAAAGGAACTCAATAAAGTGGTCTAATTAGTTTGGATATTAGGACTATATGCCCATAGGGAGCCATTCTCAAGACTCCCCCGATGCTGCAGTAACTAACCTACTATACTACAATACTCGAGTTCAAATGACACACTTGAAGATTGAACTCATGCTTGCCCTACTGTGCTTCTCCCCATGCTGCTTTGTTGGTGATACATGTCTGCGTATGGACTTTGCGTAATTCTTCGTTTCTTACTCCCATCCACCCCCCTCCCATTTCCCACCCCCTATTATCTCCTTAGTACCCGACCTCAAAAAAACCGGAACCAAATAAACACCAGCACAATCAGCACAAACACACCAATGGGCGCATACTGCTTAATCAGCAAATCCCAATTAATCTTCACAGCCGCCTTCCTATACTTGCGACTATCATCCCTAAGCCTCGAACTCATCTCGCCCATGCGCTCCAGACTATCGCCCCGATACAGCAAATCCTCGATGTTCTTCGTCATGACCTTGGTCACGTCGCGCAGCTCGTCGTTCAAGCGGCCCAGGCCCTGCGTCGCGCGGGCGTCGGCGTATAGGGCCTTGGTGCGGGTGATGAAGGTGTCGAATTCCATGAAGGCGTAGGGGCGGAGGGATGGGGAGTGCAGCTGGGGCGCGGGGTAGGACTGCGCGAATTCGGTGGACAGGTCGGAGAGGTAGGTGAATGCTAGCTTGCGCGGGTAGGAGCGCTCGCTGATGCAGATGTAGACTATGTCGTTGGCGATGAGGTAGCTGGGAGGGGAGGGAGGGTTAGCTAGGAGTTGGAACTGAACTGAACTGAGGGGGGAAGTTGGATCGATTTGCTTGGGAGGGGAGGGAGTGAGGGCATACTGGATTGTGTAGTTGCCGCTTTCGATGCTGGCTTGGGGTTCGGCGTTGCGGTTTAGTCGTCGTAGTATGATTTTGGTTTGCGACTTGACTTCGGGGAGAGAGGATTCTGGCTGTTTGGTAGCAAGACGGTTAGTATAGTATAGGATATGGATATTCCATAGGTGACCAAACGGAGGAGGACAACAGCATACTTGTTGTTCGTCATCGACGGATGCGCAGAGCATCAAGCCTGGATTACTATTATTAGTCTAGGCTTTGAGATGGGAGGTATGGCATATAGGTGGATAACACATACCGTCGCCCAAACGGGCTATCTGGGTTGACCTGATCATCTTTTGGATTGTGTGATCGCGCTGTGTTGTTTGGCGCTGTTCAATGCTAAGGGGAAGAGTGAAAGAAATGTGGTAATAGTATCCGGAGTATTGTAGCGTATGTGTCTAAAAAGACAAGCTGCAGACGCTTTAACAATTCAAGTAAATAAACCGATATGTCGTTGTCCCTAGGTTGCAATTAAATGAAATTAACGGCTGCTTGTTTCGATATGCCCTTTTTCACATATCAATCTGAGGGGTGGTTACTAGGGAAATGGGTGCTATATTATGTAGTTTGGTGAAGTTATCTCCAATATCAAAGAAAGTTGATTAACCAAGGTTGTCCAGTTGAAAGTCGGTAATGCAACGTCAGGGGATTGCAAGGATGAGGATTGGATAATTCGGCAGTGGGACCAAGCTAGGGAAAGATATCTTATCGATTATAGGTGATGACAGGGCTAAAAGCAATCCAGAATAGGCCTAAAATAGTAGTGGCCCACCTATCATTCGCACCGGCCAGCCGTTATTTTCCCTTTTAGGCCATGCCGCATTTACTTACATCTCGTCGCAGTCGCAGTTGCAGTCGCAGTGGTCGAGGCTGCGACTGCCTCATAATTACTATATATCAGGTGTACTTCGTACAATGACAAATAAAGCTTTCAGGCCAAAAGACACGTCCTTAATTTCACGCTTCTCCAATTACTCTTGTTCTCTTTTGCCATAATTCCTTAGTGCCACATTTACTGATTTCCCGGTGCTGTTATGAATTAATAGATGCTTCCTTTTACCTACCTACCTTATCTCTCTCTCTCTTGTCTCTGGTTTGCAACTCTTTTTGATTTAAGAGCCTACCTCTTTATATTCGCCGAGCACTGCCATCTTCACTTTTCCCTGACTTATTTATCCCAGACCATTCAAACATGCCTCCCCGAAAGAGAGCTAAAGGTGCGACCGAAGAGAAAGCCGAAGAGCCCATCAGAAGATCAACCAGAGCATCCAAGAGATCTGCCCCCGTACATGTTGACTCCTCTTCGGATGAGCTCTCTTCCAAAAACTTAACTTTTCGTGGACACGATGTGAAACTTTCAGACACCAAGGGCCCTTCTGAAGAAGAGGTCGGTGATGAGATCACTGTTCGCGTTACCCGCTCCAAGTCTCATGCAAGCAGCCGCCCCTCAACTGCGAAGAGTGACTCCGCCTCCCAATCACATAAGCTTAGAATTGTTTCGGCCCCATCTGAGGTAGGAGACGTGGACATATTTGATATCGACAATGATGGGAAGGGAGATGAACTTACTCACGAGGGACCGGCCATGAAGAAGAGCAAGCCCAATATCAATGAGAAGCCTTCAAACGGTCGAAAGTTTAGATACAAGTATGACAACCCTGACGAGATGCTTACAAACCCCCTATCACCACTAGCAACTGCCCAACTTCGAGTAAGTGAATACCCATCTCCTATCTTTATCACGAATAGTTATATGCTATAAGCTACTCCTCTCACATACAACTACACATATCTTATATCCGTGGTATTCTTACTAAAGCGCTGCACAGGAACTACTTTGCAGCAAAGTGGCTTGGGACCTATTAAGCACAGAGGAGAAGCAGCAAGTACTTGCAAAGTTCCCAGACGAGAAGGAGATTCTCGATGCCGGCACCGAGAATGCAAGGCCAAATATCACATCGCTCAGAAACAACAACAACTTCCGGCACGATATAGTGCGGTACCAGGATGACCTGAAAAAGGGATGGCACGACCCGGAGTGGATCCGACAGGCACAAGCTGCTCATAGCAAGCGCGAGATCGGCTTCTACAACGAGTATATTTCCGATCGCTTTCGGGAAGATTGGAACATGGAAATGCCGGGAGAGGAGGATAAGGAGGATGCACATCATATTGAGGGACGTCTAGAAGTGAAAGTACCTGAGAAAGATGGCAATGCTCAAGAAGAAGGTCGAGAACGAGATGACGAAGCACAGAAGAGCAGAGAAGACCAGGATACAGACCCAATGAAGGGTGTGACAGACACCTCTCAGGCGAATGGAGAGGAACACTTGGACAAGAAGAGATCGGAGCAGGTCGAAGTTTTGAAGGAACAGACAGGTGATGTGAACAAAGGTGGAGATTCGCAGGAGCATCCTTCAGACATAGCCATGGAGACGATGTAGGATGAATGGTCACGGTAATTGTCCTGGCAATTGTCCTGGCAAGAAGCCATATTGGACACTATGATAATGAAAGGTACCACGAAGCTCTAACGAAAATTAAATAACAATACTACACCACGTTTAGGAAGTTAGAATCCCTAGTATTCTTTACTGCCCGTTCGGTGTACATAATACCCTCGATAGCCATTACTTTACAGTATCCCAGTTCTCGTCTCTTTCTTCTTACACCGCTATATCAACTACCACCAGCACAGCACATGTCCCACCGTCGTCCAACAATCATTCACAATCTAGTCGTCCCGAGGATATCGAGATAATAGAAGGCGGACAAGTAAATATAGGTAGGAAATATTCGAGACTCCAAGAGTTCTAAGAACGAAAAAGTTCTGCTCTACCCTAGCAATAGAAAGAATAAAATATAGCTAAAGCTAATATACGTTTTACTTACCTTAGGTATACAAGCCAGCCAACATCGTCTACTCTAAGACAAATCGAGGCGTATTAGTGAAAGCACTTAACCCAAGATAGGATTAGGAAGGATCGTTATAGGTAGTTAGGGCTATCTTAGATACCTCTTAATTGAACATGAGCTGCTCGTATCTAATCCTAAAACACCACTCTCCTTGAATTAGATACACAAGCCAAATCAAGGATTACACACACACACACACACACACACACACTCACTCACTCACACTCACACAAACTACTATCCCTCACCGCCCACGCGTCCACGCAATCTCAACATCCAAAACGTGTAGCAATCGTCACACTGAGGCACAAAACTACCGAGCCAGACGGGATAGTATACGCGGCAGTTAACCCCCACTGCCTTATCAGGGACCAAAATATATCTCTCTGTCTGTCTGTCTGTTTGATTATGTGTAGCCCTAGCTGTCCTAGGACCTCATCTCATGACCAATTACTTCACTTCATTCATCTAGTAGTTATCTCTCTCTCTCTCTAAAACGTCTTCTTCTTTTATACATACGTGACTCCATACATGTACCTCCCTAATCGCGGGACTACCCGCCTATCACGTTATGTTACGTTACGTTACGTTACGTTACGTCACATATACTCTCCTATACTCTCCTCTCCTCTCCTCTGCCCACTTACTCACCCCCCCTCCCTATCCCTATCCCTATCCCTATCCCTCACGCTAACAAAACACGGGCGTCGAGAATGCCACAAGCGCCTCTCCTTAGCACCCAGGACCGCATCCATCAGGATCTCCGTCTCGGAGCGCCCTCTGCGCTCCCTCTCCTTATCCCCATCCCCCGGTACCCAGAGCTGCGTCTCCTCGACCGAGGCCGAGATCTCGAACTCCCCGCGACATAGCGCCGTCACACCGAGCACGACTTCGGTGCTCGATTTGGCTTCGACTAGCGGCAGGGTCTGCTGCAGCGTGCCGTTCCACGCGAACTTGCGCGTGAAGTCGAGGGCTACGTTTAAGGGGCGGTGGCATAGCGAGGGCATGAGGCGCAGGGTGGGGTATACGGGCTCGCTCATGCGGTTCGTGATGACGACTTTGACTTGCGCGAACTCGTCTGTGAAGATTGTGTTTTTGCCTTCCCGCGGGGAGTCTTCATCATCTTCCGGATCTTCGATAGAAATATCAATCCCAACCTCATCGATCTTAATCGCCTCGATCATACGCGGCGCGAGGCGGATACCGCGTAGCTCGATGGTGCCTTCTCTCGAGGGTCCGGACAGAGTCTTCCATGAGCCGGATAGTTTTTCTAGGACCTTCTCGCGGTACCAGAATGCCTCGCGGTTGCCGCGCTCTATCTCCGGTGTGATCTTGCTGCTGCTGACGACGAATTGCCGTTGGCGGGAGGGGTTGAGAGCTGGGATTGATGCGTGGGGGTCCTCTATGTATACCCTTGGAACGGGGAAGACGACGCGGTTGGTATTTCCCGGTAGGATATGTTCCTTTATCATGATACCGCTCTCTGCCTCGAGGCAGACTTGCATATCACTTGGCCAGGCGTTCCGGAGATCTAGTAACAGAAGACAGTACTCTTCATTAGATAGTGAAGTCTCTATTTCCGCAGCCTCCGCACCCACGCGAGACCAAATGGGTTTAGGTACACCATTTGTAAGGGGTAGAACATCCATCCTCGCGAGTTCTATGCTCGCATTGACAGTGATAGTTAAGTCGAGACAGACTTGGCGGGTGTGGAATTGCTCGGTAATTTCGGACTGGGGTACACCAAGGTATGCGTAGTCGACTTGGATAGTCCCATTGGTAAGGCCAGGCTTTCCAAGAATCTCGAAATCAAAAGTAGCCGTGCCTCCAGGTGCAATGTACCTCTTAGAGTCGTCGGTCTTGCGCAGTCGCAAAGCCTGTTTCCTTGCCAGAATGAGTTCATACTCGTATAATTCCGCAGGTGTTGCATCTCTACTTGTCAATGCTGTTTGTAGGGGGCCTTGCGTTGAGTCTTGGAAAGAGAAAAGCAGTAGATCTGCTGGCGTAGATTGAGATAAGTTTTGTAGCGTCACGGAAAAGACCCGGCGTTCTCCTTCTAGAATCATTACTGAATCCTGAAGGAGAGACGTAGATTTAATAGCAATAATAGGCTGTGCAGGGATAGCGCTTAGTCCGATGCTGTCTGGGCTTAACGAAGGTCCAGAAAAGGGCAACTTCTTAGCCTGCTCTAATGAAGCCAACCCGATCCCCTTAACTTTGATTTCCGTATCCGGAGCCCACGGTTGAGGGAAGATGGGAAATCTTCTTTCGCGGCATCCTCGTACTTTCACGATAGCCCCCTTTATCTTCAACGGGCCTGCAGCTCTAGGGGTACCAGCGAGCTTCAGGATCTGCGTACGATACGGCCCTATTATCGTGCTTGTTGTAGATGACTCGAAATCGGCTCCTTCAGCATCTAATTTGATACTCTCAATATCGACGTCGATTTCATAGGGGTTCTGAAGCGTAACCCTAAAAACTGCTGCTTCTCCAGCAACAAGTGTCCTCTCCACCGCCGCCTTATCCGAATCTCTTATAAATGGGTTGTAGATAAAAGGATTTACGTCCTGCGAAGTGCGCGCCGTCGTCACACTCGGCAAAACGTGCTTAGAGTGTGGTATAGGTGTTCTGCTTTGCGGCAAAGGATCCATTGTGATCCCCCGGACGAGGAATTCGTCCCAGTATTCTCCAGAAAGGCTTTCCAAACCTAGCCTCTGAGACAAGCCAGATGTCTTTGAGATGTTATTTGCCAACCTGATCTGCTCGTCTCTTGTAATTATCGGTGCTGCATCTTCCCGACGCGGTCCTGGCGCAACTCCGCTTCCGGCAGTGCGCAATAGATCGCTCGAGAACTTCAATACGCCATTAAAGTCTGGTAAAGCCTCAGAGAAATTAATGCAAGCCCGTAGAACGTTGAGCTTGATATTTTGAAATCCAAATTGCCTAATTGCGGATTGACTCAGAATTCTCGAGATGACTTTTTCGTCTGTGTCAGCCGCTTGATGCGATTCAGAGGCTTCACTCGTGTCCTTGTCGAAGCTGACAACCCCATAGGTTTTAGATAGTAGTCCGAGAAAAGCGTCAATCCCATGTTCTATATCTCCCTCGCCCAGCTCAAGGGACCCCGCACCATTTCCATGACCATTAACAGCATTGAGCGCTATTAGACCAGCCGCCGGATGAATACCGACTTCAGCGGCGCCTCGTGTTCTTGCTTCAACCAGTCCTCCGATTAATACCGACACCAGTTCTCGCACAACCATGGCTTTTTTTCTATGGAAGCCCAGCAAGCCAAGGATAGTAGAAATTCCGCTAAGAATGATTGCACGGTCTACGGTTGTAAGCAATTCCGGCGCAGACGATGGGAAAGCCTTAAATAACAAAGTTGCGATTTGAGCGCGGGGAGGAGCGATAATTAGGCGAGGTGATGTAGTGAGAGTGTTTGGAGATAGATTGCCGAGGACGATTTTCCCCAGGGCTTTCTTATCGAGCCTACCTTCGCACAAATGGAGAACTGTGAGCAGCGTGCAGAACCTGATGATAGATTCCGAAAGTGGGAATGGAGGAAGCTGTTCGCCAGATATCCTTGAATATAGTGCTATTATTCTGTCAAGCAGATCTGGAAGAATGGCCTGGAGGTGCCGTAGGTGTTTTGGTTGCTCAACATCGCCCTCTTCGAGTTCTGCTGGGCCTTTAGCTATGGCGCTGATTGACTTCTCGTTCGCAGGTAGGCATATTGCAGGAACTTGAAACTCAACTCCGACCCATCCAAGTAAGAGTAGACATATCGTAATAAGTTCGAGTGCTTTGCCGTGCCATAAGTGGTCATTGATAGACTTTGCCATAGTTGCACCCTCGATCAGCTCTTTCAGTGCGTCCGTCCACCGACCAGCCTGGAGATATAAGGATCCCACCAAGATTATCACTCGCCCTCGGCTTTTATTCCTCCACCTCTCGTTCAAACTACCAGACCCAAAGCCCATTATTGAAACCTTGTCTTGGTTTGCTACTCTCGTTCCTCCGGCAGAGCCTGGGCGAGATGTCTCGGGGATTGGTACATCGGCATTGCTTTCGTTCACGGTAGTAATGTCTTCAAATGTGGTTGGGGGGTTAGACAACCCGCTACGGACGGGAGTTGTAGGCCGTCCTGAAGGAGTCGAGCTGCTAGATCCAAAAGGGAGCGACTTGAAAGGCACTGGCATGGACATCCGGGCAAGGCCCCTATCCGCAGCACCGCTAGTTGATGCCGACCTTGTAACGCTGGACACGGCGTATTGCGAGTTCCTTCGCGCAGCTGGGTTCGCATCATCCGAAGTCCAAGACGCTCCATTAAGATCCGGTCTTGTGGGAGCTTGACCGGGGGAGTCTATAGACGTCGTTCCTTCGAAGGACTTGGCGAGGGTTGTCATCTCCGCTAGCAACAAGGAAGATATATCGCACATGATAGTTTTAACCGTAGTTCTATTCGAGTTTTCCACCGGTGGGATTGTTTTAATGCCTTCGGGAATAGGAACTGTACTTTCTGTTTGTGGTGCATAATCAAATATGAGCACTTGATGCGTAAGGATCTTTGGATACGTGTCCCGCAACTCCTCAAGTTCTTGGTACAAAGTCCTAATATTCCTCTCTACGATAGTCGGCGCATGGCCATTGGCAGATTGTCTCTTGCTAAACGTGACATTTTCGAGCTCCCGGCCGTCAGCGATAGCAATAACCGCAAGTGGTTCACGAAAAAGCTCGAAAGGGGCTAGAGCAAGGTGGGATGGAGGGGGTATGTAGGTGATTAGATCGTAAAACATAGCACCGTCGGGGAACGCGAGGGGAGAGAACATATCTAAAGAGAATATCATTAGCCTTATGACCTCTAGTGTAGTATGTTTAGGGTGTATTACTTACTCCGATTGGGTCGCCCATCGGCGCTGATGTCGCGGAGTTGGACAACATGCTCCTCGTTTAGTCTTTGGACAAAAGACGTAAACCTATCCCGCTTGATCCGACCGACAGGCAAGACTAATGCCCGTACCCTCGCCGGGGCGATAGGTAACAAGGAGTCCAGGCTCATCCTAACATCTGCCTTGACCTCACACTACCATGACAGAACAACCGCATGCCTACCGAACCGGGGGCCAAGTACGGACGAGTCGCGCGATTCGTTCAGCCCTTTGCGCAACTCGAGTGTGTCGCAAGCGTTGTCCGATATTAGGGTCTTATCATTTGTTCGATTTTGACATATATTCAACTCGTAGGAATAAAGACCGGTTGTATGAGATGGGGTGATATAGTTTAAAATATCCTTTTTTGAGCAACGAAATCTAGAATGACGATGAAATGCCCAAGATCAAGCTCCTGAGCCTCGTGCGCCGTTGGAAACATTAGACCAATCAAAGCTTAGGAGCTTGGACAGGGATCATCCCAAAAGAGAAGGATGTGTCCGGGGTATCTTGGGTACCTAACCTAAGTACCTAGGTACCTAGGTAAGTACAAGATAATGCCAGGGCTAAAACTGAGTATCAAACAGTATACCCTTCAAAATATATCTCTCAAGTGCAACTTCAATATTGTCTTTCTTTTCAGGCACAATAGATGTTACAGCTTTAGTCTTTTTCGAATTGAATGTTCGGCCAAACTAACGCAACATCGTACCGTCATCGTTGAACCTCAAACTGTGATACGAGATATTTATACATATGGTTACGGCTGAAGAGAGCTATACAATGTCAACCGTCATTGCATACCTATTGTAACAATTGTGTTCCAAACCGTCCATATATATCGTTATATTCGTACATGGTATCAATATACACGATTTGTTAAGATGATGTAACGCTCGGCGAACCTCCCGACCCTTCAGCTTTTCCTTCAGGTTTTACCTTACCTTGCGTGGCCTCATTTTTTAGTTCCGAGTCGAAAATATCAACAGCGAGACTCGCTTCGACAAAGTCCTCCAGCTCTTCCGTCACCGTCTTTAATTTCTCCTTCACAGCCTCGGCTCCCTCAAACCCAACAATGTGACGCGCCGGTGGATTCTCATGTCCACCGATAGCAGTGAGGGCGTATACCGTTTCACCCACGAGGCGATCCATTGAAGAAGGAGGTAGCTTCGGATATCTTTGAATAATTTCCGTCTCTGAGGGCTCGACAGCTGTCTCCGAGTTTAGATTTAACACATTTGTGAGCATATCCCTAACGCTCGGTGCCGGGTTATTCTCGCTGTCGTAAACAGGTAAGGACGGAGAGAAAATAATCTTGTTAGTTAAGGATTGTATCTCCTTATGTGGCTGTACTATGGTTACTTTAATATTAAAGGGCGCGACCTCGTAAGCTAGTGAATCGCAGAATCCCTCTAGTGCCCACGTCGCTGCCGTATATATAGGCATTCCAGGCGTGCCTATATGTCCGCCAAGACTAGTGAGGATCATAATGTGGCCGGTATGCTGGGCGCGAAACGTCGGGAGCGAGGCTTTGATGAAATTTACTTGGGAGAAGAAAATGGTTTCGAACTGGTCGCGCACGAGATTTTGCGTCGCCGGCGAGGTAGACAGCTCTTCTACGGTTCCAACAATAGCTATTTTCAAATAATCATCTCGTAAGAACTCGGCTTTGCCCCGCGCATGTATGTACGCATGTATGTAGGTACGTATGCGCAGTTAGGTTGCGCGTGGAGAAGGGATTGCATACCTTCAGATGTGCAACATAACAATATATCTATGCGGCCAAACACATGTTTGGCCTCCGCCACGGCCGCACTGCATTGGCCCATTACGCGGCCATCGCAGCGTATGCTCCTAATGCGGTCTTTCCATCCCTCCCGATCTTTTCGATTGCTTTTACACTCATTGACAAGCTCGCGAAATTCGGCGCTACGGTCGTCGTGCTCGATTTCTTGCGGCGGCAAGCAGGCGACGACATAGTCGCCATGAGTGAGTAATTGGCGTATCAATCGAACGGCCAGAGGGGTCAAGGACGAAGTTAAGAACCAAGTTCGCGGGGAATTATGCGTCGCTATAACACGATTCATTAGTCGGGTTTCCGGCAACGAAGCGGGCATTTGGCCAAGGGAACAGGGATTAGCATCTCAAAAGTACACGATGCAGGACAATAGTTGCGAAGGAATTCGAAGAACAAAGTTGTTTCATCGGTAGATTCGGTTTGCGCGCAAAGTCGCGCAATGGACGAAAGGAAAGAGGGAAACGGGAAAGAGAGAGCTTAGGTAAGGTAGACAAGGTATGTAAAAGGTAAAAGCATGTAAAGGCATGTAAAGGGCAAGAGGCAAATCTTAGTTCGACGCACGGAAAGAAGCTGCAGGAACAGAGTGCGAATGTCGTGCCGGACCTGACGACTCGGCGTTCTTCCTTTCTGACATTTCCACCTTTTTTTTCTTTTTCTTTTTCTTTTTTATTCCTTGTTTATTTCGGTTGCTGTAAAGACAGATCAACAGCACGGTACGGCTGAGTATACCCCCGATTCTACCAGCGATTCGGCATGACACAATCACGATCGATCGTACTTGGAGAATATCGCAACTGACGGTCGATTTCTCTTTAACAGTTGATGAAGCCCTTTCCCTGCCAGCAGCACAGGGATAAGGAATTAGTTGCTTGACGAATATGTCGAAAGGAGAGGTCGACAGATCCGATACTAAACTATGAAGACAGATCGAATAGCACCCAAAGCAGTTATATTACGTCGTCGTATTACACCATGTACATATTCACAAGTTCGGTGACTACCTTCCTACCTTTGTACTGATCAGTTTACCTCGCCTCTAACTCCCCTAATCGGGGTTTTTTGTGCCTCGCCCGGCAGTTGTTACATCCCGAAAAGACCTGGAGGAAACCCCAGGGACATCATTGACCCCACCGCATAAGCTACAGCCGTCTGGGTATAAGGCCTATGGGAAGAACGCCTCGATCCAAGACGAGGTTGATTGAGGACGAACAGCCCGGCATAGACAGGCTTCGTTTGTTACCAGACTTGAGGGACAGGTGTCAAAGCACCGCGTTATGCCCTGTAATGACTGAGTAATAATTAAACGACAGGCATGATGCAACGCCAATGACCCTGTCGGGTGGTGTCCTCGGAGTGCCCTCAGTATCCTTGGAAGTTGGGGTCTCCGGGATCTTCAGCACGGCCGAGGTTGTAGTGTCAGTTCAGTTTCGGCAGCCATCTCGGATATCACTGATGCAATGCAACGACATCCCAATATAGTATCACGTCGTGTCTCTACCGTTTTTGTTGTAGTACCCTCTTTTATTTAGTCGAATCTGGGGAAACCTTGGCCAATATCATCCCAGATGCCGGTCAGACTTTTCGCAGAGCGCTCCATTCACACACACACGGGTGTGTAGTATCAAGTGTGCGATCCCTTATGGTATGCAATTATGCCTTTTCCGGACGGCATGGCATGGTCGCTTATCTGCATTGAACGAAGCTTGTAATTTAAGATACCGTTGCATCTAGCGCGAATAGCACTGTGAAGAATATCAATATAGGCGTTGAAGTTGATGATTATTGTCGATAATTGTTTTAATATTTAGTTCAAGTTCTAGACTATAATTTCTTAGTTAGACCCGCAGTCGTCATTCTACGACACTAACGGTTAGTACCTAATGATGATATTAGACGTTAGGGAAGTAGCAGCGGAATTTCTTTTCATCTCGGCCGTTCCGACCTCGGGGGAAAGAGATTGGTCGCTTCGGGTTGTCACCTGTTCTCACTTGTAAACTACGACCGACTTGATCGCATTTCTTATCCAGTCAGACGGTCGGATGACTCAGCTTTGCATATTGTTTGAACTCAAACAGACTTTATTCACGATAATTACTTCTCCTTTATATTATAAGATTTAATAGTACACATTGTTTGCTATTTCAATAAGTCCGTCATAATGCCCTCCAGGGCTGATATCACATACTTCGGCGCCGGGCCGGCCTTGCTGCCCACCTCTGTCCTTGAAAATGCCACACAAGCTCTCCTGAATTACAATGACACAGGACTAGGCATTGCTGAACACTCACATCGTTCTCAATATGCTGCCGATATTATTAACCAAGCAAAGACCGATCTAGCCAGCTACCTTGATATTCCCGAAGACTATGAGATCCTTTTCATGCAGGGCGGCGGTAGCGGCGAATTCTTACCGTCTACGATCTTGTTGGCGCCTGGGTAACTAAGAAAAAGGCCGAAATTTTGAAGCAGCTAGTTGCTCAGAGTGAGGAGGAGGCTAATCAAGAAGAGCTCGTATCAGCGCTCAAAAAAGCCATTGATGCTGAGCTAAAGCTAGACTACCTAGTAACGGGCGGATGGTCGTTGAAAGCCTACCAAGAAGCCGGCCGTCTGCTAGGCCCAGAATACACCAATCTAGTTACCGATTCCCGAACTGTGAACCAGGGGAAGTTTGGTAAGATCCCAGATGAGAGCACGTGGAAGCTTTCTAAAAATGCTGCCATGGTATACTATTGTGACAACGAGACCGTGGGTGGCGTTGAATTCCCTAAGTTCCCCGATACTCTAGGGCCCGACTCCAATGGTGAAGGCCCCATCGCCGTTGCGGATATGTCCTCAAACATTCTGTCGAGAGGAATCCCGGTCAAAAACTTTTCGGCCATCTTCTTCGGCGCGCAAAAGAACCTTGGCTCGACGGGAGTTACCGTAGTCATTATCAAGAAGAGCTTGCTTCCTCCAGCATGCCCACAGCCTTCAGCGGCGTTGATGAGAAAACTTGGCCTTCCAGTTCCCCCGATTATATTTTCTTACGAGACTATTGCCAAGAACAACAGTTTGTACAACACACTCAGCATTTTTGAGTACGAATACCCATCAATTATTAATTGATTATAAGCAAGCTAATGTTGGAATATAGTGTTTACATTGCTGGCCAAGTACTCAAGAAGCTGCTCACAACGTTTCCGGATAAGGTTGACGACCAACAAGCCGTTGCTAATCAGAAGGCGGAAATCATCTACAAGGCCCTCGAGGCACACCCGAATGTCTACAGGATCGTCCCAGATAAGTCGGTACGCTCTAGGATGAATATTTGTTTCCGCGTGACTGTAGTAAGTAACTGCCAATTTTTAAATTTTCTATTATCGTACTGTTAGATCTCGCTAACTCTGAGCATAGAATAATGATACAGAAGGCGCTGAAGCAAAGTTCCTAAAGGACGCAACCGCTCTTGGACTCACCGGTTTGAAGGGGCATCGAAGTGTGGGAGGCATTCGTGCTAGCAACTACAATTCGATCCCACTCGCCGGGGCCCAGAAGCTGGCAGAATTTATAAACAACTTTGCTCAAACCCAGGGTTAACAATCCTAAGTATAAAGATACTGGTGCTAATAAGTACGGTTTTGGTAACCGGTAAAACTAGCACGGAGAAGGACACCGGGGGAGCATAGCGGATAGTAGGACTCACTCGCTCCGACGTCAGCATTTGTCTAGATTACTGCGAATTTGAGGTGTCGGTTGCTTTCACACAGCGTGGCATGGTAAATAGGGTGACTAAAAGCATTCAACATGGGGGGCTGGGTCGTGGCATCCGGTAAAAAAATTCAACTATAGAAATCCTACACAGGTAGGCTAGACATACAATATATACTTTCATCTAGGCGTCGCCATATAATCAACCATATTCTTCGCCTAGCATTTTGAGCATATCTCCTATAAACCAGAACTACGCTTCCAACTCAGCTTTTAACCACCCCGGGATCTGCGGCGGCTTTTCCCACCCGTCCAAGTACGTCTCCTTCGCGACACCTTCACCAGAGGGCTTGGCGTAGATAGCCGAGATATACCAGACCGTCTCGCCCTTCTTGATAGTATGCTGCAAGGTCGGAATGACAGTCCTGCTCTCAACCAAATTGGAATTCGGATCGGCATTGACCAAGTTAGCAGCACGCTCAACACCGGTCTCCAGCGCTTTAATACCAACCGCCCCCTTGGACACCGCAAACGCGCCCTCCTTGCCCGAGGACCAGCCATCCGGCGTGTAGAGATCATAGTTCCCGATGATCTTGGGGAACGTGCCCTCGCCCCTCTGCGCATCGTACAAGTCCAAGTACCGCCCGTCAGCCGCGCGCTGATTGCTAATCGCGAACGAGCCGTCGGCCGTCATGACCTCGCGGCCAGCTTCGATACGGTGCACACGCAGATGCCAGTTCGGGGTAGCTGGATCAGGCGGGATAAGGGTGGTCCGCACGGTGACGTCGGGGTACGGGGTCCAGATGGAGACTAGCACCGGGGTGTTGTCGCCGCGGTGTTCGAGTCCCGCGTACGTGGACGCGCGCCGTGTCTTCCAGTACTCGCCGCCGTCGTCGGAGAACCCGAGCTGCGAGGCTAGTGCGTATTGCTCTAGTGTGAAGAGGCCGGGCGGCACGGAGTATGCGTACGCGCTGCTGTAGGCGAAGGAGCCGTATTTGGCGTGGGTGCCTTTCATGGGGTAGCTGCAGGCTTGGCCGGAGGAGAGGAGCATGCAGTGTCCGCCGAGGTAGCTGGATGTGGGTAGGTTGTTAGAAGAAGGTTGGTGGGGAGGGCGGTGTTGTGATGCTTACCTTGCGATGTGGCCTGGCTGTGGAAGCTCCTTTATCTTAGGAATAGCGTCCCCGGGGAGCTGTTCTTCTGATGTCCAGAATGGATGGTCGGCGGGCACGGCTAGGCAGATGAATGCTAGACAAGCCCAGTACTTTGATGTCTATTAGCTTACGTATATCGCGGAAAATCACATGGAGGACTTACCGGGCTGCCGGGGCTGTTATAGTTCTCTGCCATCTATCTATTGTGAGTGATTACTGAGGCACAAACAGAAAAGGGGCGGAATATGTTACTTACATACATATTTGGGTAGGAGTACCCAATAGTCAACGTTCCACTCGGACTCCAAATATCGGGTTGTGTCTGCCACCATCGTAGGTGTCGAAGGACTACACCTTTGACCATGCCCCATGTAAGAGGCTCGGGCAACTCGACTCCAGCATAGGCTAGAGCACCCCAGAAGGACACCATCGCAAACCGATAGCCTACACTGCGACCAAATGGGATGGATCGACCTGAACGAAGGGATTAGATCTATAAAATAAGCGAATGTTTAAACAATGCTCTCACCTTCGTTGTCATAGTAGTGGATCAAGTCAAGAGCGACCTGCTGAGCACGCCTCTTGAATTCCTCAGCCCTGGCTGGCTCGTCTTCCCCAGCTAGCTTTGCATAGAGAAGTTGCAGAAACTGGATGGCGAAGCTGGAGGAATAGTAATCCATTTCTATAGAAAGCACTGTAAGTCTCAGCCGTAATTATAAGGAGCATTAAAACTTACGATGGATACCCTCCGGTCCGTCATTAGACCAGCCACCACCGCGGTAGAAGGTGTTCAGATGTTCAATATCGCGGTCTAGTCTTTCTTGCGAGAACTTGCCTCCGTTCTTTTTCAGGCCGAGGTTCGCAAAGACACGGAACCAGAGCCAATTGGTATTGGGCATACTAGAGTATTATTAGTTATATTACTTTAGTAGAGCGTATAACTAGTTGTATTTCCTTACTTCTTCTCGTTTATCGAGTTTCCTAGCCAGTTCTCAACGTTTTCCCGTTCTTTCTCGTTAAATGATTGCCAAATAACCGGAGCGACAGCCAAAGCATAGCCTACCTATGTATTAGCTAATGTCTTAAGATTTAAGATGGGCACCATACCAAGAGGGCACATCTCCACCATCCTTTGGTCGTTGTCTCGAGGGTATCCCCAATATTCCGGGTTCTCAGGGTCGGTACCAGACTTGATCCCCTGAATCCACCATTCCGCCCCGTGATACTCACCACCTCCGGCTAGCAGACATGCCAGACCCCAGAGTGGTCTACATATACCTTCTACCTCAGAAGCAGTCTGGTCGAACCTGACAGCAGTGGCACCAGGACATTTCACTCTAGCTTTCAACGGCGAGAAGAACGGCTCGAGGGGATCCAGCAGAGTCCTCAGGAGCTCCTGGACGGAAGCACGATCGGATATTTTCACCTTGGAAAAGGGGTGGATGCCATTGTAGCCAAGGACGAGGCCGGTCTTGGGCTCCATCGTAATTGAGAAACGACTGATAGCGTAACTACCTACCTACTAGTCTCGAGAAGATAACGACAAACGACAAAACTTACAAAGGAAGAAACTAAAAGAAAGAAGACTCAACCTACCATTCTTCCAGCATACTTGCGTTAACTACCTAACCTAGCAACCTACCTACGTGGGGTTTAACATCGACAGTCGACACACGTACACTATCGCGGGTATGAGGGGTCCCTTGGGGGGGTTTGTGGGGTGATAGTAGATCTGGCGGCTAATATCACGGATTGAACTCGTCTCTAAATCTCCACCAATTGACGCAGTGCTGGGAGCTAGCCGATTGTGTAGGCTCTATACGGATGGTAGGATGGCAGCGTAGGCCGAAGATTCTACCGGTTCGGTCCGGATTAAAGCGATGGGCTCTTTGCGATTGAACCTCGCCCTTGAGGTTCTTATAAGTGATTAACAGGTACCTAGGTAGGTTAGACAAGACTTATCGCCGATGTTTTAATGATGTGATGTGATGTGATGTCTATGCGATGCTATCGCGTGTATCTAAGTTAGAAAGTTGATATATTAAGACTTTATATTCCGAGCACAATGATCGTGTTCGCTCATTTATTTAGCAACCCTCATTGGACCAATACTCAACATGCCCAATTTCCTTAAATACCCTAGGTAGGTAGGTAAGATGCTTTCTCAAGGTGTATTCCTAAAGAGTCCTCTGGGTTTCGCTTAAGCTACCAGAAACGGAGTAGAGATACCTTATCTACAGCGGATTACGATCAAGTGGCTAGAAGAGGTATCCCGTTCCATCGAAAGCTTAGTTTAATATTAAAGGGCTGAAGAGGTGCTAAAATGCGGAGTTCGTTGGGGGAACGTGCGGGATGCGGGGATGAAATGGCCCCTTGAATGTGAGTGTCTGTTGAGGGTCTTTTATATTGAGATTTCATATCACGTTAGAAAGTATAATTCTATCTTATTTTAAACTTAGTCGTATATGGGAAACCTCTTAGAAGAAGTAAACTCCCAGTTTGGGACAGAAAGTAAGATAGCTCTTTATATGTAGTTAGGTCTATATACATGTAAGCTGCAAAGCTGTCGGGTTACCCCATCAATAATACCTTGACCCAAGCACAGTGCCGCGGGTATGTCAAAACGGAATTAGAAGGATCGGAGTTTCTCCTGGGACGTGAGCTCTCAGCTCTCAGCTCTAAACCATTAACATTCCCAAGCTGACCAACTTCTTGACTGTCGTGAGAAGGTTAAACCACCCTAAAACATGGCGTCTGTTCCAAGAAAGCTCTGGGAGCATCCTAGCCCCGAAAAGACACAGATGCATGAGTTGATGCAGCGGCTGAACAAGAAGTATGCCATTGGCCTTAAGGTGAGGTCGATTAACAACAAATGCAAGCCACACGCCTATCCGCTGACATGTCCTAGACATTCCAAGATTTATACCAGTTTTCTGTTACTAAGCGCTCCGACTTCTACACCGAAGTCTTTGAGTATACTAATTTAATCTACACGGGTTCCTACACAAGAGCAGTGGACGAGAGCAAGCCAATTGACGCTATCCCGCGTTGGTTCGAGGGGGTTCATATCAATTGGGCCGAAAATCTCCTGTGGTCTCGCGGACCTCAGGATCCTACCGATTACCATGGCAAGGTAGGAAAGGAAGATACTAAGATCGCCTTGACAGAAGTTCGAGAGGGCGCGAGCGAGATCAGACATGTCACGTGGGTAACGCTCCGGAAACTCGTAGCTCTCTATGCCTCCGCCTTACACGCCGGTGGGGTTGGGCGAGGGGATCGAATTGTTGTCGTTGGGTCTAATAGCGTCGAGACCCTGGTGCTATTTGCTGCCACATCATGGCTGGGTGCTATCTTTAGCAGTAGCTCAACCGATATGGGCGTTCAGGGTATCTTGCAGAGAACGGTTCAAGTCAACCCCAAGGTAAGGAATATTCCTTTCTCTCCATTAATTATCTTACTCATCAAGATTAGTATATCTTCATGGACGATGCAGCTCTTTACAACGGGAAACGAGTAGATTTACGCCACAAGACCGAAGTCGTTGCGGGGATGAAAGGTTGTGATCAATTTTCAGGCCTGGTCTCGATTCGTCGTTTCCACGACGCCTTAGATATAAGCAATATCCCCGGGGTCCAGACGCTGCACTCGTTCCTTGCAAAGGGGGACCCATTTTCCCCTCCGCCGATTGTTCGGATTGCTTTCCACGAGCCTTTCCTCATCTGCTACTCCTCGGGCACCACAGGCATACCAAAAGCTATTGTCCACTCCGTTGGGGGCGCACTCCTGAACTATGTCAAAGAAACTCGCCTTCACGAGGATACCAACTCGAACACCGTCACTCTGCAATACACGACTACAGGCTGGATTATGTACCTCGTGTGCGTTGGCCAGCTTTTGGTCGGCGCACGCGTCGTCTTATACGATGGGTCCCCTTTCCAGCCCGATCTACAGACTTTTATCAAGTTGATTGGTGACCAGAAAGTAACGAAGTTGGGCACCAGTCCACGGTGGTTCTACGAGGTTGCTAGGGCAGGAATCTCACCCAAGCAAATTACCGACTTGTCAAATCTTCAAATAGTAACAAGTACTGGTATGGTACTCCCAGACCAATTGTTCGAGTGGTTCTATGACAAAGGTTTTCCAAGTCATGTCCACTTAAGCAATATATCTGGCGGAACTGATATTGTAAGAGTAATACCCATCAGACGTAGCCAACTGCTAACTTCATCCTAGGCTGGCTGTTTTGGAATTGGCAATCCACTTACTCCTGTCTACGTAGGTGGGACGCAAGGTGTTTCTCTCGGGATCAAAGTAGCTCTATACGATTCATTACTTCCTCCTGGACCCGGAAAAGAAGTACCAGACGGGACACCTGGCGAGCTTGTGGCCACTGCCTCGTTCCCGAACGTACCAATATATCTATGGGGTGACAAGACGCCGACTGGTGTGCCTGGCCCGAAGTTCCACTCGGCCTATTTTGCAAGATTTGAGCACGTGTGGGCACACGGTGACTTTTGTGTTTTCCACCCTGTTACCAAAAACCTCACATTTCTCGGAAGAGCCGACGGCGTTCTGAACCCTAGCGGAGTGCGGTTTGGTTCTGCAGAAGTCTACTCAGTTCTCGAGAGGAATTTTGCGGATAGGGTGGCCGACTCGATATGCGTCGGACAGAGGCGGCCTCAGGACAACGACGAGAGCGTAATGCTATTCTTGCTGATGCGGCCGGGCCACAAATTCGACAGGAAGCTCGTAAACGAAGTTAAAGAGGCCATCAAAAGGGAATTGACTAAGAGGCATGTACCCAAATACGTGTTCGAGACCCCTGAAATACCTGTAAGTGGGAAATTTGCCTCGAATAAGCGCTCATATACTAATTTGTAAATAGACGACGGTCAACCTAAAGAAAGTCGAGTTGCCGGTGAAACAGATTGTCTCGGGTCAAACCATCAAACCAAGCGGCACGTTGCTCAACCCGAAGAGCTTGGATTATTATTACCAATTTGCTAAGGTTGAAGAGCTTGTTGCACCCAAGGAGAAGCTTTAAAGTGAAGCGAACGGATATTTGCATATGACTTGCAATACAAGCATGATATTGCGGTCATCTTTGAGTTTGATTTGTGAAGGCAGATTAAAGGCAGTTTTGATTTCGAAGCAAACAGGTGCATCCCGATCCCGTTCTGTTGCCCGACGAAGTTGGTTTAGTATAAAGAGGTTAGTATCCGCGTGGTTCAACCGGGATTATATATTCTCGTTCTTGTAGTAGTTCGACAAAAAATAAAATAAAAAATAGAATAAAAAGAATGAATAGATGCACTGTAACGGTAGGTCTTATGACTGCTGTTATAATCATAAATTTCTTCGATGAGTTTAGTGAATCTCAAATTTGTAATGAGAGCGGACTCGTCGGCCGATTCGGATACTACCTAGGTACCAGGATTGGCATTCCGAATACCTGCATGTATCTGAGGGTAGCATAATAAGGTTCCGCTTGAAGTTGAGTTAATACATGAGACAAGGAGAAGAAATATGTTACTCGAGCGTGTCATTAAGCTTTAGCCGCAACGATTCCGTGATTAAGTTTCCTATGAGTTAAATACCTGGGTACCTAGGTTGACAGGATGACAGGATGACAGGATGTTCTCTAAGTACATACATAAGTATTTTGCATATGAGGTAGTACCTAGTGGCCTTATCATGTCCATAGGTAAACAGTCAGATTCAAAGGATGGATCGATTAAGCGGTTCCATTTACATAGAGAAGTACGTACCGTAAGGTGTGAATCGGCCGTTTCTACTTCCTGCAACTAACTGCCCGCAACTAACTGCCCACCTATGCATCTTTCCAGCCCAATTAAACGCCTTTTACGCCCAAATGTAGCCTCCATCCAATGATAAAGTACGTGATACTATCAGTGACTTTATAATAATAATAATAATAAACAGATAAATAAATAGGTAAGTATAGGGGTAGTGTATAGAAAACGTGTAGCCATAGCCGTCGGCACCTACAATTGTATGTGGGGAGCATTTGAGCGGGATGCTTCAGTTACCTATCGTTATCTCTTGAGTTACCCCTCGCGGTTCGACAAGAGATGCCTATGATACCGACTGGACTGCTGGATTCTCTCCTATGGCACCCCGGTTTATTAAAATAGCTTCTTTCCCAAAAATCAAGGGTCTTCCTTTCCCCTCGATTCTTTTTCTATTTATTACCTACCTGCATAGGTACCTAGGTACATATGTACCTAGACACATTACGAAGGAATGGTGGCTAGCGTTGTACTACGGATGGCAGGAACTCAAACAATAGGTGCCACTCTAGCGAATATGAAAACCAATCAGAATTTATTAATGCAATGCGGATGCAGCGTTCTTGACGTAGCTGCATGCGCAATATCTTATCAGCTAGGTACAACACAATACATGTACATGCTGCAATGGGGATCCACCTGTTAAGTTTAGTGTACGTGTACGTACCCTACATGTAGCTGACAAGGTGATTTAGGTGCCTTTTAGGTGCCTCTTAGCTTAACGGGCTTTGAATAGTTCGAATGGTGAATGGTAAATGGTAGGTACTAGTAGTGGTAACAACACGGGTGTTTCTGTCAGTCGGCCGACACACATCAATTGCATCCACCTAGGTTACGCCCGTCCGCCTTCCATTCCACATTCGTTCATCTACCCTATGGATTGCCACATACATATCTTACTAAGTAAAAGTACCTGCCTACCTACTTTACCTACGTTCCATTACAATATCTAACAACCGCCAATCTTGATGCCCATGGTTAACTCTTCCCAAAAACGAATTTCTCTTCCAAATCAGTTCCATCAAGCTCTGCATTGTTTACCTTGTCCTTCGCTGTGCACAATCCACGGCCTTAAACCCGTTTCGTTGCCGCCTCGAACGTAACAACTTGGCCACACGTCATATACTTGCTTCAAAGCGGACGCAATCAATTAGTCATTTGACAACGGAAATCTGGGTCTACCGATAACTATCTGACTGTAGTGTATGAAGAGAACTCGGTCTCCTAGCACTTAACAATTTAACTAGCAACTTAAACCAGCTTAACCTAGCAGCTTAGGTTGAATGTTAGGCTCACAGTCTACCTGACATGAGGTCAGCCACTTCAAAGCCATTCGTGCTGAATCCTGTCATCCTGTCATCCAACAATAAGAACGTCGCCTCCCACTTCGTACTACTTTCCCTCTCGTGTTAACCACCGAAAACAATCCACCCCGCGCCTACGACGACATTTACCTAGCCGAGGTATACCAATAGCCCTTACAACCTGAAACCTCTCAGCTCACGCCCGCGGATAAACTGTGCCTCTCTTTCGTTCTAAACTGCGGGTGTTTCTAGCCCGCAGTGTCGAGTAGCGAGTCGAAGTGGCAGACCAAACCCCCCAGCAACTTCCATCCACCCCATCCGCCTCCGACCACCCATCCACGCCGCAACCCCCTCGACCTCCTTCCAACACAATCTTCTCAGCCACCGCAGCGACTATATCCCCCGCAAACTTAGCGAACTACGACTTGTCGTCCACCTCAGATATCGTGTCCGGTGCTGAGGAACGCCAAGTTACCGAATCTTCTGTGCAGCGCCAGATTCTAGGGAGAAGACAACGAGCTCCAGACGACGATAACGACGTCGCCGGCTCGCAGTCGGAGCTCCCGGAAGCTCGTGCTTCCCATATTATCCCCACCGAGAGTCCTAGGAGGAAACGCAGGCGTGTCAACAGTACCATGTTAGCGGATACAGACAGACCCGCAGCTTCTAATGGCACTTCGAGGCCTTATGCTAATGGGAAGTCGCTTCGGGGGTCCTCAGTATCAAGCTCTACAAATGGGACTAGTAAGGTAGCCTCGGCAGTTAATGGATCCTCTAAAGTGCGACCGTCAGAGACATATTTCGGCCATGATCGCGAAGAAGTCACGAGATTACTATTACAAGCACTCACAGATATGGGTTACCATTCCGCAGCGCAGAGTGTGAGCCAGGAGAGCGGCTTTGAGCTGGAAAACCCGATGGTTGCCGCATTTAGGAATGCCGTGCTCGGGGGAAGCTGGAATGAAGCAGAGCAGCTACTTTCTGGGGCAATAGTATCTGGCGGCCGGACTGGTGAGAATGGCAATGGGTTGGTGTTGGCGAATGGCGCGGACAGACGGATGATGAGATTCTGGATACGACAGCAAAAATTCTTGGAACTCTTAGAAAAAAGAGAAACCAGCCGCGCCCTAATGGTACTCAGAAACGAACTCACGCCGTTATATCAAGACACCCAGAAACTTCATTTCTTATCCAGCCTACTTATGTGTCAGAAGACGGAAGACTTGAAGTTTAAAGCCGAGTGGGATGGTGCATACGGAGAATCTCGACGTGTTCTCCTATCTCAATTATCAAGTAAGTCTAGGCATTATCTACATGTTCACCCCTATCACATGTTTCACTAACGCCCATTATCAGGATGTATCTCCCCGTCGGTCATGCTTCCGGAGCATCGCCTAGCCATACTTTTAAATCAAGTTAAGTCGAATCAAATTGGAAGTTGTCTCTGGCATTCTAGTGCTGCTTCACCGTCGCTATACTCGGATCACATGTGTGATCGAAGACGATTCCCAGCAGAAAACGTTTTAGAATTAGATGAGCACGAGGATCAGGTCTGGCAGATCAAATTTTCTCATGATGGAACAAAATTAGCCAGTTGTGGTAAGGGCAAGCAGGTTATTATCTGGGATGTTCCATCCTTTCGACCACTTCATTACCTCAGGGATCACGATGACGGGGTTGGTAATGTCTCCTGGAGCTGGGATGATTCTATGCTGGTCACATGCAGTCAGGATCGCCATGCGAGGTTATGGGATGTTAATGTGAGTATATCGTCTCACATCTTTTACGAATCTAACTGACAAATGTAGACTGGTGCCTGTCTCAAAACGTTCGAACGATTTCAAGAACCAGTCACCAGCTGCGTATGGGCAGTAGATAGCAAAACTTTTATTACGGGTGCTCTTGATAAAACTCACGGTCTCATCCAGTGGAGCATTTCTGGGGATAAGGTGTACGACTGGAACTGTCCTCATCGAGTCGAAGACTTAGCTATCTCGCCAGATGGCCACTGGCTTGTGGCATCAGATGGTGGAACTCATATTCACGTTTACAATTTCACTACGCATCGGTTAGAGTACGAGATGGATCTGCAGGTCAGATTGACTTCGATCAGCATCAGCAATAACTCTCGACATCTCCTGGTGAACCACAATAATGGCGTTGCGGTCCTTATTGATCTTGTTCTCCGCGAGCCAGTTCAAAAGTACGCCGGCTTCACCGGTGGGAATTTTATGATCAGGAGTGTATTCGGGGGAGCTGACGAAAGCTTCGTAGTCAGTGGGAGCGAAGGTAAGCTTCCCTAGGGAGTAACATTGAGCCAGCGGCTAACTGTAGCAATAGACGGCTCGATTAACGTCTGGCATAAGGCCAGTGCCCAGCTGATAGAAAAGCTCCCTGGGCACAGTCCTGGATGCAATTCGGTCTCGTGGAACCCAGCTGACCCATGCATGTTTGCGTCGTGTGGAGACGACGGCAAAATAAAGATGTATGTGCCCCCTTAATACTAAATTTTTATGCTGAAATAGGAGGCTAATTTGTCATAGATGGTCTAACAATGAGTGGCGCCATGCTCATCGCGAGGTAAACCGAACCTCGATCAGTTCTTAGCAACAGTAGCTAGGTTATATTCCAGCCTTTGATTTTATAGTACAGTGCTTGCATGGGCCCGGCGTAAATTGGATGGTAGCATGGTGCTTCTCCCCGATCTCTGGCGACTCAACATAACTTGGGATGACACCTTGCAAGAGACGTCTCTTCGATGGCGTTTTTAATTACGTGTGTCAACACAGAATAGCTTCCATTTAAAGGGTCTGCTTGGGAGGGAGAGGTCTTACTGTGTCTTTTTTTGCCATTCATGCGATAGACTTGAGAGCCGGGAATGGCATCCTCACATTGGCATTGTATATCCAAGGGGCTATGTAAAGGTATCCCTTCTCATACCAAACGCAGTAAGAGTTTGTGGCTTGTTTCTAGGAGATAATCGCACCTAGCACTAGCGACGCTCTTAGCGATACAATACAAATAACTCTTTAGCGATACAATACAAATAAATCGTCTAGAAAGACTACTAGATCTAGCGTGCTGTGCCATGTGATTAATTAGATATGCGGCCCATAAAGGTCTCTTATCTTAACGTCGCCTTTCTAGGTAATAGATAAGTCAGGCAGCAACAAATATTCACACGTAGATATGTATCTAAATAGACTTGTCGTCGTCATACTTGACTAAATAGCTGACGCACGCTTGTTCAGGCAACATTATAAAATGTTGCCCCTGTTGAGTTAGGTATATTGGGTATTATTCCTAGGTGACAAGACCCATGTATATACCTATACTAATGTGTACTAATCCATGTACTGCAGTCGAAACCGCCTATGTGGCTGGTGGGTCTATCGTGAGATGCACGGGCCAATCTATTTAGACCAATCTAGGTTAGTGTATATTCCAGCTGATGTTAGACCAGGCAGGCATCCTAGTCACATGCCACTGTGGCTCAATAAGGATAAGGCTACGGATTACAAAATTACATAAGGGGGTGTACTACGTAAGGTACCTACATAGTACGTACTTGTAAGGTCGTCAAGTGCCACCCGTGTTGCGCCTGGCGATTTGATAAATGTCCCTAAACCAAATTCCCAAGTATTCTTTTTTATCCTCAATACTTCCAAGATAATCTTTCCATACACTATACACCGTCTACAAACACACGTGGGTTGTGTTCATTTGTGATTCACATAACTACGACTTTGCCCTTCTGACTTGAAGAGAAGCTTTGAAAGCTCCGTTGATACTAAAGAACTAAAGAACGAGTCCACACTTAATAAACCCGACTCTAAAACCAGTTCCCCCTCCAAAGCGAGACCTATCTTGAAACGAAGGCCTGCCAACTGTGGCTTCGACTCATATCTCAACATAAAGAAGCGAACTCAAACGCTACCTACTGAAGATGACCGAATCGTTGGCTACACTAGGGGGTATTTCAGATCCCGCCCTGATCAAGTACGTGTGGTCTTGCGGTATCTCGTTCGCGCAACTGGTTTTTACTAACACCCAAACTTTAGACTCGTCAACAGACTGCAAGATGTCTTTTCTACCGTCGGTGTCAATAATCCTATCGATCTGCCGCAAATAGTCGTCGTCGGAAGTCAGTCTAGCGGTAAAAGTTCCGTGCTTGAGAACATCGTTGGTCGAGACTTGTGCGTCACCGCTCAAACATCCCTTTAAACTTCTATCTCCACCATCGAGGCTAACTAACTCTCCAAACAGCTTACCTCGAGGTTCCGGTATCGTAACAAGACGACCCCTCATTCTACAACTTATCAACCGACCCCCGGTCGCCCAAACGAACGGAGTTAACGACGACGTCACTAACTCTACGGATAAGGCAGCCAACGAGGATGAGTGGGGCGAGTTCTTGCACATTCCTGGACAGAAGTTCTACGACTTTAACAAGATTCGGGATGAGATCAGCAGGGAGACGGAGGCCAAAGTCGGTCGCAACGCCGGGATTTCGCCCGCGCCGATCAACCTAAGAGTCTATTCTCCCAACGTCTTGACCCTGACGTTGGTTGACTTGCCCGGTCTGACAAAGGTTCCCGTAGGGGATCAACCAAGAGATATCGAGCGGCAAATTAAAGATATGGTTCTGAAGTACATCCAAAAGTCGAATGCTATCATTTTGGCCGTTACTTCTGCCAACATCGATTTAGCTAATTCGGACGGTCTTCAACTTGCTAGGGAAGTGGATCCCGAAGGACAGAGGACAATCGGTGTCTTGACGAAGGTGGATCTGATGGACGAGGGTACAGACGTTGTTGATATTCTTGCCGGACGCATTATTCCGCTACGACTTGGATATGTGCCTGTCGTAAACAGAGGTCAACGGGATATCGACAACAAGAAGCCTATTTCGGCATCCCTCGAAGCGGAGAAGAACTTCTTCGAAAATCACAAGGCTTATCGGAACAAGAGCTCATACTGCGGTACCCCCTATCTAGCGAGAAAGCTCAACTTGATTTTGATGATGCACATTAAACAAACTCTACCCGATATAAAGGCAAGAATTGCTAGCTCACTACAAAAGTACACTGCCGAGCTCGAAAGTCTAGGCCCGTCGATGCTAGGTAACAGCGCGAATATCGTTCTTAACATCATTACCGAATTTACGAATCAATGGCGGACTGTTTTGGAAGGTAACAATGGCGAGCTGTCCAGCACAGAACTCTCTGGTGGTGCCCGAATCAGCTTCGTGTTCCACGAATTATACTCCAATGGTGTCAAGGCGGTCGATCCTTTTGATGTTGTGAAAGATGTCGATATCAGGACGATACTATATAACTCGTCTGGCTCTTCCCCGGCGCTCTTCGTCGGAACAACCGCCTTCGAAGTGATCGTTAAGCAACAGATCAAGCGACTCGAGGAGCCCAGTCTCAAATGTGTCTCACTCGTTTATGACGAGCTCGTACGCATCCTATCACAACTCCTCACTAAAGCACTATACAGGAGATACCCGCAGCTGAAGGAGAAGTTCCACGGCGTCGTTATCAGTTTCTTCAAGAAGGCTATGGAGCCCACCAATAAGCTTGTTAGGGACCTTGTAGCTATGGAGTCATGCTATATCAACACGGCTCATCCTGACTTCCTTAACGGTCACCGAGCAATGGCCATCGTAAACGAGCGGTATAACGGCGCAAAACCTGTTCAGGTCGATCCCAAGACCGGAAAGCCTCTACCAGCAACAGCTACGCCAGGACGTGCTGCTAGTCCCTCAATAGACAACCTGGATAACAACTCGGGCTTCTTCGGCAGTTTCTTCGCTGCCAAGAACAAGAAGAAGGCCGCTGCTATGGAGGCTCCTCCTCCGACACTAAAGGCTTCTGGAACTCTTTCCGAGAGAGAGAACATTGAAGTTGAAGTTATCAGTAAGATCAATGAGACGGCTATGCTAAGGTTATAATGCTGATGAATGATTGCAGAGCTATTAATTGCTTCATATTTCAACATTGTCAAGAGGACAATGATCGACATGGTCCCCAAGGCTATCATGTTGAACCTTGTCTCGTAAGCATACAACCGACCCGGATAGTCTAACAAATTGCTAATTTTGGTCATAGGTATACTAAGGAGGAAATGCAACGAGAGCTCTTGGAGAACATGTACCGAAACGATACCCTAGATGATCTACTGAAGGAGAGTGATTACACCATCCGCCGGCGGAAGGAGTGCCAGCAAATGGTCGAGTCCCTCGGCAAGGCCAGCGAGATCGTCAGCCAAGTTCAGTAATGCGGAGGATCAGCCAGTGTCATGCCGCGGGCATCAGATATTTTTCTGGTCGGTCAGTTAGAATGGTTATGGTCCCGGTGCGATATGGAAGAAGTGCGCCGCGCTATCGCCGGAGTGTTGTTGTTAGTTTTTATTGGCAATCAGTGGTCGGGTCTTGTTGAGTATGCCTCCCTACCTCTTCTCCCCCTTTTTCATATACATTAGTCATGTCATGTCATGTCATACCCCAGCCCCCTTTTAGACACGTTCGGTTCGTCGGTAGATGAGATAAGATGAGAAATAGCAAAGGCCAATTCCCACGATGAAAGATGAAACACGGGATGATTAATGTACCTAGGATGAGAAAATTGAACCCAAAACCTCGTTTGTTTGTTTTTTTCGTCGGCATTTTCAAACGTCTTTTACCAGTGTGTGTTTTTGATCTGCGTGATAGGTCTTTTCACCTTCTCCATCTGGATTCCGCCGGTACTATACTAGTCCTGCGTGCCGGGTTAGCTTGCTGCTTGCTGCTTGCATGATACGGGATCTCGATGATGGAGAAGGGAGGGGAGGGGAGAAACCAGGAAATAGGGATAGGGATAAGGATAAGGATAGGGGGTGATGGTTCTTTATTATACGGCCAGGGATCATGTTCACCGAGGAGACGAAATGGAGGTCGCATATTCGCATATTCGGTGTGGCCGAGAACGGGGGGGTGTTTTTTTTTATTGTTGTTGTTGCCCGCGAAACAAGGTCAAGGTCACCGCTCCCCGGCGAACGCCGACGGGACCCGGGGGTTGGGGCTGGGGCTGGGGCTGGGGGGGGAGGGTAAGGCGGAGGATCGGGATTGTGGTCCCGAATGGAGGGCGGCCGTGGAGATCCGAATCCGAATCCTTATTACCTGCCTACTAGTTCGTGTATGGGGGAGGGGGGTGGTGAAGATTTAGCTACCCTGTAAGGCAAGACAAGACAAGGCAAGGTATGGTAGATAGATAGGTAGGTAGGTAGGTAGAATAAACCTACGGACGGATGGATGGATGGATAGATGGGTGAAGGGAGGGTTGTAACGTCATCCGGGGTCAGGGTTTACACGTCGCGTCGCGATGCGATAAGTAATACTATATGTATGATGTATGATGTATGATGTATGACGTGTCTTAACTCCTTGCTCCTTTTTATTTATATTTCTTATTTCTTTTTGTAATTTATCATGTCGTGTTTTGTGTGCTATGAGGTACCTAATCTAATGTATGTATGCGCTCCCACTCACTCACTTACTCACATACTGTGTATAAGATATGAGATATGTAGATCTATCTACCCTTCCCGAAACCCTAGCCAACGGCTCATCCCACGTTTTCTTCTTTGTCATCTACATACATAGGTAGGTAGGTAGCCTTAGATTAGGTACCTAGGTCGGTAAGTTTCCCACCGCCTCGTTTCCCCGGGAGGCTCCCTGTCCCGTCCCCTGCTCCCGTGTTTCTCGGACCTACCTGTCTACCTCCCACGCAAAGATATTTTTATATAGGTACCTACGGATATAGATAGGTACCTAGGTAGGTACCTAATGTATATATGTATGTAAGGTCTAGGCATGGGAGCTGAAGATCCCTGTCCGAGATTTGAGGCTGCTCCTGCCATGCTACAGTGCAGGCAGCATATGCGACGGCCCGACGGACGGACGCAGGGGATAAGACAGGTACCTACATAAATAAGGGATCGCACATTTGAGATCTGACAGGTTTTTCATAATTTGGGGGAGGAAATTGGGGGGCTTTCGGGTTTTGTATTTGTATTTGTATTTGGGGGTAGGTGTGGGATGCGTGGGCATGGTGTAAAGAGAGGAAGGGAGAAAGGGGATTGAATGGGAGGTGGGATGGTTTAGATATCTCGAACTTGTTTGGTTTATGCTTAAGCTCGAGGAGGTAGTATATTTCAACACAACGCTTTATAGCAAGGCTGGAAAGTTTCAGTGCTTTAGGTAGTCTGACCAGAATTACACGTGGTGATGGTGAGAGCTGGTGTAAGTGTTGGTGTATTTGATATGAGTAGAAAATTGTAAATTATCCCGTCATACGCCTTGGGGGGCAAGGAGGGATCTCGGTCTAGCTGCAGCTCAACCGAAGAGCTTTTACCTAGGCAAGGCAAAGCCAAGGCCAGTGTCGGTATCGAAAGCCTTACGGGAGCAGCAGGTAGTAGTATGTAAGGCCAAACACGTATAAACTTAACCATGATATGACGCCACGCCACCTTGCCTTAGGTACGCATACATACATACATACCTTAGTAGATAAAGGTAAACCACCATCCCCCATGGGCAGTTAGCCCCGAAAACGACGGTTATACCGCTAGCCCCATGGCAGACCACAATCCGCCGGCAGCCGGGTGCGGCTCTGATTGGAAGGAGAAGAGGTGATGGGTTGATGGGATGTATCCGTAGTAGGAATGGGAATTAGAGGAACGGGCGGGCCGGTCGAAGCAGGGTATAGAATAACCTGCATTGCTGCACGTCTAGGTGTGCAGTGCAGTGCTTACACATACACCGAGCTTCAGAACCTGGTAATATAATCTGCCCCCCTGGTAAAGAATTAGATCGGAACGGGAGGGAAGAAAAAAAAAATAAGCTCGCTGCATGGATGAGTTGGCGGTCAGAACTGTCAAACCGGCTTTGTTCCTTATTACATCCCTTCAAACGTACCTAAGGAAAGGCGTCGGATAACAGTAGAGTTTATGCGCAGAATGACTGATCACTCACATACAACCTTATGTACCTGTTATCAAATAACTTCGAAGCGGTGACACAGAATAAAAGGAGTATTTTTGTTCTAACACGGAATGATAATATCGACCTTGCTTGGCTGCTTGCAGGGAACTGTCTGTAAGTAGTATATACCGTGGGGGCCGCTGTTCTTAAATCTGCCTCATCTGAGACACCTACACCGCGAGTCGGGAACATATATAAGTCTTCACGTTAGTCCAAAGGTAATTCGAGTTGTGGTGGTCCTGATCTGGTCAACCCGACAAACGAGTTAAAAAGAAGACGATTCAATATTGCCAAGAGTCATTTCCGCTCTCGTTCCTGTTAAACGAGTCTTTAGAAGAATAATATGGCAGATATGGCAGATATGGCAGATATGTCAAGAAGCGACCCTCCGTCTCCTCCCCCGGCACCACCGCCGAGTCCGAGCAGGACATCGACATATAGTTGATATGTATCCAGAATATCTTGGAGGTGAGACTCTTGCCCCTCATGGGAACCACTTTTAGGCTAGACCGACTCATACTTCTGGTGTTTGAAGCTAGTTTCGTACTTTAAACGAGGCTGAATAATAGGTTCGAAGGAGGCGCTTGATATCGATAGAAAATGGAAAAGTCGTGGCATCGATCTTACAGAAGCTGATAGAAGCTAGTGGAACCGTCGGGTCATATTTTAGACTGTGGCTGGGGCTCTGATAGAAAAGATCCTCCGAGGCAAAGAGCAAGCGGCGTTAAAAAAAAAAACCTGGGTAGATAAAAGCGTGTATCCTTATAGTTTAAACCTGCTCCTTCAGACTTTCTTCTTTATAGCTTGGATTTGGGTTTTAATACGACGCTGCCATCTTTGGTATCGAAGTCCTCCCCTTTCTTCCATCCGAACCAGTTTTTTAGGGCTTCTTCGCCCCCTTGACCTGGGGTGAGATATTTGCCAATGTAGCTACCTCCGGAAATTCCGGGACCCTGACCATGAATACTCGGATCTGTAGCTTTCTCGCTAATAGCTAGGCAAGGCGTTCCGCGTAACGTCACCGCTGGGCGTTGATCACCCTCTCGATCAGCATCCGTTTCTAGTTCAGAATACTCTAGCACGGGAGTGCAGCAAGCATCGGTTCCATCGAAGATCTTCTCCCACTCTGAGCGTGTTTTTGACTTGAAGATTGTTTCAAACTGCCGTTTCATTTCCGACCAAGACTCTCGGTCGGAATGTCGCTTCTCCCAGTTTTGGTTGCTTAAGCCTAGACCTTTGATGAAGGCAGCATAGAAATGCGGCTCTAAAGCTCCTACTGCCATGTATTTCCCATCCTTCGTTTCGTACGTATCATAATATGGACATCCTCCATCTAGCACGTTCTCGCCGCGTGGAAGACTGCCGAGTGGTAACTTTAGTGATTGTCGAGTGAAAGTCGTCAGATAGCTAGTGCCATCTACCATGTTTGCCTCAACGATTTGCCCCATTCCTGTTTTCTCTCTAGCTATAATGGCGAGTAGAACACCTTGAAACAATGTAGCTCCTCCGCCAGCGAAGTCTGCTAGGATGTTTTGGGGTGGATGCGGCTTCTCTCCACTTCGGCCCAGTAGAGAAAGCACACCAGCTACAGCGAGGTAGTTGATATCATGGCCAGCCATCTGGGCATACTTGCCGTCGCGACGAAATCCCGTCAAACGACCGTAAATCAAGCGAGGATTCGTGGCACACAAAATCTGCGGGCCAAGGCCAAGCTTTTCCAACACGCCTGGGCGGAACGGATCGATTATTACATCAGCCGTCTTAGCTAATTCTTTAATAAAACCAACACCATCTGGCGACTTCAGATCGACAGCTATGGAAGATTTATGTCTTGTAAGCAAATCGGGTGTCGGCACCACTTGAACACCAGTAGTGTGACGATCAATCCGAAGGACCTTGGCGCCAGCATCTGCTAGAAGTAAGCCAGCAAAAGGTCCTAATTACATATTAGCCATATGGATTACTGATCACCTAACTTATAAGAGTACGACCTACCAGGCGCTAGACCAGCAAATTCAAGGACTTTAAGCCCCTGAAGTGGTGGTGGACTAACCATTCTTTCGAGTGCTAAGTTGCTTAGTGTTAGATAAGAATGTTGAACCGCGGCAGCATCTACTAGATGAGTTTTTAATTCTTGCAAAGTTGAGAAGCGTTTACGTTCCTAGAGAATGATAGTAGGCATTAAGCCGCCAGACGTTGGGCGAGAAGAAACCCGTTGAAGAAGAGATCCTCGGTCATAACAAGCATCCAAAGAATGCGTGGAGAACCGAGGCATCTGTGCAAGTCACAGTGTGACAAGACGTTTACTTGGCACCGTCACGTGTATCTTTAATTCTTAACTCTTCCCCGGTCCCTTCTTCTTGTTCGGATTTTCAGAAACCAGACCAGCTTTGACAAACGCATCTCTGGCGGTTTGGTTAATCAGGGCAAACCGGCGAGGACCAAGTTTATGCCCCCCATACCATCGGGTAACAATTACCATCACGTTCCAAAGGTCCATCAACTGCATAAGGTGCAAGACCCGGCTGCCAGCGGCAGTCTCGCCGTCATCGTCGCAATCTTGAAATGTAGTGCCATTCGGTCCCTTTATGCGCCATGCCGTGATATTGTGCGTAGCAGTTCGGACTTTCTTGTCAGTGGACAGAAGATGCTGGACAAATGCCTCAGCTTCCTCAGTTGACGAGACCTTGGCGCACCGGGCGACAAAAGTCGACTTCAACTCAACAAATGCATCTGACATAATCCAGGGAGGTTCTCGCACGCTGATCTGTTTGGAATCTACTGCGGATTTAGCGGAGAGTTGAGGATCTGCGTCATCTTCATTGGAAGTATCCTCGTGTTGGGGCTCCTCTGGAATCTCGGACTCGAGAAGCCGAGTTAATTCCTCGATTGCATCGAAGAGGCAGACAGTCCCTGGTTGGTAAACCGTGCTCACTGCCTGACAGAATAGAGATAATTCCCGGGCTGCATCGCCACGCTTTCCGTGCTCGCCAGTACTATTAGTACCTAGAACAACTGGAGGCACTGCGGGATAGGTAGGGGGGAACTCGATACGAAGAGAGGATGTTTCTCCGGGTGGTGATAAAACATACACATTGGCTTCGCTCGACGGTGCCAAGCAACCTTCGCCATATATCGAATTGATGGCCTCAACCTCATCCTGAAGCTCTTCAGACATGGCGTGCCCTTTTTCGCATGGAGGCTCATGAGAAATTCATAAACATGCAAGGATAAAGAACTGATTGTCTAACTATAAGCAAATACTGAAGCCTCGCACCGTAGACTTTCAAGGACGTCGCCTGCAATAGTACCTAAGATAGTAAGCTATTATGAGGCTGTAAGGGTATTAGTTGTATGAATGGGACTTGAAGGACTTTGGAGGATCACTTTTCGGGAAGAATGTGTGCCAATGTGTGCCAATGAATTAAAGTAATATTATGTAACTAAGAGGTACAATTGGGATAATAAGCATTACATGTACTCATCTTTTAAGTGCAGATGTCTTTTTATACACCCTGCCGTGAAGGAAGTGTACAGTAGGTACATACTTCCTTATCATTGAAGGTATGCAAGGAACGGAGTATCTGATAAAGAATCGAGGTCTCTAGAATCGAGAACCCAACCCCACGCCGTTTCGCCCCTCCAAATTCCCATGTTGTAAGCTCCGAGTTCCGACCAACATCTTTTCTCCAGAAGCGCCGAACTCGAAGCTGCCTCAAGCACACATACAACATAATTTTTAAGTGTCAGCGCTATTAAGTTTAACTATTGTTAATATCTTCGGATTTGGAAATTCGGATATTATTTCTTATCGTATTCCCTCTATTTTCTTACCCTTACCTGTAAAGCCATCCGTCTTATTCGGTTTTCCGTTTGCAGCCTTCTTTCGCCATCCCAATAAGTCGTGAAGGATGGCCTCTGCGGTAGAGCAGGCAACGACCTACAAGAATGACGGTAACAAAGCTTTTGCGGCTCACGATTGGGCTAAAGCAATTGACCTCTATACTAAGGCTATCGAGTTGAACGATAAGGAGCCGACATATTTCACGAATAGGGCTCAAGTTTGTAGTACCCTATTCAAGCCTTAAACGCTCGCGTGACTGACCTTGCTCCCAATCCTAGGCACATATCAAGTCAGAGTCTTATGGTTATGCTATAGCTGATGCTACCAAAGCGATTGAAATTAACCCCAAGTTTGTAAAAGTATATTACTATCCAAATCCCAGTTGGTCACTTCTCGTTAAGTGCTGACCCGGCTTAAAATAGGCCTATTTCCGCCGCGCCGTGGCCTCCGCTGCTATCCTAAAACCTAAGGATGCCGCGCGAGATTTCAAGAAATGCGTCGAGCTCGATCCAGCGAACAAGGATGCCAAGCTCAAGCTTGCCGAGTGCCAAAAGATCGTACGGCAGCTGAACTTCTATGCCGCCATCGACGTAGGAGAAGAGCCCTCTGCGGCAGAGGGTCTCGATATCGCATCCATGGCCATCGAGCCAGACTACGACGGTGTAGAGCTCAAGGACGAGATGACCCAGGAGTTTATTGACGACATGATCGAGAGGTTCAAGAATGGAAAGAAGATACACAAGAAATATGTTTACCAAATCGTAATTGCGGTAAAGAATATTGTATACAACGAACCCACTATGGTAGAGATGAAGATACCGGACGATGTCAAGCTCACTGTCTGTGGTGATACACATGGTTAGTTAAAGAGTACAAGGTGTGACGAACCAGAACTAATTTTGCTATAGGACAATACTACGATCTGATGGAGCTCTTCAGACTGAATGGTCGTCCGTCGGAAAAGCATTGGTACTTGTTCAACGGAGATTTCGTAGATCGAGGTTCTTGGTCGACAGAAATCGCCCTATTATTATATGCCTATAAGTGGTTGCGTCCCAGCGGCATGTTCCTGAACAGAGGCAATCACGAAACCGACGATATGAATAAGGTTTATGGATTCGAAGGAGAATGCAAAGCTAAGTACAATGAAAGGTATGTCGACGACTGTTTTTTTTTATAAAGCCACTCGCATATTCTAATCGGGTTCTAGGGTATTCAAGCTGTTCTCCGAAAGCTTTTCTGCACTGCCGTTGGCAACGCTCATCGGTTCTAAGTACCTCGTCTTGCATGGTGGCCTATTTTCAGATGATAACGTCACCCTGGATGACATCCGAAAGGTCAATAGGCATGCTCAGAGGCAACCAGGTCAAGCCGGCCTGATGATGGAAATGCTCTGGACGGATCCTCAAACAGCCCCTGGACGAGGCCCTAGCAAACGAGGAGTGGGTATGCAATTCGGACCGGACGTGACAAAGAGGTTCTGCGAGAAGAACGGCCTGGACGCAATCATTCGAAGCCATGAAGTCCGTATGGATGGCTACGAAGAGGAGCACGATGGAAAGTGCATTACCGGTGAGTTGTCTCTTGAGTTGGTCAATTCCTATACGCTAACTAGTTCCAAGTCTTCTCGGCACCGAAATATTGTGACCAGACGGAGAACAGGGGCGCCTACATCAACATTGGTCCCGACTATAAGTTAAACTTCAACCAATTTGATGCTGTTCCCCATCCTCCGATTCGACCGATGGTAAGTCGCTACGTTAGGTACGAGGCGAATATGTTAAGCTAACTCTTCTTAGGCGTATGCGAATAACTCCCTTATGTCGGGGATGTAAGAGGCATTTTAGTTTTGATGTTTCCAAACGGTGATGTTGCATTGAACGGTGGCATAACGTGGCATAACGTGGCATCCTCGCATATATGGCACTTGATCGTCGGGGAAGCAATGGCGTTGCGGGGACAAGGAGAGGAAACAGGATATACCATTAGGGCGGTACCAATAGAAATGTGGTTTGAGATTATTTTGTTTCTAGGCGTGTTGGTAATGGTTGACAAGGTGGTTTCGTCCGTCAAGTTTCAGCCAGTCCATAGCTCATCCTCCCCATCTCTTCCCACCAAGGCACCAAGCCAGTCAGAGCACCCTCGTATTCGAAGTGATGAGTGAAGACCATCTTGATAAGAGCCTTGCCAGGCTGTAATGGCTGCAGAGAAGGCTGCTAAGTCATCTCGCGGAACTCTTAACCAACAGTCCTTTCCTTCTACCTTGAGAATATCTAGAGGCATTCCAAGACCTGTGGTGCCCAGGAATTGCTTCAGGGCAGATGTACACTTGGACCGCACTTGGAGAGCATCTAACACACCTGGATCGGCCGAGGCGCTGAAAAGCTCGAGATGTGCGTAGGAATAGCGCGGTGTCTTGATAGTAACCGTAACTAGCTCGTGTGACTTTTTGACCCTGGCTGCACTCTGCGTGCCGGTCATTGATGCATCAGTCATTGATGTATCTGCTTGTTCAGTCATTATGGCCTTTATTATCGGGATATCATGCTCTTGTTTTTGATGTGATATTTATTTATGGGCTAGTCCCAGTTGGGGTGGCTTTTGAATGATGCATTTCTATTCATGTTAGAATCGCAAAGTACTAAAATACATTCTCTGATAGATATGTACCTAAGTACACTCGCATAATTGCATGTATTTTCCAGATCAGTGGACTTTACAGGTACCAAAGTATTAGGCTTAACTTAAAGTGGTAAAATGGCCAAAGGTAACTAGGTACATGTAACATTTTTCGATCATTCCTACCCTTTGATTTCTTTGGACTTTTTGGAAAGAGGTCAATTATTTGTACCTTCTCATAGCAAATCAAGTGTAGTAGTACTTAGATGCACTTGCTGCTTGGACCACTTAGTTTAACAGTGAATTGCAGTTACCTAATGGTGCACAGGCCGCCCCACCACAGTCAAAAGTGCAGGTGCAAAAGATCACCCTGCCCCGCAGATGAATATTTAAACACAGATAGTTCGGATAATTGCATTCTTTATTATTTATCCGAACTTACCCCGCCACATCAACTTGTTGCTAAGCGAGTTGTACCAAACCGCAATCCATCTAACCGCCACATCAACTTGTTGCTAAGCGAGTTGCACCAAACCGGAATTCATATAACCGCCACAATGAACCGTGTGCAGCAGGCTAAGAACAATGGGGCTCGAGCTCGCCTAGCCCGACAAAGAGCTAACCCTGCGGCGCATACAGCCCGTGCGGTCCCTGCAACACCTGCAGCCTCTACTAACGAGGCTCCTGGTAACGAAGCTCTTAGTGACGAGGCCGCTTCTAGCCACTTAGTTTCTACCAACAACAACGGTATCAGCAACAACATCCCCGATAACCTCGACAACCTCGATAACGTTCCAAACAACGTTCCATTCAACACTCCAGACAGTGTTACTATCAACACTCCAGACAGTGTTACTAACAACAACTTTCCCGAACAAGCTGTTCCTACTCCAGAGCCTTCCAATCAGCAGGCTGCTAATCAGGGTGTTGACAACCAGGACTTTGTCAATCAGGACTTTGTCAATCAAGGTGGTGCTCCCAACCAGGACTATCACATTCCCATCCCCAACCCCCTAGTTCCCAATCAAGGTCCCGTTCAAGATCCTATCAGTCAACTTCCTCCTGGTCAAGTTCATTCCCGGCTTCCAATCGGGTTCTTTAATACTCACATCTTCGAGGAGTTTGCTTACGACCCTTCTGAGTACGATCCTTACATTGTTCGTCTCGGCTTCTCAGGTGTTCCTTTGTTTATCAACAACCTGATCCTTGAAGGAGTTGTTCCTCTGTACCTCTTTGCCTTAGCACCTATCCAGGAGCCCGATCAGGAGTCCGATCAGGAGCCCGATTTCCAACTCTTTCCCGACGAGGACGGGAACAACCCCGCCGACGAAAACTCGTACAACGAGGGTCTGTTTGAAGAGGAAGAGGTCAACGAGGAGCTCGAAGACGAGGCAGGAGACGGAGAGGCAGATCAAGAGGTTGATCTAAGCTATTATTTTGAAGAGCACGAACCTAAGGAGGAGGATTCTAACGACGACGAAGAGGTTTCCGACGGCGAAAAGGAGGACGACTCTGAAAAGGATTGCGATCAGGACGAGTCTAAAGATCAGGGCGACGACGATCAAGAAGATCCCGACCAAGAGAGTTCCAATCAAGGTTCTAACCAAGAGGGCTCGGGCCACCAGGGTTCTGATTGCGAAGGTTCTGACCCAAAGGGCTCTGACCACAAAGACTCTGACAATCAAAGTCCTGGCAATAAAGCCACCAGCTCTAAAGCTACCAACAACCACCCATCTTCCAACACCGCTTCTAACACCACTTCCAATATGGCTTCTCAGAACCTTCTCGGCATGGTTATCGCACCTAACCAGTGGCGATACGCCCGCGCGTGCATGGTGTGCTCTATCATCATGACACAATCTGTACGTATTCTTCATGTCGCATTCCCCTTCCTACTAGTCTTACCTATTGTAATATATCTCATCGAATTCGAAGCAATGCTAACCTAGGTAAACCCAACAGCATTTTCGCGCGGAGGGCTGCCCCAACTGCCCTTTCCTTGACCTGAAGGGATCGCCTGAGGCCATTGAGGCCTGCACCTCGAGCCAGTTCGAGGGCACTGCCGCCTACTTCCAACCTCGTCGTTCCTGGATTGCGCGCTGGCAACGCGTCGACACCTTCGTCCCCGGTACCTATGCCATCAAGGTAAACGGTTCTCTACCGGAGGACATCAAGCAGGCGATCGAAGATCAAGGCAACACCCACATTCCGTAAGTAATTTACCTTCTTGCCTCGCTTGGTAGTGATAAAGATAGGCGCTAACGTACTTTTTCTTCTTCGCGTAGCCGTGATGGAAGCGCCCTTGAAATCGACTAGACGGCGACTAAAGGCCTTTCAAAGTCGGGCAAATATGCTGCTAAGCCCGCAGGACGACAGGCAGAGCAACAGCCTGTTCAGAGTCGGGGCAAGAAGAATGCCCAGAAGACGGGACAGCAGAACCGTCAGGAAGAGGACCACCGTAACCAGCAGCAGCAGCCGCAGCAGCAGCACGAAGGTCACCAGGAGCAGGTCCAGCAGGCGCAGCAAGCTGGAGAGAAGGTGGTGATTACCATTTCTTAATGCGCGACACGGTTACGGGGTTGTTTTAGATACCAGTTGTTTGTACTCCCGAATAGGTTGAGTTAATTCTCCCAGGCTTTGCATTAAGAAAAAGAAAAGGTGGACATGGAAAGATGCCATTACTATTAGTTAGTATGGATCGCATCTGGCTTTTTTTGTGCAGGCTTCTACGTATAGGCCTACGTTTACTCCATAGGACATATTCCTATGATGATTGTATTGGCCACTTGGCCATCGCCATCGGAGTTTTTACATTGCATTGCATTGCATTGCATCGCGTTGTGTTGTGTTTTTATGTTTTTAGTGTGCCGTGTTTTCATGTCTTGCTCGCTGCTATTAGCCTAGGTTAGGTTAGGTACTTCACCACAAGTAATGCCTCTTTATATAAAGAGCTGCTTGTTAATTCATAAGTCATTTCTTTTATACATGATATGCTGCTACCTTAGGTATCTAATCTAACTCAACCAGGCCTAACTTAAGTCGACCTGACCTGACCTGACCTGACCTAACTAGACGCCCCTAGATAAACCCCCTCCTCCTCATATCTTCCGCCTCCGCCTCCGCCTCGTCCGGAAAGTACGACGCAACAGCATCGGCCTTGTGGCGCTCCTGCTCCGCTATATCCGTCCCCGTCCCCGTCCCCGTCTTCGTCTCCGTCTCCTCGGGGTATGCGTAGCAGTCGATTATATCCTCGATCTCCCTGTACAGCAGCGTGTCCCTGGAGCGGAAGACCCTGCTCGGACGCCGTGGCTGGGGGCCTCGCTCGCCGCTTTGGATACGGGCGATCAGCGGGGGCGGGTACAGGTCTCGCGTTATTTCCATGTCGGGGTGGGAGTATGGGGACATGAGCCCGTTGCTGCTGCTCGAGGTGGAGTACATTTCTGTTGTCCAGGATTTGTCGCTGGGGGGCTTGGTGTGTGGGGAGGGGGGTTCTGCTTCTTCTTCTTCTTTTTCTTCCTTGTCGCTGTTCTCGTCCACGTGGCGACTACCGTCCTTCTCGACCCCCCCGTCAAATCTGATACCTAAAGCCCTAGGACTAGTTCCGAAAATCCCCTCGTTAAGCGGAGAAAACGGGCCAGCGTCTTGGATTCCGGGACTAGTTTGTTGCTTGCGGTCCGGCGAGAAAGGACTCCAGACCGACCCGTCTGTTTCGTTACCGCTCTCCTTCTCGCTGCCGCTACCACTATCACTACCCTCATCATCACCATCATCATCATCACCAGCCCTCCTCCGCGCTTCGGCAATATGCCGCCTCTTCCCCCGCGGCGCGGGGAGTAGCTTAAAACTCCCAGTGCTAGAACGCTTGTCGAGGCCAGCGGGTCGTCTGCGGATGGTGCGGGTTTGGATATCCCCGGCATTAGTAGTGGTAGGAGAGCCGGTGAGAGCGTGTAGCGTTTCGAGATGGGTGTCCTGGATGACGGGCGGAGACGGGTCGAAGAATGCGCTTTCTCGGGGAAATAGGGCTTCGCGGCATCTAGTACAGAGGTTATCCTCTTTCTCTTGCGCTATGCTAAGAACGGCGTGGCAGCCGCGCCAGGGACATGTTTGTGGTGCTATAGGTGAATCTGGTGAGGAATTTAGGATGAGGCCGGGTGCGTGTTCGCTGGTAGAAGAGCCGTTGTATATCGGCGTCTTAGGCTCGCGGTTCAGCAGCTTAGTTATCTCGATATCAGCCGCGGTTCTCTTCTCCCCGAGCATCGAACCCCTTGAGCCACGCCTCTTGGAAGGCTGGCTAGTGGTAGATATCTTCCTTGGCGGCGGAGATCCACGTTTCTCGGACCCCTCGCTGTACCGGATGATAGGGCCTCGGTCTAAGGCACTCGCGTTGTATATTCGTATCATCCCAACGCCAGGCAATACTGGAGAGGCCAGGACCGGTTTCGTAGTAGCGGTCTCCCTTGATTGTGCCCAGTCGCGAAATGATTGCCCCGTCTTGTTGAACGTCGGGGACACGGAGCTCATCCTATGGCTCCTCGGGCTCGTCGACGAATAACTGAAATTAGGGACGGGGCCCTGTGACGGCCCACCGTGATCGCTCATCTTCCGTATCCAGCCGAGCCGCGCGGCGTACTCTTCATCGGATACCATCTCCTGAGTGCGCTTGTCGACATGCGGCCGGTCGGGGTGATGTGTGCCTTTGTAGTTGGCCATCCAATCTTGCCGCTCCCCCTTATCTTGCGCCGACGTCTTCTTCTCCTTCTCCTCATGATGCTTATGTCGAAAACTCCCTAAGACCCTTGAAAGAAAACCACCGCTGCTGTTGCGCCTCAGGCTGGTGGTGAAGCTACTTTTACGGGCCGAGCCCGCGCTTCGGTGACGGTGATGTTCGCGTACCATCTGCTCCCTATTCCCTGATCCTTTTAATGGCGGGTATCTTCCTCCGGATTCCCTATGTTAGTAGGATTTGTGTGTAATATAAGAATGAAATATTAAATATTAAGTATCAAGTATTAAAATATAATATAAAAAGTCGCTATGCTATTAGAAATGAATATGCTATGCGTTCATAAATACCGAATCATGGCGTCAGTAACGAGTGACATAGATAGGTGAGTAGTGAAAAGTCAAAACAGTTTTAGAGTCAAGCGGCGACGCGCCGCGGAAATAGACTTCAAGTCATTAATGATGGCGTGGTTTTGTTTGGTAGAAAGATGGGATGAGTGAATTGGCGTTTCTTTGATTAGGTAGGGTCGGATGTATGACTCCTTTCTTTCGTCACAAACTAGACAAGACTATTGAGCTGCTATGATTGTTAGCATTGTGAACCATGAGGGTGCCTTAATAAAGCATTGTGCTTTGTCACTCAGGCTTCCTTAACCAACGCATTGTATTTACAACAAAGGGATGATTGTCTGTTATATAGATAGGTACTGAATAGAAAGGCTAGATCGATGTCGTCAGAGGGTTAGGTGAATCGATATATTTCGTGTATTGGTGTGTAGCATAGCTCACGACACATTTTCGTCCGGTTACCTTCAATCTTGTCGTGCACTACAACAGGATAAAGTAAGAACTTGAATTAGGTTAGGAGTTTCCCTCTTCCCCCAGTCTTTATAGTGAATAAATAATAGCTTAATTTATGATGTAAGATATGTTAGTAATGTACTTTAACCCTAAACTGTGCAAGTGAATAATAGTAGTATTCTTATGAGACTTACCTTTACCAGCGAATATACGCCAAATATAAGAGTTGGGAGAGTAGGGCGTTGTTCTGCCTCAGAAGAGTTCTCATTCTAACTAAGTTGATTCGTTGCGTAGGACATTAACAGTCTCATCAAAATAGGGATGATGAACTGGGAAACGGGCAACAGAAAGCTGCCGTTATTTATCAGCAAGGCCCTCGTTATATATAATATTTTAGTAGTAAATCAAAATGTTCTAGTAGTTAAGCAACCCCTACTAGTTAAATTGACCCTCCTCTAGATGGTGCTATATTATAGACTGACTGTCACAGTCATATTATTACTCAGAACCAGGAGGACGGGTGGAAGCTCGTGGCAGAGTACCTCGATATCGGTCAAATATCTCAGGCTGGCCTCTTCGCTCTTGCATGTCCCTTCCTCGGGAATCGGGAGAGTTGTAAGTATCACCGCCGTATCGCTGCTTTTCTGACGCATCAGCTCGTTAAGAATTAGGTGTTGAGCGCGACTAGGCAAATCGTTGAATGAAAGAGGCAGATTCTGCGTCGAGTAGGATGAGCGAGTATCCTCGTCTGATAAGCCACTCGAACGGTGAGATGCTAGTAACTCCGGTATATTAAATTGAGCACCCGATAGCCCCCCATTTCGTGATACCGAGTTTCTTCTAGATCTTAATGGTGGCTCAGACACGCCACGTTCAGGTTCCGCAAATGTAAGCCGAGGCCCATGGTCTTCTTCAGCCTCAACTGTGGTCTCTGGAACGGGTCTGCTAGAGAACGGACCGGCCGGGGCGTTTCGTGATATTATAGGACATCTAACTCCGGTTGGTATTGTCTGCTCTCCTTCAGAGAATGTGATCCTTGGTCCTGAATCGTCGACCAAGACAGTAGTTTCTGGTGTTGGGTTACTAGTGAACCGGCTTGCTGATGAATGACGTGACAGAGCGGGTCTAGACGGTGTTTTCGGTATAATAGGGGATGTTTCGCTTGGTACTGCTGTAGTACCGAGGCGACTGGCCAAGCTCTGCGTTCGCTCCGTGTTAGATAGTGCTGACGTTGAAACCGCCCCTGTCATGGGGGGCATCGTGCCATACCCAGACGAGGTGGATACAGTCTGTTGTTCCAAATGCCGATCTTGGGTTTGCTCTAAACTCCTTGGTGGTGCTGCCCTTTGCATAATATCTCCATGGCTTTTCCTCCGACCTGCAAATGTTAAGAAGCTAGGCCTCCGCGACGAAGCTAAGTCTTCCATAACGTCGATACTCGCCGGACTAGTAACGTCGTTGAAGTCGGCGTCTGATGACGTAATGGATTCGCCGTCATCGTCGCTAATGTCGGGCGTATTAATATTTGTTCGAACTCCAAATCCGGAAGAGCTCAGCTGGTGAGTATGAATGCCGAAGTTGATGCCTAATTTTGAAATGGCAGAAACGCTCGGTTTCTTAGATCTTTCTAGCATCTCGTTGACGTCAAGTCCCCTTGGTAAACTGGACACTGAACTACCTCTGCGTCTAGTAGCACTCAGCATTTGCTCGAGGGATGCGAGTTCTTGAGATCGAGACATTTCGTGAGCTTCGGTCCTCAACCTCTGAAGCTCTTGCCACCATTCGTCATCTTTCAGCAACTCGTTTACAATACGCCCATATCCGGAGCCAATTCCTCGACCGTTAACAATAGTCTCATAGCTCTCTAACTGTCCCGAAGCAAGCCAAAATACTTGGATTGTAGCGTCGATTCGTAACTTTTCCAAAAGTACCTTTAATCTGGCCTGTTCTTCTTTGACTTCGCTCTCGTACTCAACGAATACCAAGACTCGGAGCTGAAATGCTCTTTTCCATGCTGGAACACTGTGTAGAATACAACCAAGTTGAAGAATCAACGTATCTGCGTTCGCCTTTCAGCCTACAGTTTTCAAGTTTTATACGTAGGGGAACATACATGTATCAAAATTAGTTGTCCAAATACTTTTGTCGCCGTCGGTGATCTCAGCCGACATTTGAATTGGCCAAAGGTCGATATACCTTTTAGTGTTGTTTCCATCATGGCGCGGAATTTCCAAGGCTTGAAACCCTTTGCCTATAGCAACATTCAGACGGTGGCGGAGTGCAAGATCTTCAAGAATCGTTAAATAACTTTCAGGAGACATCATGTCCTCCGTGCGTATGGCATCGGTTGGGAGGGACCCATCTAATAGACGGGCAGATGTGTCACCGCGTCGGCGCTTCGAAGATTTACCATCGGTCTTTGTTTCCAATTTCGGTCGGGTGGGCGTGCTTGGGACTTCTGGTATCCCCCCAAGCGGTCGAGACTTGCGTAAATCATCCATATTGTAAAAACCGAGGATGGCTATATTGGGTCGCATGCCGCCTAGGCCAGCTGAGAGTATCAAATTCCGCACTCCCCATACGATCGATGGCGACATCGTTAATTGGACGAACGCCTTGATCCTTGAGAATTCCGATATGTACCGAGTCCAAGCCGATTGTTGCAACTTTGCCTCATGTATACCGGAATTGAAATCATCCGTCACGATGACATGTCCTAATATGTACAAAGATCCTTTCTTCAAAGAGTTGCAGAACTGGATGAGCTGCGTATGATGCCGTGGATCATTGATTAGAAGTATTATCTGAGGTCTCCAGAATTTAATGTGTTCTGGTTTGAGTCGTAAGAGGTACTTTCGCACTTGATGGTAGATTAAATTCTGAGATACGTCACCCCAATGTTTCGGCGGGCTCATATAATGAATGACGAGGAAGAGAAAGATGAGAACGCAGATAGCAGCAGCAGCGTACGTTTCATCTATGAAGAACATGGAAGCAGCAGATATAACACTTCCTACAAAGGCAGTGTGCCAGCTGAAGAACTTAAATGCAGGACGGAAATTGGGAGCTGATCCTATCTTTAGCAAGAAACATGCTAGATTCATGACAAAGAACGTCATCTATACTATTTAGTTCTATAAACTGAGTTGGTATCTCATGGGGATACTTACCTGGTAGCTCATGGATATGAAAGTCGCAATTTGATTCAAGTCGGCGAATAGCGAAACCTGCGCAATCATATATGTGACAAATATTGCAAGTATAGGATCATCACGTTTATTCCCCTTTCCAAAGATAGACAGCCCTGGAAGGAGTTTGTCTCGGCCAAGGGCCTGAAGAAGTTTAGAACTACCAATGATTCCCATTAATGCTGAGAAGAAGGTTGTCGCACACTCGCCGGCGAGAATAAGTGGCGGCCATATACTCGCTGTAGAGATAATATTGGTATCTCGGAGAAATGAAGGGTGGGTAATACTAGAAGCCATCGACAGAATGACGACGAGATAGAGGACGAATGTCGCAGCCATGGCCCATAATGTTCCTTTCGGGATTGCTTTACTTGGATTTCGAAGATCCCCCGACATCGAAGCTCCTGCCAAAATACCGGATGTAGCACTGAAGAGGATGCCGAATAGTTCCCTGAATGTCTCTACACCTCGATACCTAGGGCTACCGGCGTGTGGAAAGAGATTGGAACGCATCGTAGCTAGGCTCAACCCAGTAAATTCAACTCCAATATCATCGTCCTTGAATGGACTCTTCACGATAGTCGAGACTGGGATGCTTGTGATGGCTAAGGTTAATATGACAATGAGGCCGCCGCTTGCTTGGACGAAGAGAGCACGTCCAGCAAGACTTAAGCCCGTAGAGAAAACGAGAGCGGCAGTCTGCATGCCATAGCTTTCCCAGTAGCCATGTGGTATTAAAGGTCCTAGATTGAGTTTTAAGCAATCTATGAGACCAACGATATTAAGCGAGGTGTTCACGACTTGGGCGAGATAGAACAAGATACCAATCGAGCCGCCGAACTCAGGACCAAGGGACCTCGAAATTAAGTAGTAGGCACCACCTCCCTTAACCTCCCCATTAGACGCTATAGCAGATAGGGAGAGCGTAGTGATAAAATCGACAATATATGCTATAACAAGTAAACCTGCGTAAATGTTCGTATGTAAGGTGCCTGACCGTCATGCAGGTGCTAGTAAGACCTACCTAGCATCCCAACCAGTCCAATCCGGCCCATGATGGAACCGAAACGAAGGAACATCAAAATACTGATAATATTTAAAACCACGGGGATAAAGACTCCAGCAACGACTCCAAGCTTGACCTTCTTGTTAGACGGCGCCGAGCCGGAGCCCCTGTTATCTCCTCGAGATTCCGGAGGCATATTGTATTAACGGGTCTTACGAGTTCTTACTGTTATTATAAAATGTTGTAACAGTATAGTGGCTAGCCTCGTCGTTGTGAGAGGCTACCAACTCTCGCGGCAAGCAGGCATATTGGAGTATCACTAACAATGCTGATGTAGGACGTAGGTAGTGTAAATGTATTATCCTATAGTAATTAGTTAACCCCGCTCGAAGTTAAGCTTGGGGATTGTCGAAATCAGATGTCAGAAGGGACGCAAACAAATATCAGACGAATAGCTAGACTGGTTATAGTCTAGTCATATTCCCCACAACACGTTTCTCGAATTGAATCAAGTTTGGTCCAATGACGTTTGGCAGCTGATCCCAAACGAGACATACAGTCTGGGATTGGATATGATAGAGAGCGACTTGACCAATTGCCATTTTGTATAACCATAGGAAAGGAAAGGAATATTGGAAGATTGAAGAATTTGTGACAATGTTGATCTCATAAGTAAAATGTGTTATAGAACTTGGAAAGACCTACGCAAAGAAAAGGTATGATAGCAGATAGCATCGGCTCCTTCTCTAATAAGTGGTTCATTCGTACATGTATTAGGAGGTACAGACCAAAGCAGCAAGCACCTAACGCAGGTGCTAGCGGTAATGCGTTTATCAGGTCCACTATTGTGTACCGGTCCGAAATATTACAGTGCTTAGGTAGCCCGGAGATAATTTGAAGATTGCTAATTGGCTGAGAAATCAAGTCGCATTTGATTCATCCCGTGGTACGGCTCCAAATGATGCAGTTGACCGACTTAGGCCAATTCTTCAGGGTCTGACTGATAAGGTAGTATCACGAGGGCTACTGTGCCTACCTACAAGTATCTTACCTGTTATCTACACACCTTGTCCAACAGCTTTCTCTACCGCCTTCTTTTCCATCGCATCATCTTGTAGCCTTCTTATTCGCATCTACTAGTTAGTATGTCTAAGACAAAGTCTTTTCCTTAATTAACCTCCTAGTGCATTACCTACATTAATCTCTGGAACTCTGGAATTAACTCTTGTTTATAATTAGTTCCCGATAGCTTCGGTTTCTAATCATCGTGTTCAAGTACTCATCTCCAGCCTCTTCGCCGCTCATACCTCAATGCCCACTCATTGTCATCGACCATTATCCTAAACTTAACCATGGCGAATTCCGATCGGGAAAGAAGCACAACACCGCAGCCTGGAGCTTCTTCGGGTGTGCAATTATCATCCTCTCCAGCTTCCGGTCGTATGTATGGAACTTCGGCGCCTCGCGCTGATGTTACCGCTCGCTTGGCTTCCCCCGTACCGTCTACCTTCGGAACTCCATCTCAACGACCTCAAGGTGCAGCTCGAAGCGAAGAAAACGTCGAGAATGTAGGGCCACTTGCCGGTGCTGGTCAGAGTTCTATGGGTCCCGGAGTGTCTGCTCTCGCCGCAGCGCTTTCAAATTCTATAGGGACATTACCCCCAAGATTCGGTACTCCACCGATACGATCTTCGTCGCCAGCGGGAACAGCCTCGGGGCTGCAGCCGTCCATAACGCCAACCAACTATGGCTCCTTCGAGACGAGGTCGAGAAACTTGCAGGGCGGTGCTTCGGGTGCCTACGAAGATCCCGAGATCATCAAGCGGCATTTGGTCCAACCTACCGACACTGCGGATTCCGCATCCAACTATGGTGACAATTCCAAAGGCAAGCAGGTCAGCGATTCCGTAGGGCTGGGGCGCGACGACGAGGAAGAATTCTCCAGCCTTAGATTACAAGGCGGAGACATAACGCGCCAGATCTATAAATGGACTGAAGACGCAGAAGGCCGTAACCGACCTCAGCGTAGCAAGAGTTTCAGCCATCCTAGGGACGAGCCCGAGAGTGAAGTTCTCGATATAAATACCATCAAGATCCCCGGAGGATTTAGGCGGAACTATCTGAGAAGAGCGGCGCGTAGCCCGCACCTGGACTCCGATGGATTAGAAGCTGGGGAAGGGACGTCGAGGGGCAGGCGAGAACCTCAGTTACTCACCAGCAGTTTCTTGGAATTTTTGTCTATCTATGGTCACTTTGCGGGTGAAGAGCTCGAAGAGGACGACGAAGTATTGGGACCTGGCGAGTACTTCTCTTCCGGAGAGAGCGACGAGTTCTACGATAGCGAAGAAGAGAGGGAGCCGATGGAAGACAGTGCCCTACTAACACCATCCAAGCGCAAGAGGAGACGAAGGGTCCGTGGTGGTAGCGGGAATAATACCCCCTTCAATGCGGCTCTGCTTCTCTTGAAATCGTTTGTGGGCACAGGTGTTTTGTTTCTGCCTCGTGCTTACTTCAACGGTGGTATGCTTTTCAGCAACTTAGTTCTACTCTTCGTTGCGGCGTTGAGTTACTACTGCTTCGTGTTACTCGTTACTACACGATTAAAAGTCGAAGGGTCGTTTGGTGATATCGGTGGGATTTTATATGGCGATTGGATGAGAAAACTGATCTTGTTTTCGATCGTCATTAGCCAAATCGGATTTGTCGCTGCGTACATCGTATTCACGGCTGAAAACCTACAGGCCTTCATTCTTGCCGTTTCCGACTGCAACACAAATATTCGAATTACCTGGCTCATCCTGATGCAGATGATCATCTTTTTGCCGTTCTCTCTGTTCCGAGACATCGGGAAGCTTGGTTTCACAGCTCTAATAGCGGATGCCTTTATTGTCATCGGCCTTGCGTACCTCTTCTACTATGACATCCTTACCCTAAGTACACACGGCATAGCGGATATCATTCAGTTTAACCAAAAGGATTGGACACTCTTCATCGGCACCGCCATTTTCACTTTCGAAGGCATCGGTCTTATCATCCCCATTCAGGAGTCCATGAGGTCGCCGTCCAAGTTCCCTAAGGTCATGTTCTACGTTATGATAATCATTTCCGTCCTTTTTATTACCATGGGTGCGGTATCTTACGCCGCGTACGGATCGAAGACGGAGACTGTCGTTCTTCTTAATCTACCTCAGGACAACAAGCTCGTCAACGGTGTCCAGTTCTTATACTCACTCGCTATTCTTTTATCAACACCCCTGCAGATTTTCCCAGCTATCCGTATCACGGAGAACGCCTTCTTCACGAAAAGTGGCAAGTATAATCCGTATATCAAGTGGCAGAAGAACATGTTCCGTTTCTTGGTTGTCTTCCTCTGCGCGTTCATTGCATGGGGAGGCGCGGATGATCTGGACAAATTCGTTGCTCTCGTCGGAAACTTCGCCTGTATCCCTCTCGTGTATATCTACCCTGTAAGTGTTCCCGTCCCTTTTGATACGTAATATTAGGCCGTACTAATATTTCCTCAGCCGTTACTTCATTATAAGGGGGTAGCAAGAAGCAGGGCTCGGAAGGTAACCGACATCCTTCTCTGCATTTTTGGATTCATAGCAATGGCATATACCACCAGCTTGACGGTGATCAGCTGGGCTAGCGGTCCTTCCGGCCCAAGCCTACCGAAGTACTGCGACCCCCATAAGCTGTAATACCATAAGAGGGTAGAGGAATGATGGGATAGCTGTGTATATTATCTTGCATTGGCAGCGTTGGGAGATTGATGCAACAGAATTAGAAATATTTTATCCTCATAAGAGACAGCTGATAAGAGATGAGCTTTTGATCTACCTATGTGGAGATAGAGCTTGCATGGCTTTTTAACATAGGTACCCATCTAGGGTTTGGGATTGCTTCGTTTTGGGTGCAAATACCTCTAGGTTATTATACGTGTGTTGGCTGGGTATCTACGTATGTGAGGTAGGGTTAGATTTCTGAGAATAGGGGAGCCTGACCTACCAAAATATAATTGTATCTATTAGAAGAATAGGGGCTGTAGTAAATCATAGGTCCTTCCATGGACGTAGTCGATACGTTGATATGGTTAGGTACATGTACATAGCCACATGCAAATTGGAGCAACCTCAATGGCCCGTGCAACTCTGTACGTATTCTTTCTGCCGATATTTAGCCGATTGGCCGGCAAGACGCGCTTTGACCAGGCTCAGGTACTTTGGATGAACCATTCGTTCATTCATGCATTCATTCATGACTTGAACTTTACAATCTTCAATACGTTTCTTGCCTTAGATTCTATTTCAAGTCTTGATTGCACCTTGAATCTGTTCTGTATAGCACGAGAATTCACAATACTCCTGTTCGCCGCATCAATAAACACCAGCAACGATTATACGTCTTTAAGTGAAGCCTACTCGCAGTTCTTTCTATCCCGTTTGATAGATAACCGCCAAGATGAACGCGCCAGATCGGTAGGTGATATTTCAAAGCTTTGTTATCCCATCCTCTCTCCAGTGCCCCTCTATCTCGATGATTTAGGAGGTGCACTAGGGCAATATGATCCTACAGTTTAGAAGGCGCATAACTGCCTCCTTTTCCTTAAGAGATGGTCTACAATTAGGAATAGCACCAGATCATTCTCCTTACCCATGCCACTAGACTCTCCAACTGCTCTACCCGTCTACCCACCAATTTTACACCATATAACCATTCAAGATGGAAATCAACTCTTCTAGAATGGAGCCGTTAGATTATCCTAATATCTGTTTCATGATCAAAAGCTAACTGATGCCTAGTTTCGAGCTGTTCCTCCTCAACGAGGCATTGGACGAGAAGAAGATCACCGAGAAGCCTTTTGCTGGTAAGAAAATTCTGTTTGGCTACCCTTAAGGGATTTAGTACTGATAAATACTAGGAATGTCAAACACCTCGGATTTCATCATTCTCAAGGAAGACCACACCATTGGCAACCTGCTTGCTGAGCACTTCAAGCAGCACCCTCACGTGATGATGGCTGGCTACAAAGGTAAGCAAACTTGTAATTATATCAAAGTTTGGGTTTCTAACAACAACATAGTTGCCCATCCCAACGTCCCCGAGGTCTTGATCCGTCTTCAGACCGACGGCACAGTCACTCCCCGCGAGGTGTTCGTAGACGTGTGCAAGCAGCTTGTAGCTTCCCTCGGACAGCTCGCTCAGAACTTCACCCGAGAGTACGAGCTCCGCCGCATGGCCACTGCGGGAGAGCAGGACAACAATTCGGGCGGTGGTGCCAACGGCAGGCCTTAAGCGTTCTATTACGGCGGCATACATTCTCATGATGCATAATGGACGGGGTTTGGTCGGATACCAGGCGTTACGGTTTTGCTTTCATTTCAACTCATGTAAAAAGGTAGTTTGCAGTGTTCTAGGGACAGACAAAATCATCCCTCATACGGATTAGGACTGGGACCTCTATCAGGGTCGTCTTAACCGCCATAATTCCATTGATTTCCTAACTCCCTGCTCACTTGTCGTGATATACGAGGCACTTGCTTTTTAGTACGCTAGTTCAGTATAGTTGTTGATGAGGCAATTACAACCTTGATTCACCAGACGATATCCCATATCCAACCTCGTTCTCATCAAGTGGCCACAGGTCCTTCTCCTCCCGGAATCAACTATGGGAAGGAATAAGCCTATGAATTTATACAATGATGCTTGGATACATACCATGCATATATTGTTACCGTTTAGTAAGATCTTGGAGAGCTTCGTATGGTTTCCAGAGTAATCGCTGCCTCTAATTAGATTTTCCCCGACCATGTGATATCGTAGTATGTCACTGGCGATATACATACAACTCAGTTACATCCTCTAGAACCATGTCTATACGTTTCATTAGTTTGCATGGTACAGTGAAAGAGCCATCTTTTTTTTACTTACTGACGTAGTCGTCAAAACCCAGCAAGGTTCCGCTGAATTCTGGTGGTACACCTTGTCAGTCATGGCCTGGCCTACTTCAGGGCGCACGGATGACTATACCCTTGTCACCCTTCATGATAACCCATATCCTGGAGCCGACGCACTTGTCGATGAGTTCTGTGCTGCGGGTCAGCGTGGGTTATTTGAAATATATAGTTCAGAGATTTACATACCTAATGGTAGAAGTTGGGATGCCATCTTGATATATTGGTTTGGTATCGAGCAAGAAATATTGTTGTTAAAGTGAGAAGATAAATATAGGTATGGACGGCCTTGGGCTAATAGCGTTTGCAGGTGAATTAGGTAAGTACCTCTAAGGTAGGTTAGGTAACCTTATTGGGTCGGGATAAGACAAGAAAACTGGTCACGTGATGACGGGTGTTTGTCGTGTAAAGAGATGACTAAGCAAATTTTAGTCTACAACTTCCCCTGCGGGATTGACAACAAGCCGAGTGGATCCCTAAAACTAACAGACCGACATTGAATTCGCCGAACTCGATTTAACTCGGTTTATATTTGAACAACTAATTAAAACAATTCCCACTTTCACTCGCCCATTGCGACGCGTCTGCCTAATAAGCATCTGCAAGATTCGCACTAAGCTACATGGTCATCATGGGGCAGTGCTATGATACATGGGAGCCAGTTAATTGCCAATGATGTCTTTTGGAAGTTCAGAGATCGCCGGAAATGCCCTGAGATCTTCCAAAGCCTTGCGCATGACACTCCCCTTGTGGTTCGTCCGTCCCTTTAAACACTTATATACATGAGGACGAAAGGAATATTCTTATTAACAATACTTTACCCCTTTAGCCGTTGGACAGGACAGGCTTTGAGAATGACCGCCACACCACCTAAATCTCAAGTATGGCACCCTACTCGGGGCATCTCCTTCTCATCCGTTGCGCAGTCGCCAAACTTGGCGCCGCAAGATTCAAATGGCTTAGATGCTTCTCTGTACCCGAAAATTGAGAAGCTATCGCTGTCGAGTGTAAAGCGTAAAACACGGAAGTTGAAAGCAGTTGCTCTCGAAGCAACTGAAACTATAGAGGAGAGTTCCGATATTGTTCTCACAGATGAGCAAACAGACTTATCAGAGGCAAAAGTCTCTGACGAACCTCCCGTTGCTACTTTGCCCTTCAAAATGGTGGATGACTTGTTCTACGCTGCTAAAAAGGCACCCGCTGGCACGGCTGCTTCATATTGGTCATATACCCAGTATCGGGGAATGGCACAAGATGGCACAGAGCAGAAGGTAAAAGTTCACTACTGTCGAAGCAGCTATACAATGGAAAAAGTCTGCCAGGAATACTTCTCGAAGGAACAAATCCTTGGCTTCGATCTAGAATGGGCCGCCGACTCTTATAAGTGGGAAAGCCTCAAGAAGAACGTCTCTTTAATCCAGCTGGCGAGTCCCAGCCGTATTGGGCTCTTCCACGTCGCTCTCTTTCCCGACAGAAGTGACATGGTCGGGCCCTCGTTCAGGGCTATTATGGAAAGCCCATATATTACAAAGGTCGGCGTTAATATTAAGGCGGATGCAACAAGGATACGCAATTTCTTGAACATAGACTCGAAAGGGCTCCTAGAGCTAAGCCACCTTTACAAGCTCGTTACCTACTCTGCCGAAGGGCGACACCGCGAAATCAACAAGAAACTTGTGCCCCTGGCAACACAAGTAGAGCAATATTTACATCTACCCCTCTACAAGGGTCAGGACGTCCGGACAAGTGACTGGACGAAACCTCTGGATATGGATCAAGTCACTTGTAGGTTATTACATTCCGCCTTCTCACCTCCAAGTTAACAGTGTTTAGATTCCGCATCAGATGCCTATGCCGGATTACAGCTTTTCGCTACTCTTGACCATCACAGACAACAGCTCAACCCTTGCCCGCCTCCCCCATATCATGCAGAGCTCAACCTTCCTATCCGGCTAACAGACGGGTTGGAACTATCTACGGATGACGAACCCGTCGTTGACACGGTGGTAGAGACAGTCGTCGAAGCCACTGCAACCGTAACCGTGAAATCCAAAACCACAGCCTCTAAACGGTCATCGGCCCCTAAGGACTCCCGGGTCGAAATCGCCGAAGACCGTGTCGCGCGGTACCGCGCCACGCACCCCGAGGCGCTCGCATCCACCCCGCAGCTTCGCGCGTATTTCATGTGGCATAGCCAAGGCCTTAATCCCCGGACTATAGCGCAGTTACTACGGGACCCGCCTCTAAAGGTCAGCACAGTTACTATCTATATACTTGCCGCGATCGAGCACGAGAAGCTACCCGTAGATAAGGAGCGGCTAAACCAGGAGATTGCGGGCATGGTTTCGACGAACTCGGTGTGCTTGCGGTGGCCGCATGTCGCTGAAATCTTGGGTCTCGCGGATGTATCTAGTTGATTTAACTGATGATAAAACGCGGTCGGTGGCTCTTTGGATCTTTGAGGATGATGGTTTTGATGCTGAGAGTCGTAGATAGGACATTTGGAAAGAGGGCATTTTATATACCAACGGTGGAAGGGTAGTAGCTATCTGTATGCATAAATCAACCAACTATACTCGATGAAGGTTTATGAATAGAATCATATCATATTATAATCAGTGTAGCCCTACGAAGTGGCTGATGAACAGGCCAAGGACATGTTCCTCGTTCTACTCTGATACGGTAATTTGGCTTGTAGCTAACTTGTCTTAACTGTCGTCTACATAGTCATTATCACAATAACATATCATACACTTGAAGCTTAGAATAGCCCTATACGCAAGCAATTCTTACGCTCAGGCTGAATAGATCCATTAGAACCTCACTGAAAGCATAGATTACACCAGCATATATACTACTTGTATTAGATCTAAGCGGGGGTATATATACACACCTTAGGTACCTAGGTAGATACCTATTCCAAACATTCATCCATGTTTTCTCTACCTAGGTATAACCGCCGTTCTTTTAACCACCGACACCATTCTCACCATCGCCCATCGCCCGTCGACGTAACTAACTCATCCACTCACTCACTCACTCACTCGCCCACTTCCATAAAAAAAAAGGATCTTAACTAGTCAACCGCAAGCAAATCCCTCCCCCGATTAACCTGCACCATGCGATCCTCCCCACCACTAACAATCCCCCAACTGCGATCCCACGCCACACCAAACACCTTGGCGCCTCGGCCCGGTACATCACTACCCTTACTACTACTACTATTCTTCTGGCTCTCCCGCTCAATCACATACACAGACTCGCTTACCGCTCCCCCTCCTTCAGCCCGCGTGCCCGCGCGCGCCCCCCGCAGGTCCCAGGTCCGACACGTGCCGTCGTGCGAGGCGGAGACTAGGCTGTACTCGTTATCAGGCGACGCCGCAATGGCAGTAACCATGTTCCGGTGGCCGCGCAGCGTCATCACCGAGGTCGCGGCCGCGCCGGCCCGTGGGTCTGCAAGCGTGATGTGTCGTGCTGAAGTGCCCGCTGCGAGGAGTACGCTATTGCCGGTGCGCCGGATCGCGCACAAGGAGAGGAGCGGGTGCGAGGTCGTGATTACGTTTTCGACTTTGCTGGTGGTTAAGTCGATGGTGCGGATGGTGTGGTCCTGGGACGCGGTATACGCCACCGTGGCATCGGCGGGGTCAAAGAGCGCGGCGGAGGCGGCGGCGGTGTGGGGTTGGGTTAGGGAGAGAGGGCCGCGTTGGGGTGCTGAGGAGGCGATTTTGCGCTTCTTGGAGGAGGAGGCGTTGGCGCCGGGGAGGAGGGCTGCTGGGGCTGCGGGGGCAGTGGATTTGGATGTTGTCCAGAGACCGATGGTGCCGTCGCTGGCGGCAGTTAGGATGCGCCCAGTCGGGCCGTGGACGTCGAGGGATTCGATGCCGGCTTTGTGTCCGTACAGCTCGAGTGTGGGCTTCAGAGTGCCGGAAAGGTAGTCATCAGCCTCGGTGTACTTCCATATGCGGACTGTGCGGTCAAGCCCGGCCGATGCGACCTGCGACGCGGATATGAATTTCGCAGCCTTGACACTAGCGCTGTGGCCGCCTAGGCTGCTAGACGAAGAAGTGGCGATTACGTTCCCGGATTTATTCCATATCCTCAGCAGACCATCATACGAGGCCGACAAAATCCTATCCTGGCCCGTAACAAACTTCCCTCCGCTCCAGACACCCGCGCGCGAGGTTTCAGACAGAACATCGACATCGCTGACCCAGTCGTCGTGCTCGAAGCTAGCCTGGAAGGCGGGCGGTATTAAGCTGCGGACGTACTGCACGGTGACTGTGGATTCGGCGGAGAGCCCGTTGGCCTTGAGGTAGTCCTCGAGCGAGGTGCGCAGGAAGCTGCCGTTGATGAGGAAGTCGAAGGGGATAGGCGATGGGGTGTCGAGCATGGACTCGGAGTTGAGGACGCGGGAGAGGCCATAGCGCTTGATATCTGTAAATTAAGTAAGTATGATTTGATATTATAATGTGAGGAAGCAAAACGGACCGGCTGGCACGAGCAATTGGGTTCGGCCTTCTGGTAATTGAAGATCTGGAGATGTCGTGGTGAAATTGACCCGGATTTGCTGGGCCTCGGCCGCTCCTGGCTGGCCTATAGACGAATCCATGGTACTTTTATAACCGATAGATCCTTAATCGAGTGAATGAGTTGTAATTGTTTGAATTTAAGGTATGAAATGCGAGTATTTATTCAAAACCGACAATCTTTCAATTCTACCTGATATTCAACATACAAGTTATTAATGTTACTTCTGGAACTTTTTTTTCTTATCGATAGAATTGGGGAAATTTTCCCATTTAGCTTCTACCAGCCTTCCAGCACCCATGCCTACCAGCCTTACCCCGCGATGCAGGGGTATCCACCAATCAAAATATGCATATGTAATCGCTAGCTGTTAGAAGATAGAATACCAAAGCCACCCTTAAGCCAAGCCACAGTCAATTAACGCCAAAAACGCGTCTTCGTTCGGTGGACGCGTCTTTCCATGCACTTTCTCTATAACTACTATTTCTCCTAAACCCAGGCCGAGGATGTTAATTATAAGATATACACGATGACCACGCTAGATGATATCCCCGGAAACTTGCTCCGGAAGCCTTCGTAAGTCTTTATCATTCTTCAATTCAACCAGACTATAGATACTAATAGTTCACAGGGGCAAGACGGAGGATGAGCTCCAGAGAGCTTCTTCAGATTACAAGTCGCTGCACTCCTTCAGGCTTGATAAGGATAAGCCATATAAGCAACAGTTCGCCGATATGTATTTCCTGCGGCTCACTAAGATCAAGCCTGCTGTCGAGCAACTCGCATCTGCTGCTTGGGATGACCAGCTTATTGGTAAGGAGCCGGTGAAGAAGGCTGAGCGGGTGCTGGATATTCGACAGGGCGAGCTATGTTGGGTCTCGGGTACCGTCTACATGGATATGCCTCTAAAACCCAATATTCTTGAGGATGTCTCGAAGGATGTATGTGATCGAGCTTCTGAATTGTACAACATAAAATCTAACTTTCCCTAGCGATGGCTCTCAGCCCCCATCTCAAACAAAAAGTACTACTCAGACGACGGTTCCGACGCCGTTACCCTAGAGGACGAGTCTGGCCGTATACGCCTCGTCGGCGACGTGCTGAACTCCGTGCTCCTTGTGACCGGGTGCATCATTGCCGTCATGGGTACCGAGAACGCGAACGGCCAGCTCGAAGTCATCGACCTGAAATTTCCCGATCTACCCCCGCAGCCAGAACGCCGGGCGCTACCTAAGCCGCCCGTCGACGCCAAGGGTGGTGCCACGAAGGGAAAAGCCAACCCAAAACCCAAAGACGAAGACGCTGAGATGACAGACGCCGGGTCCAAGGGCAGCGGGTCCAAAATCGCCATCGTGTCCGGCCTAGGCTTCTCCGGCACCGACGCCTCGCACGCAATTGAGCTAAGCCTACTCCTCGAGTTCCTGCTAGGCGAATCCCTCGACCCCTCCGCACAACAAGAGCTATCCCAAATAAGCCGGCTGATCATCGCGGGCAACTCCATCTCCCTCGAGGAGCGACGCCCCGGCACCGACGAAGACTTAACCGAGAAAAAAGCACACAAAAAGTACGGCTACGACAGCAGCGCATATAACGCCTTACCATCGCAACTCCTCGACGAGTTCCTCTCCGCATTGCTACCCTCGATCCCCGTAACCCTACTCCCCGGGGCTCAGGACCCCGCCAACGCGAGCTTCCCGCAGCAGCCGATCCACCCGGCCATGTTCCCGTACTCGCGCCCATACACGGCACCGCCTACAGCTACGGACGCCGAGCCCGGCTGGTTCGACGCCGTGACGAATCCGTGGGAGGGTGAGGTCGATGGGTGGCGCGTGCTAGGGACCGGAGGGCAGAACGTCGATGATATATTCAAGTACGTCGATAGCGATGATCGGCTAGGCATGATGGAGGCGATGTGTCGGTGGCGGTGCTGTGCGCCGACTGCGCCTGATACGCTATGTATGTTTTTTTTTTTTACTTTGCCCTTAAACCCTATTTCCTATGCATACCAGGATTCCCTTTCTCCTTATACTTTTCCCCCCCTTCGGAAGCTAACCATCCACCCTACCACATCTAGGGAGCTACCCCTTCCAAGACGACGACCCGTTCGTCATGCAGACATGTCCGCACCTATTTTTCGCCGGCTGCCAGCCCCGGTTCGGCACCAAAGTCATAAAAGGCCCAGAAGGGCAATCCGTGCGGCTCGTTGCCGTCCCATCCTTTGCAGATACCCAAGAGATAGTGCTGGTGGATACCGAGACCTTAGACGTCACGAAGGTTAAGATTTCTGCGGTCTAGGAGGCCACGGCCCGAGCGTAAAGTTAGGTACGCTAGGGTTATAACGGCAGGACTTGAGGGGTAGGACTTAAGGGGTCTCCAGAATAGAAAGCTCTTGCCAATGATATCCATATATAGTAGCCAAGGCTAAAGGGCGAGAAATTCAAGGACATTCACGGGCCGAGCTTAGCAACTATTTATCGTCTAACTACATGGATTTAGGGGGAGAGCTTAAATGTCATTATAAGAATCAATCAAACCCAGCGCGAGGCAGGACCGTAAGTCTACTGAAAAAAGATATTTATTAGGCCTAAGCCGTAACATGAAATCAACGTATGAAATTAACGCATGCAAAAGTAACGCATTGTGAGAGCTACGTGATATATGCTCATAAGTACTATGGATCCGAACGCATCGCCTCAAGCTCTTCTGAAATCTCCCAACTCATCTCGACTTCCCTACTCGGACGAAACAATCCCTTGATCTGAATCATCAGAAGTTTCCGACTCGTCGTCTTCGGAGATCAGTCTAGCCAACTGCTCTTGTGTATATTCGGGCCTAACGCTTGGACTTCTCGATCCTCGAGACGAGGCGGGCTCCGAGGCTTCAGACCAGTCGTCTGGCAGTGTCTCCACCTCCATGCTATCTATGTGTCGCCCCCTTTTCTCCTGTCCTAGGAACTTCCAGGGCTCGGACTTCATACTATCTCTTTCCTCTGGGCAGAGTACGGCCAGCATTTCGATCGCCATTTTGAGCATGTACACTCGCGACTTCGCGCTCTTGACCTGTTTCTTAAAATAGGCCTCGGCACCCTCAGCATCCTTGACCGCGACTCCATTCTTGTCCTCCCGCGCCTGCTTCTGCATGTAGTGACACCGGAGATTGATTACGTTCTCGTACAAGTTCGCGTCGCTATCTGTGGCTAGGATGCGGAGGTATTGGACATTGAGAAGCATAAGTGACTCCCTGGTGGTGGTGAAGTGGTTGAATAACCTAGTGGCAGGCACCTCATTGGGATCCTCAACCAAATCAGTAAAGCCCATATCCCTCACTTGTACCGCCGGTATTTTGAGCGTCAATGTGTGGAGATGTGCTGGCTCGGCTAGACCATGACCAGGAACGAACTTGCGGATAGCATTGCAGAAATTGCTAATTACCGTACTATTCAGGCGGTTCGCTGGGACGTTGATCTTGATGTAGCGCATCAGGTGTCCATATTTATCAATAGGTATCTTGTCCTTGAGAAATACGCGGCCCATGATTCTTTCGGTCATCTCCAAATAATCAGGAGGGTCGCGGATATCGTAGAGGAAAGTGTTCTCGCCAAATAGGATACGAAGTCCTTCGAGCCATAAGACACGGCACGTGTAGAGGATTGCGAGGTCTAGTTTAGGTCCCCTACGTCCGTAGACTCGGGTCCAGCCCCTGAACACTGCAATGTCACGGGGAGAAATCAGTATGTACCGCAAGATTTCGTCGCGAATCTCAGTAGGAAGACGACCAAGGGTACCCATGGCTTCAACAGAGGTCAAGCTCTCAAGTTTGAGGGTGTCAAGAGAAGGTGGCTGCTCAAGCCTTTTGTCTTTCTCCCAAGGCAAGAGGCGCGAGACCTTCTTTTTGCCCCCATCTTCGAAAATTTTGGGACGCTTGCTCCTATCGCAGTCGTCGTAGGCCATGTTGGCCGAACGCTTTCGGTTTGTCCTTTGGGTCATGGATAATACTAAGAGATCATCATCGGGGTGAGTTGGCAGTTCGACCTTTTCAGCTTCGCGGCGAAGTCGACACTCCTCCCTCGCACGGGCAGCTTCCTTCTCGGCAGCCTTTTCCGCGGCCTTCTCGGCTCGCTTTTCTGCAGCGGTAGGTCCATTTCGTTTGCGCGCGCCACGGCCAGGAGGAGCAGTCTTCCTGACTGCTGTACGTTTCCCTTTGCTGGAAGGGTCTGACTTTTTAGGAGGCATGCTGCTTGTAACCGTAGTTGGTCAAATGTAAAAACCTGTAGAAATAGAAACAGCGCAATGCGTACGTTTCAATGTTGAATATACCGTAGTAATGTTATCTGAGTGATGTCGCGTAGGGAATGAAACAGATTCATAGAAGTTTACCAAATAAATACTAGGCTAGGCTGGTAGCAAGTATTTATATAAGTTAACGAAGGCGTCCTGGCTCCCCAAGAGATCAAAGGGCAACGTATTGGCTCCAGTAAGAGTAGGACGCCGGGCTAGAAATCGAAACTCATACGCTACTTGATAACTGTGGTTTTAGGTAGAAGTCAAATTCGAGAGGCGGTAGGATAGAAGTTGCGGCTATTAGTTGCTACCGGGCAGATTCTCGTTGACGGGTAACAGCTGCCAGAGTTGAATAATAGGTAATGAATACTGGAAACGATGAGGTTTAAACGTCGCTTCCTTCCTAATACCTTCGTACAACACACACCCCTTAAGCATGTAGGCGTATTTTAAGTATTAGCCTCCTAATCTGTGTTGTATACCTAATGGAAAAATGCTGCTAGGCATCTGCTCTGCTAATGATGTTCAATCCGATATAAGGTCCCCCTTTCCTGCTGAGAACCCTTGTGAGAGTAGTTGGTATATGAGACGCTGTATATTATTAGTATATATTAGACATCAGCAGCTATGAATCATGTTTAATTTGAGCGTATGTTCTAACGATACTAATTGCCGAAACGGCTTTTAGTCTCCTTCCCTGCTTCTTACTCTTACACGTATTATACAGAGTACATATATTATTAACTTGGGCACATGTCTCAAAGAACATTTCCACGAGCCATCTCAAACTCCGACCCATTCGGAAGGAATTGCAGCACATCTAATAATGTAAAGGCTTAGGTCAACAGATGTAGCCTCGAAATCTAATTAGGACGGAAAATGATATAGAGCCATCTATGACAACTGCCCTGCCCTTTCTATTGTAAGTAATTCCATACTTAAAGCTAGTAAGGAATACCATAATTGCCATTTATAAGTCATGGCTAATATTGAGCTATTTTATATAAAAAATACCGACTTTTATAAATGGAAATCTTGCGGAGGGCTAAGGTGAAGCTGATCTACTTGATTCCTTCATCTTAGAAAAAACTTGGCAACAGCTTTCATAGTCCAGCTCCCTTTAAGTAAAATTAAGATTTTTACAGCTCGTAGTTATAGTTATAGTAGTAATTAGGCAAACAGCAAAAATATTGGGACTTCAATAAATCAGAAAAGACCGTGACTTAGGTACGTAAGGCCGATGATGGGCAAAATGAGCATGGCTTTCCCTATATGTGCATCTGTATAATTGGTGGTACTTGGGTACATATCTCTTATTAGATCCCTGCCACGACTTCTACAGCGACGATAAAGCTTGAACAGGGTGTGGGGCAGAGCTAACGGCCAGCGTTAAGGATCTACTGATAAGATAACGGTACCTGTAACTTTTTTTCTTCTTTGAACTTTCGTCGCGTGCAGCTTCTCACGATCCGATCTAATTGGTCGGCACCTGCTTCTATTCATTTACTCATATTTACCTTCTCCTCTCGTTGTTTGTTCTCCTTGCCCAAAAACAACCATTTTTGCTTCAATTCAGCCTTGCAGCACCTTGGAATTATAGCAAGATGGCCAAGGAACGAGCTGAGAAGCTCCACAAGAAGGCTGAAAAGCCCGAGAAGAAGGTCTCCAAGGACAAGGTGAAGAAGCAGAAGAAGGAAAAGAAGTCGAAGCGTGCAGAGACGCCCGAGGACTCCAACAATGAGCCTAGCAAGCTAGAAGACACCCCGGCAGCAGCTGAGGAACCTGTGAGTATTTCTTCTCTATAAGACTTCCGTGAATGCAAGACTTACAGTTGGATTCTAGTCGGCCGAGTCCGTGCCAGAGGTCAAGCCTAAGAAGGAAAAGAAGCGATCAGACGAGAAAGCCGAGAAGTCCAAGAAGAAGGAAAAGAAGTCCAAGAAGGCCGCCCTCGAGGAAGCAGTAGCCGATAGCGCATCCAACAGCACCGAACTCCCCGTGCGCCCCATCTCCAAAGACTCCGATCCCGATTCCTCAGACAACGACAACAACGGCCCAGCTCTCTTCACAATCGACACGAAGCCCACGCCCATCGACCCGAGCTCCATCCCCCAAAAAGCCGTCGACGCAGCAGACGAAGACGACGAGATGGCCCTCTCGGACGGCGAATCCAAGGGCCCGAGCAAGATGAAGCCGCCGACGGGTCTGAACCGCCAAGCGCGCCGCCGCATCCGCATGATCGAGCAGCAGCGCGAGAAGATCGCCAAGGAGCTCGGCGCGGACGCGGGCCCGGACGAGGTCCAGGCCAAGCTGGACAGGTGGGTCGAGGACTACGACGGCAAGGCGGCCGCGCGCATCGACAAGAAGAAGCGCCGCAAGGACAAGGAGGCCGCGCGCATCCGCAACAAGAAGGGCAAGCTGCTGACTGGACGCCGTCTTAAGGAGCGCAAGAAGGTGCTTGATAAGATGGATAAGAAGGCTTCTAAGAGACAGGGCCTGTCTGCGCAGAATGCGGCGTGATTATCTCTACTTGAGGTTTCCTTACTAACAGGTACCTACCTACCTACGGCCGTGGCATTCCATTCTTCCCGGATCGGTTCTGAGGCGTTGGGCGTGGAATGTTAAAAGCTTGTTTTGCTTGCTCGTCTGTGCATGTTTACGCTTTCTACAGTATGGTACCTTTTTTTTCAAGGCCATTAGGAACGTATGAATTACATTGCTAGATAACGATGGTTCGTTTATGACTTCTCGGTATTACGGCACGGTTATGAGCAGATTCCGAAGAAGGTCAAAGATTTTAGGTCATAGTTTTTAACAGAGATGCGTCGTTTTGTCCGCCTAGATTTTATGTGCCTGGTCCCTCTCCCCCAAAACCCGTGATAAACTCCAGTCCACTATGCTCCCCCATATATGCAGATCTCGTAACGTACAGCTAGCTCGTTAATTCACTTCTAAATCCGTGGCCATTCTTATAATCCAATTAAGGCTTCTTCGACTCGCTCTCCTTTTCCTTCTCCTTCTCCTCATCACCATCCTTCTTCTTCTTCCCCTGATTCCACACCTCAGAAACCTGATCCGCAATAAGACTCCAGTACCCGCCGCCGCCCTCGCTCAACGCCTCCTTCTCCCTCTGATCCCTCTTAGCCTTCCAGTCCTCACCACTATCCCCCATCCACACCCTCTCCAACAGCCCCCTCTCCTTCTCCTTCTCCCCCTTCCGCCGATGCTCCTCCAGCATCCTCTTCTGCTCCTCGGTAAGACCCTCCTGCGCCCGGCGCGCGCGCTCGGCCCGCAACCGCGCCTGCATCTCTTTTGCTTTTTCCGGCAGCTCGGCGCCGGACATCTTTTCCAGGCGCTGCGTCATGCGCCGCAGGGACGACGTGCCGCTGTTGTCGGCGACGAGCTGGTTCGTGCCCCACAGCGCGACGCCTCCGAGGATTATGGCGCGCAGGTCTAGACGGCGCGGTGGTAGGAATAGCGCGAAGAGCGCTATGGGGGTTACGCCTAGCGCGACGTTGTGGACGAAGGGGTTGGTAGGAGGTTGTGGGGTGGGCGTGGGCGTGGGCGTGGGCTGTGGCGGTGCAGCGGATTGCGGTTGTGATGGCGAGGACGCCATTGCGTATGTGTATGTATATGTATATGTATATGTATATGTGTGTAAGTGGTTCTTTGTCCGAAGTCTTAGCGATTGGCTATGTGTCAGTCGTTGAGGCGAGGGGACGAGGGGATGAGGAGATGGCGGGACGGCACGAGGAGGGGTTATGATGCGCCTTTCGAAATTGCGGGCTCGTCGAGGGGGTTCAGGGGTAAAATGTCAATATAGCTCTATAGCTGAGCGGTAAAATTAAATATTGGACGCCTTGCCGTTTTTTTAGGAATCGGCCAAGTATGTAGGTCTCTGTCCTCGGTGAGTCTTGCGGGTTAAACGGAGCTCTGGAATGGGAGACGACGTCGCTGGTAGAAACAAATTCCAGCGAGCTCAACTTTTTTTCTGCAGGGGTCGCTGTTATCTGCCCTATCTAATCAAAGCTAGGTACTACCTAAATGTTGCTTGATAGTGGAACATGCCGAGATCCGCGCTGCAGCATGTAATTGGCTCGTAAAGGTACGAAGTACCTAAGTATTCCGGACATTGCAACATTGAAGTCTTGTATGTTTTATGTATTCGCTACTTATGTCAAGATCGAGTTGCATCGCCGGATACGATGAGACACGGCATTTATCAACCAAGATAGTAACATCGGACGAAACAGAACCCACCTTGGAATTATCAATAAGCAAAGAGCCGCATCCTTATTGTCAAATGGAGTCATATTCCCGACTCCATTCAACGAGCTTGCATCTACGTTGTACGATAGCAATCACCTTCCTATGAGCTAGCACGAGAGCTTACCGATCTAGATGTCTCGGTTCCTTCGACTCATACTAGTTAAATCATGATAGTGTCACGATCAATATTGTCCGCGTGTTCTCTGCACGTTCGTCTAGAGTATAGCGGCAATCCTAAGTAAACAACATCAACCTCGTACACAGCCACAATATCTAATACGTCAATCGGCGAAGTTTGAGAGATATAGTAGCGTTACCGAGGTAGCAGGTAGCTTATGAGTTTAGGTAACCACTATTGTAAGGCAGATTTTTTGTGAAACGGCGGACGCTATGACAATGAATGCATATACCTACTTGACGTAGGTATGTTACATAGTACTTTTTATTTCGTGGAGGTGGAAAGTTTAGATCTGAATTGAGGTCCAAACGAAAGGCCGCATTGTGGGTCTCCGCTTTATGGGATTTTTTCGGGCATGTCCGGTGCTACTGCGCCTTGCTAGCGGTGCTTCTTATCTGTCCATCTACCGACTCTTCGGTGGCCTACCGACCGTTAGCTTCTGCAGAAAAATACCTAAAAAGTCGGTCACCACTGGTCAGCCAAGAGCGGGAAAAAAGCGGAAACATTCCATTAGGTATCTGGGATCGCGTGGCTGCACAGAAGCTTAGAAGCTCCCACTTACATAGTGAAGAGGCTGAGTTTATTTCCTCCATTACCTCGGCTTTAGATCAATGCCCTACGCCTCGAAGTATAGAAGTAACGTGATCCCCTCAGGCGACATCATTTTACATCTTGTTGTAACTATCGTTATTATTTTAGGTATGCATGCATCATTGCCAATGTCAATGCCAATGCTGTACTGTACTTTGCTGACCACAAACTCGCTATCCGGGTTTTAACTGCGATCACCTAACAAATTAGACTCCGGGCGGGGTTTTGTTGCGCCGAAATCTCAGTCTGGTGGTCTTAGAATTGGGGGCGGTCTAAGAATGTGGTCTCGCTACGATTTAGTGCTATCGAACGCTAGGGTTGCAATACCAGCAGAGCGGAAGTAGGTCGATTTGATCTCGGTACCACGTTGATAGCCTATCTGAGTCAGATTTGAGGGCCCCTGATTATGACCCCCGGACATCATTCTCCAAAGACATAACACGTAATTGGGATAGCGTCGGGAGACTATGCATGCGGGGTGTTGTATCACTATTCTAAAAGGGCCGAAACAATCGTGAGTTTCTTTCTTTTTGGGGTGTCATTGACGCGTAAATAATAACTATGGTGAGGCTGTCATATCGTTACGAAGGGTTTGTACAGCAGAAGGAGTTGGTGTTGTCCGCTCTTACTTTAATACATGTATATCTTGCCAGATACGAACAGAGTTCGCGCCGTTAAATGTAACGATGGGTAGGAACGTGACGGTTTCGCCGATTATCGAGTCAGATATCTTAATAGATATTAAAGGTATATGTGGTAGTCCGAGGAAGCAATATCAATATGTACTAGCGTAGAGGCCTAAAACCCTGAAAGTTTTGCTATTCGCGCCTAGACTTATTGCGCTTGTGCAAGCTTCACAGGCTCGGTTTTATTATTCGAGCCACGTCAATGTGAAATAATAGATATCACCATTGGCTGCTGCGGCTAAGAGTCTTGGCTAAGGGTTAGGTAACCATTAGACAAGCGGGGGAAACAGAAGACATTGGTACTACACACATAAGATGTTGTGAGGTAAGTAACTTCTTTGTAAACGCGGTACGGTATATGTTAGATAAATTGATCTATTGAACTAACTACTAAAATCAAACATTATTATTTTTTTTTTACAAACACTCAAGATGAATCTGAATGTCTGAATGACACGTGACGAGCAGTCACGTGTTGAGATGTACTAAGGTACATCTCACAGTATACGACTTTATCGTAATGCTAGTATCAAAATCCCATAAGAACAAGAGGAGTCGGTCAATCCCTCCTGCATCACGATTAACGACGTGGTATTTTTCGCTTTCATCCGAGGAGAGACAAGACGTAGAAGAGATTCGGCGAATTCATGTCGCTGGCGGCCTATTTTCAAGTGTAGGAAAAAGCCCCCAAATTTGTATATCGAAATTTTTACGCCGTTTTCTCTCTCGGCACTCTTTTTATTGGATAGTTGCAGTGTTGTTCAACGACAACTGCTCCTCTTATTGTAACTTTGTGGTTGGAGTGCCGTCGAACGCACCGAGTCTTCTCGGACCTTGATTCTGCGTGAGATGCAAAATCTAATCAGTGCTCTTCCATAGTATATAGTGGCGGCCTCCCCCTTGATGCATGTAGACACTAATGCAGTCTTCCGTAGGGAACACGGGCGAATCAAGATATTAGACGTGGTTGCACTATAGGGCTGATGAACCAAGAATGAAGACGTCTTCCGTATTGGCGTAAAAGATGAGACGGCTTTCACACCCTGCATGCGCTACCCTTGGCAGTGGTGGATTTGGTGGGGGACGATTGGTCTCAGCGTTATAAGTCTGCAGTCAGATGGACCACTAGCGAGATCATAGCTCTCTCGTAGGGCTGAATTGGTGGGTACGAATATAGTACTTGGGACGCTTGAGACCACATCCGCTACTCTTGGATGATCATATTCCACAATATGCGGGCCGGTTCCGCGAGCGAATGGGTCGAATGGGTGGTGTTAACATCTTCTAAAAGGATTGGTAACACTTCAACTAGAAGGTCATAAATCAAGGAAGAATGAGGGAGCAAGTTACTGCAGCACTCAGCACCTCGCAGTATAGACCGATGCTCCTAATTAATGATTCGGTTGAGGTGGTGTGGAGTTATGAGTCGGGAGTGGAGGATGAGATGGGGTGAGATGATGATTATGGACAAGCTCTTAGCCACCGGCAGTGTAAGTGATATGTAAGATGCAGAACTAATTAGGGCTAGAGCTAAAAGGTAGCTACTTAGTTCAATATTATGTGATTATGTGGGTGTATTTACTTAAGGTATACTTCGTACGAGTAAAGAGAAGAGGAGGAAGGATGTAACAATACCAATAGAGTAAATGAATTGGATATATTCACAAGACCGTACTAAAGAAGACTATCAAATATTACTTCGAGCCTTAGATAATTAGTTCGATTACATAAGTCAAAGTTTTTAATCTATCCCCGGATTAGGAGGGAGCAAGGGTCCAAGCTCTTGACAACTTTTCTTTATTTAAAGTTGCTAGGAATAATTATAATTGGACGACGTAAATGTTTTGGTTTGATGAAGGGGCTGTAGGGAAGTGGGTTATAGCTATTAACCCTTATAAAGCATCCGATTGCAGCATCTCTGACTTAAAGAGGGAGGGAGGGCTAAGACTTGGCGACTTATGTACGTAGCCTGTAGCCAGGGGTTCAAGGTAATCGTACTCCGATTATGTCAGGCGGAGAAGAAGTACCTAATGTACTGATGACGGTGACGGTGGTATGATGGCTAGTCTGAGGCTTGCCGATCCTGGAGAGTAAACTCAATTGTTCACCTGCAGGTCCCTGTTTTCAGCCAGCCGTCTTTCAGCCGACATATCACGATACTTGTAATTAGGGGAATTCATTCATATACAATTCTATCGTACTTGATAATAATTGAATAGAAACGCGATAATCATAATATACATTTATATAATAATATAATAAATTTGTACACGGCGTATAAATGTGTTATGTTTTAAGTGACGATGTTAAATTATAAATACCTTAAGTACTTTTATGCGTTTATACTTATAAATATAAAAACTTAAAATATAATATTACAATTAATAATAACATTTAAATAAGTCGCATAATATTATTAATTATTAAATTTATATAAAAATTACAAAAATAATTATATATATAATTAAAGTTATTTTATAAATAATAACGTTTTATTAATAATTAATTTATACGTAATAATAAATTTATATTATTTTCTTTTTTTTATATAATTATTTTTAATTATTATAATACCTTTTTTTAACATATTTTAATTTAATCGTTTTTATAAATATTATTTATTTTAATTTAATAATTTTTTATTAACATATTATATATTATAAATTAAATACCCATTTTAAACGTAAATTAAAAATAAATTAATATTATTATATTTATTTTATAATAATATATTATTAAAACTTTAAATTTAATATATATTACCAATATAATAACTTTTAATAACTTAAAAATTATTATAATAAAGTTTATATTTAACAATTTATTACTTTATTTATAATACTTAATTTTTAAACGCATATATTTTAATTAAATCTTTTTTTTTTTATAAATATACACATATTTAATTTTTTATTAATTTACTATTATTAAAATTATTATAAACTAATAATACTTTATATTATATAATTAATTATTTTACAAATAATATCTTTTTTTCCTTTATTATTTCGCATATATATTTATTATATTTAATCAATTATTAATTTTATAAAAATTACATATTAAACATTAAATAAAAATTATTATATTTTTTTAACTTAAAAATATAATTATATATAATTAACGCTTTTTTTAATAAATTAAAGAAATTTACTATAAAATTTATTTAATATTTACATAACATAATTTTTTTAATATTTTCATTAATTTTTTTTATTTTACCGTTTTTTTTTAATTATAATAACATAAAATATTTAATTGTTAAGTTTTTTTCTTATATTTATTTAATAATATTTACATTTATAAATAATTTTATATTATTGTTAATCCACTTTTTTAAATAACCATATATATTACCGATATATATAAATAATAATTAATATTTAACAAATATAATACTTTACATTAAACATACTTTAATTTATTTCATAACATATTTTATAATTACCAATAAAATATATATAATAATCAATATATAATTAATTACCCACCGCATTAATAATATTAAAAATTAAATTAATTATAAATTAAATAGTAAAAAATTTGGCTTTTTTATTAATTAATAAGTAAAGCACTTAACAATAATTTATTATATAATTAATATTATATTTAAATGTTAATATTGTTTTAATGCCTTTTTTTATACGATTTTAACCGTAACATAACCTTGGTTATGGTAAATTTTACGTAATTAAATAATTAAATCATTATATTTTAATATTTTTTAAAAACTTATAGTTTTATATATTATTCCTATTATATGTAACAAGTTTTTAAAAATCTTATTATATTTAATAACTTTATATAAATATTTTTTATAAATAACAAAATAATTATTTATTTATTCTTTTTTAATAACATTTAATAATATCGTTTTAAATTATAAATATTTATATATTGCTTAAAAATTTATTTAATTTAATTTGTAAAAATATTAAATTATTTTTTTACAGTATTTTTATTTATTAAATAATTTAAATTTAATTTATTAAAAAGTTTTAATAAATAATTAATTAAAACGTTAGTTTTACCTAAATAATAAATAATTTTAATGTTATAATATTTAATAATATTAAAAAAATAAAAGATTTTAATAAATTATTTAACTTTAATATTAATTATTTTTAATAATTTATAATTTATAATTATTATAACGTTTTTTTTTATTTAATATTACTAATATTAAAATATTAACATAATTTTTAATAATTTTTTTTTTTACGTTAAATAATATATTTATATATTTATTAACTTTTTAAAAAAATAAACTATTAAATAAAAAACTTATTAATTTTTATATATATATAATTATAAAATAATTACTTTTACATATTTTTTATTAACATTTAATTTTAATATAAATAATAATTTTTAATTAAATTTTTATATAATAAACATCGTTATAATAATATTATAAATTTATTTTTAAATTATTTTTATTATAACATTAAATTTTACAAATATATTTTTATACTTTCCTATTAATATTATAAATAAGTTTAATATTTTTAAATAATTTTTAATAAAATTTTTAAAATATTTAATAATATTAATAAAAATTTTAATTTATATAATTATTTTAAATATTAATTTATCTTTAACTATTACAACCTTTATTAAATCAATTTCAATTTTTTTTTTTAATATTATAAATCTTAAAAATATTCCCTTTTTAATAAACATTTATATTTTAACAATATTAACAATTATACCATATTTAACAAATCGTATAAACATTATTTTAATTTATTCGTAAAATTATTCCTTAATATTAACCTAAATATAAATATTATTTAATAATTTAATTACCCATTTATAAAATAATTTTAAAATCTTATTAATTAATGTTTAAAATATTATTAATACGTTTATTAATTTAAATGGTATAACAATTTATTTAAAAATCTTAAATAATATTACAAAAACTATCTTTTTATAATTTTTTTATTAAATTTTAATATATTAAAAACCGTTTTTTAAATTAATAAATATATATTATTAATATTTTACCGTTTATTAAATTTGATTTTAAACGTTAAATAACAAATATATATTTTTTTTAATACGTTTATTTAATTCTTTATAATCATAACAAAAATACCATATAACATTAAAGTTATTTTTGTTAAATTTAATAATTTAACCTAATATTTTCTTAAATATTAACAAATATAATAATTTTTATAAGCTTTTGTTTTTTTATAAGATTTTACCTTTATAAACCTTTATAAAATTTTGTAACGTTTATTTTTAATAAAAATTATATTACTTTAATAATAATTTAATTAAAAGGTTATTTTTTATATTAATCTTGTATTTTATTTTTAACTTTACGTTTATATGTCTTTTCGTAATATTAAATAATTTAAGAAACTTTTATTTATATTAAGTTAAATACTCGTTAATTTTAAAATTATTAATTAATATATTTTTATATTATTATATTTTTGTTAATATATTAATTACTTTATAAACAGTTTTTTTATTAAGTATTTTTAATAAATAATAAATTAATAAATCTTTTATTAATTTTAAAGTAAATTTACTATTAAATCCTTTTAAATATATGGTTTTATTAAATAAAAATCTTTTATAATAAATTTTTTATTTATAAAAAATATTTTGTTTTAATATAAAATTATTAAAAAATATTTTGTTTAAAATTATTTTTGTTATAACGGTAAAAGTAACGTTATAACCGTTTAATATTTTAAATTTTACGTAAACAATTATATTTTATTTAATTTATAATTTAACTTTTCCAATTTTTATCATTATAAAAAGTTTTTATAATTAATATTTTATTATATTTTTAACTCAAAATTTTATAATATAATATATTTTACAATTATAATTAAAAAAAACTATAAAATTTTTACTATTATATATTTATATTTTAAATATATTGTAATTTTTTCCGTATTTTTTTTAAATAAACTTATCTTTAAATAATAATAGTTTTTTACCCCCGTTTACTTTAATTTAATAAATATAACCTTTTTATTCATTTTATTAATAACTTTGTAAAAAGTTATTAAAAACATTTACAAAGATTTATTTTAAATCTTTATTATTTAATGCTTTTTTATAATTATTATTATCTTCGTTATTTATTTTATTATTAATAAATTAAACTTTTTTATCGCTTTTATTTTTTTATTTATTAAATATTTTTTTGAATTTTTTAATAAAATCTTTATTATTTTTAAAAAACGTTTTTTTAATAATAATTTTTTTACCGTTAAATGTTATTTTATATAAAAATTGTAGTTTTTTATTATAATTTTTGGTTTAATGGCTTTTTTTATTACAATTAAAACATTTATTATTAAATAATTTAATTAAATAATTTTAATCGTTTATTATATTAATTTATTAGTTATTTTAACTAAGATTAAATATTATTATCTTTTATATAACATTAAATATTATTTATTATATATTTTTTTGTTAAATTTTAATTTTTTTAAGTTTATTAAATATAATTTTATTAATGTTTAAATAATAAAACAAGATTATTTTACCCTATAATTAAATTATCATTTTTAAAATATTATAAATTTTATTTTTTATTATTATTTATATTATTATTTTAAATTATTTTATAACTTTTTTAACCAATTTTATTATATTCCACGTTTTTATATAATTATGGTATATTAATTATATTTTTGGTATATATATATATAATATATTAATAAATATTTTACATATTTATTTTATATTACGTATAAGTATTAATAAGTAATAATAAACTTTACAAATATATTATATAAAATTAACTAAACTTTTATTTTAATATAATAACAATGTTATAAACATTATTATTAAATTATAAAATATGTAATAATTTATTAAAATTTATAAAATAACTTTTATAAATATTATTTAATTAAATATTTATTTATATATTTATATTATTATTTATTAAAAATTTTTAAATAATTTTATTAATACTTTTATTAATTATAAATAATATAATATTAATATTATTTTTAATTAATTTTAAATTTTACTTAACTTATATAACGTTTAATTATTTATTTATATAAATTTAAAATTAAAAAATAAAATAATTTTATTTTTATTTTTATATTTTACAAAATTTTCATCTTTTTAATAAAATATTATTTTAAATTATATTACTTTAACCTTACATTTTTAATCATTATATATAATATTTTCCTCGTTATTATTATAAAAATTAAATTTATTACTTAATAATCAACTATTATTTATTAAATTAATTAAACTTATTTTCCACGCAAATTTTTATATTAATATTAATAATATTAACTTTATTATTAATAATAATAATAATTTAATTAAAATTAATTATATTTATAATTATTAAATAATATTATTTATAAAATTATTTATTACGTTTAATACTTTTATTACCATATTATAATTTTTTTATATATTTATACTTTATACATTAAATTTTACTTTAATATTTTTAAACTTTTTATTAAACTTTTTACCCATATTTATTATATACTTATAAACGCTTATAATTTTAAAACCGTAACTGGTTTAAAAACTTATAAAAATATTTTTATTTTTAAAAGTTTTATTAATTAAACTATTATTACTTTTTCCGTTAAATATTATAATTAATATTATTATTTATTTTAATATAAATATTTATTAAAATATTTACGTATATTTTTACGTAAATTAATATTTTATTTATAAAAATAATTATTTATACATTTATATTTATAAATATAAAAATTTAAAATGTAATATTATAATTAATAATAACATTTAAATAAATCGTATAATATTATTAATTATTAAATTTATATAAAAATTACAAGAATAATTATATATATAATTAAAGTTATTTTATAGGCAGTAACGCCTTATTGGTGGCTGGTCCGTGCGTAGCAGCGGATCCACACCTTGTAACCGAATATCTAGATAAGTATGTACCAGCCCTACGGACAGACATGGAATCGGGCATATCGGTCGAAAAGGAATGGATGTCTCTTAATATGACAAATTATCGATAATGCCTTGCAGGCTATGTACCTACCTAGGTACCTATCCTTACCGAGCATCCTTACCGGTAGCTCTAGCGTGTGTAACATAAGTACGTCTTCCCAAAGCAAAAGACAATCCGCATACCTATGCATCAATAACTTGCACAGCATTTCTGATAGTGTCTTGGCCGGTCATTATTATTGGTACATTTTCATACATTTGTCTAAAGTTTTAGACCTTGGATGCTCGATGTATCTTGGTAAGTATTGTATTGAAGTATCTCTTAGTTATTGAAATCTTAGGTAACCTTAGTACATCGGTAGGCGGGCTGGGCCTACATGTACGTGCTTACCGCATGTGAGGCAGGTACTAGGCATGTAGGTAGGTAGTAGAAATGATGTATATACAGAAGCTGTGCCGCAATCTAAGCCCCCAAATTTTCCAATCCAGATCACCCTAACTTTTTAATGTAGACTTGCCATATTTGCCTAGCTTTTTGCTAGAGAACCCTCCGGTGAACTCCCCCTTGCCCCTCCGATTTAGAAATAAACCTTGCCTTTAGAAATACCCGTCCGTCGGCACCCATATCTCCATCTCAATCCCTCATCCCGTCCGCTCACTCCACCAAGAAGGTCCAAGAACGTGCAGAGACTTGTGGCCGTTCACCTCAAAGGGCTAAATATGTAAATCCACGCTCTCCTTTCTTCATCTTCTCCTTCTTCTATTTTGTTTACCCTCGGTCACACAAGATATACATTTGATACCCTTCCAGAAAAGAGTCTGCTCGGACAACTCAAAAACGTATATATATTAATTTTAACTTATTTGCCATATTTAGCTTCATTCCTGTCGGTATACTCAAACGGTCAATGCTTCCTCGGTTCCTCCTTATTTGATCATCCTGCCCCAGCTCCACCGCTACCACTTCACGCGCTCTGGGAATCGAAAAGCGCTTAACTACGCCCCTTAAATAAGGAAGCGCCTTCGTTCTTACTTATTCTCTGTGTTATATTTCAGATTGGCCCTCTTTGCGTGGGCTCCGTCATGCAATCGGCCGTACCTGATTTTTCATTTTTCTCAGGAGTGATTGAAGCCCCCGGAGATAAAATGAGCACGAACAATGCTCCACGGCCTAGACTGGCCCTGTCCTCGGCCGATACGACCCAGGTCCAGGAACGGCAGCCGAGGAGATGTCGTACCAGCAAGCCGAAAGTCAAAACAGGTTGCAATAATTGCAAGTACGTGTTTTCTGTTAAACAAGACTATCGATTTTTATATGTTACATCTTATTTCATATTGCCAATATGTAGTTATTAGATGTATCTTGTATATCATGCTAAGTAGGTGCTCTGCAATTCTAGACAACGACGTATTAAATGCGACGAGCAACGGCCAGCATGCACTCAGTGTGTCCGGTCTAAAAGGGACTGCGCCGGCTATCCGCCTCCTCCACGGACTAGACACACCGATAGGAGACTGATTGCGCCTGCGCCTAGGACTATCACCGGCCATGATACTTCCATCACGCCAACGAACCATGTCATCCGGCCTCAGCCTCAACCGCGGCTAGCGGTCGTGATGGCACGACCGGAACCTCAACAGCAGCTGTGCGCCAAAGGCCTTACTCCCCCGCAGACACCCTTATCTAGTTCATTAACAGTCCATCGGCCGTCCCTACTCACCTTTGATCCGATAGAAGGCCCGTATTTCCAACTTTTCAGAGAGCGTACAGCTAGTGAGTTGTCGGGATTCTTCGACTCGTCCTTCTGGACAAGGAGTGTTCTACAAGAATGCCATTCCGAGAAAGCTATTCGGCACTCGGTTGTCGCTTTAGGGGCTCTTTACAAGACATTGGAGAAAATGTCGGAGTCGCCGCCCAATTCGCCAGCTCCTATAGTCGATCTGACAGATAATGCGGCCCGGCACTGGGAGGTCGCCTTTAAGCATTATTCATTGGCTCTGAATTCGATGTGGGTTATGACTTCCCAGGACCAGGCGTCGCAGAGGATGAGTCTCATGGCGGCGGTGTTGCTGGCTTGCTTTGACTCGTTCATCGGTGACCATAAACAGGCGATCGGCCAAATCCAAAGCGGTCTCCGGCTGCTAGAAAATCTGCGTGCTCAGCGTAGAAATTCTTTCCTTCCTAAACCTGAAGAGCCGGTTGAACAGGATCTTGTTCAGATGTTCACTCGGTTGGCCATTCAAGCGAAATCTTACGACATGGCTTTCCATTTCCCTCAACCATTCGTTATACGCCTTACTCCACAGCATACCGAGCACCCCATGTCCCCCCTCTCCGATGGGGGTTCACCGGCGTTAACAGCCCAACCGCAGACTCCAGACATATTTCAATCGTTACTCGAAGCGAGAATGGCATGGGATAATCTGTGCGAACAGATGATGCGGTTTACAGAAAACCTGTTCACATTTACGACGGCGATGAGCCCCATGGGCGTGCTTCCAAATTCTTTAAGACAGTATGGTACGGGCTTCGCCGATAGAATATCCGCCTGGTCCAGGGCTTTCGAACCTATACTGTCATCTCGTATAATACCCGCGAAGAGTAGCCAAGAGAAAACCGCAATCGCTGTTCTGAAGATGAATCAGATCATGGCCGAGATTCTATTTTATATGACATTTAGTGATACAGAGCTTCAATTCGATACATACCTGCCGCAATTTAAGGACATTGTTAACCTAGCTATGGAGGTTGTCGGAGATGAAGAGCGCAGGGCTGCTGCGAAGCGATGTCCGAATCCGGAATTTTGTCATCATCAGCCAACTCATCCAGACGCCTTTGGCGGACAGTACACAGCTCGACATATCAAGCCGAGCTTTAGCGCAGATCTGGGCATCGTCCCTCCTCTTTTTGTTGTTGCCACGAAATGTCGAGATTCCGTAACCCGGCGCCAGGCTATACAACTGCTGCGAACTAGCTCGCGAAGAGAAGGTATGTGGGATAGTGAACTAGCGGCTCGTATAGGTATGTGGATTATGGAAATAGAAGAGGGCGATGATGGCGCCGATGACTTCGGACGTCCTACGTCGAGCTCAACCGATATGAGCAGACTTTCTACGGGAAGCCCTAGCGCCCAAACTGCTAGATCTCCTAGCTTTGGAAACGATACTCCCCTCGGTCCCGGCGGTAATGCCCGCTGGGCAGGTCGAAGGGAGAGTGTACCGATATCACCGTATGTGAGGGGGGCTATACCGGAGGAAAGGCGTGTTATGGTACGGGCTGTCGAGTTCGATCTTCGCGAACGTGTTGCAACGATTCAATGCGGCACACGAGGACTGATCCCCGGCATGCGGGACCCGCGAACACAAGCCACTAGGATCGAGTGGTGAAAATCTATTTCGTCACTTAACTACCTAAAACGATACTGCAAAGTAATCAAAAGCTGGTCTAACTTGTGCATACCACCTTGTCTGCCTCCTAGAGGGGTTTTACTTCGATTCGGATATTTGGATTTATTGGCAGGACCATTCGTTAAACACTACAAGGCTGGTTACGAGAAGAAGGGGAAAAGAAATGATTAATGTTGGAATGTTAGGATTGTAGGGAACAGAAAAATGATGTTGTTTCCCAAATATCTATCTGTATTGTTGTTGGTGCTATAACTTAGACTCTAAAAGGGTTCTATTTGATGTTAACATGATACCATAGAGAAGAATAATAGGGCTGCCAACGTCTGGTGAGATGTATAAATTTTGGATGCATAGGTACCTACCCAATAGTTAAAAAGACTCCTTCTTGTATATGTCTGGTAGGCTCACTTTGCAATTGTATGTTCAATCAGCCATTACTTACCTCCAACGGTTAAGCTAGTTGACCCAAAAATGAGCCATGCTTGAGATTGAAGGGGGATTATAATACCATATCTTCAAAAATAGTATAATATAGACACTAGTCAAGTACCTATATTATACTCGCAAGTTGTGTGACACTTAATAAGAGACGCCGCAAATGTAGATCCTGTAGGAATCCTATCTAACATTACTAACTCCTTGTTACCTCATTGTAGTTGCTGACATATCCTGTTCAAGTTGACGTAGTTATCCACTATGTATATGAGTATAACTAACGTTAAACTATAAAATCTATCAACTTATATCTTTTTACGCTTCCCCTTTCAATATTTCCTATAAAAGAGAGACTAAACGAATAGTAGAAATAACCAACAACCCCGTATTTCAATTCGATTGATTGGTTATCGCACGTGCCTAGAATGCCGCGCACTACGACTGCGGCTCAGCAAAATACCATGGACCAGAGAGCACTATGATTCGTTTCATCTAACCGGGTTCACGTAATCGTCTGGAGACCACATGTCGCTCTGAAATGCATTAGTTTCGGGATCCCTCGGGTTTAACTTAATTCTTTCCCCCCAGCATCCTACGTACGAATAAAATAATTGTACGTTAGCAGGACTCCGCACGGATAAAACGAAAATATAATATGCAAGCCGGTGTTTTCAACGGAACAAGCGGCGACGACCCCGCGTCGTCGTCGGCAGCAGCGGGAGGTATCGGAGCAAATGGTCATGCAAAGCGAACGCGAGTCCTGCTTAGCTGTGCGCCTTGCCGCAACTCTAAGCTTAAGTGCGACCGCACAACGCCGTGTGGCCAATGCATTCGGAAGGGTAAGCCGGAGGGCTGCCTCTATGCTCCGAGACCCGAGAAGAAGAAACCGGCAAAGAGCATGGCTGCACGTTTAAAGAGACTCGAAGGGAGTACGTATATATATCCCGGGATTACACACGCCCGGCCATCCCGCTCCTTTCCGTTCCTCTTATTAATTTAATATACTACCTACTTGATCCATCCTATATCCCTTCTTACTTTCTCGTCTTTCATATCCTGAGAGTACTATATCTGAAATAACTCAACCAAGATAAAAAGTAAAATCTTACTAAGACCCTGCTATAGTGGTTCGCGGTATGATCGATACGGAGGGCTCTATACCAATAGTTCCTACGGATAGGAAGGCAGGACAGGAGCAGAGTGCCGGTGGTCTCGTTGTTCAGGGTGAGAAAGCTACAAGTTACGTCGGTGGTACACATTTTATGGCTATTTTAGAGGACGTGAGTGCTCCCCCTTCTCTGAATCACTCACAGCACCGCATTGGTGACTGAGTCCACGTATTAGATCGAGGATCTTAAAAGCTACTTCGAAGACCCACTTGATGATGGCGACGAGATCTATGACCCTTATGAGAATACCGGACCAAATGAGCTCTTGATGTTCTCACGGGGCATCCCTAGGGATAAGTCGGAGCTACTAGCCCTCTTACCAGAGAAAGCTGTCATTGACCGTCTGATGAATCGCTACTTCACCTCTAATAGTCCTTCTCAACGTGAGTCCTCCCAAAAGAAACTCTTTTATCTCGAGTGGACTTATCTTCCATTATGATTTTATTGCTCACTTTTTAAAGATATTATTCACATCCCTACATTTCTGAGAGAATACAACGAATTCTGTAAAGATCCTGACCGGGCACCTCTGAACTGGATAGCTATGCTCTATATGGTGTTAGCACTCGGTGTGTTCTTCTCTTCATTTGCCGCGCCGCATGAGCTTGCGAGCGATTCTCCTATGCCAGTCATGGACAGGTTCAAGCAGTACAGGGGCGCCGCTGGGTGGGCTCTGATTTGGGGGAAATATTCCCAACCGAACTTTTATACGCTTCAAGCATTCCTATTATATGTTGAGGGAGATTTCATGACGAATCGCGACCATCGTATGAATTGTTACCTGCTTTCGTCTGTCTTGATCCGACTTATGTTGAAGATGGGTCTCCATCGCGATCCTAGCAAACTACCTAATATCACGCCGTATGATGGCGAGATGCGGCGGCGTCTGTGGAATATCGCTATTCAAATCGAATTGCTAGTCGCATTTAATCTAGGTCTACCTAGTATGGTCCATGGAATCGAGACCGATACGGAGCTGCCGTCACATCTAATGGATACCGATTTTGATAAGGACACCAAGGAGCTGCCCCCAGCCCGCCCCGATACGGAATATACGTCGCTTACCTACCCGATCAACAAAGCAAGGATGATACGTGTGTTTTTCTTGGTCGTCCGGCAAGCACATGCTCTTAGAGTCCCGACGTATGCTGAGGTCATGAAGCTTGATTCTCAGATCGAAGAAATATGGAATAATATACCTCCACTTATGAAAATGAAGCCGATAGAAGAGTGTGTTATGGAAGAACCCGTCCGGATTATTCAGCGATTCGGTATCGCGGCAATATATCAAAAAAGTCGATGTGTCCTTCATCGACGGTATCTTGCCGAACTCGTACCAAAAGAGGAGCACGACTACTCCCGCCGAATATGTTTTGAGGCGGCGTTGGCATTACTAGACCTTCAGAATACTATGCACGAAGCTACTAAGCCGGGTGGCATGCTGCGCCAGACAGGCTGGTTCGTTGCAGCATTGGTGGCTGTTAATGACTTCCTCCTGGCGGATATGGTCCTCGCCCTCATGATTCAGGATGATAAATACTGGGAGGAGGGCAGCAGTCCCAGCTGGATAGCCCAAAGCTCGCCGCCATTCACCAAAGACAGGCTCTTGTACCTGCTTAAGAGGTCTTACAACGTCTGGTGCGATATGTCAGGCGACGCAAGGGAATTCAAGAAGGCCGAAGAGGTCGTTCGGACTATACTCCAAAGAATCCAGGCGAAACTTCAGATCGATACTTCCCTTTTCCCTAATACATCGCCGGGATCATTTGTGAACGAGAATACCGAGATGTTGGAGATCGCAGATTTGTCGATTAGCAGTGGCGGTCCCTCAACAATATCTAACAGTAATGAGCCTGGAGTTGAGAATTTTGCTGATTTCGGCGCCGCCACGACAAATACAATGGACGCGAATGACATATCGGACTCTCCTTGGACGATGCAGAATGGCTATGACTGGGTAAGTCATACCTGATGATTTGTTCTCTTCCAGGTCGTGGCGAAATTGCTAATGAACCCGCGTAATATAGCGCTACTTTGATCCCATGGCGCATGATGGCGGACATATCAATCCCGCAATACAAATGACGCAGGACGCTTGGCTGGCCGGGAAGACAGCAGAAGACTTTCCCGAGTTGTTAGCTCCAAACGCATGGAGCTTCCATCCATCGTAATTCCTCAACATGTAGGGTCGGAGCTTAGGAACTTGACATAGTACGCAAAATGTTCCCCTCTAACCAGCATTTTGATCATCTTTGCAATGTGCCGCGAATGCAAAACCACGTCTTCTATCGCCAACTCACATCTTGAATGCCGTGGGAATCTGGGAATCTGGGAATCTGGGAATCCACAGCCGTGATAGCCGTCTGAATTCAGGGGTCAAAAGCCAACGGAATCGTCCGATCCGCCTTTGATAAGGTATCAAGCTTCAAGGTTACAGGATTCGTAGCATCCTAGCTTTTCCAAAGTGAGGAATCCTGGACTGACCTAGGAGGGTGTGGAGAAGTTCTCGAAGAAGCACGATCTATCCGCGGGGTATTATTTTCAACCCCGCATAGTCCCTTATTGGTTAGCCCTGCAAGTTATCTCATAGTTTTCGAGGGGGGCTTATACGCTTTTTTAGTGTTGGCTCATAAATGCAGCCCAAGCCTAAAGAAAGGTCTTAAAAGGAGCGAACAACAGCCTCATAAGACAACAGAAAGAACTTGAGGAAAAGGGTGTGCCCGCGGAAATGCTCCGTTCGGCCTAAGAGAGGGGGCATCCTTGGCGCTAGAAGGACCTCGCTGAGGTGATGATGGCAACGTAGTGGTTGAGCCTCCAAGAAGGATGTTCGCTTGGCTGTTTTGTACGTAATAGAACGCAACGTCCGACACGACTACTTGTAAAGGAGACGGTCCGAAGCTGGACAGAATTTCACATTACAAGGGAAGAGCTGCCAGGGCTTTGAAAACGTGCTCGATTGCATCAATACGACCCATGCCTTTTCTATTTACTATTTACTAAAATATACCTAATGCCAAGATATCTTCGCCATTAGATTCCACTCTGGTATAACAACAAACCCCTCGCTTGCATCGGCCTTGATCCCGCGAGTCACCTGGATAGTGGACGGTCTGAAAGCTTTCTAGTTAGCGACGGGTCGGGTCGACAGGCTCGAATAGGCTTAAGATGCCCCATCATCATCATGCGAAACATCTCTTTTGACGATTGGTTTCACAGCGTGGACCGGTCTAGTCCCTCTCTCTTTCTCTTCTTTTTATTTATTTATGGCCCCAGATTCGCCGAATTGGGGCACGCAGAAACGAAGCGAAGGGAACGAATACTTTACTTGGCCCTTCGGGAGTACCTACCTAAACGAAGCCAATGGTTTCGCTATATCAGCGCTCATGGGGACGGGGACGGGGACGGGGTATAGTTGGCAATGGATACTTGTGAAACTAATAGAAATGCGTGTGTGTATGTATGTATGTATGTAGGAAGATAGCCCTAGCTACCTAAGGAGGTAGTTATCTATTATCGAGAGGGCGCTCTCCCGTCTCGTCTATGTAGAGGTATGCATAGGGTTCACTGCAACGGCATGCAAGATCATATCCTCCAACGGTGATCCGGGAATTGCGGCGGCAACGTTCACGTGCATTTGCGGTTTGCTGGGGTTATGCTATCAATCGAGTTGCAGCAGCGGACTTGCTGACCGACTCGGACTTACCATCAGCGTACCTATCTATCTATCTACTATCAGATGGCCTCTCCTCTTTTTTTTATTTATCAGATTCTCGTGCTGCGGTAACACGGGGTTCTCAGACGTATGTAAATCCCCAGGGCTCGTCTTGGCTTTTTTTTTCTCTTTTCGCAACCCCGTGGCGCAAAGAGGGTTGTCTCCTTAAGGTTACCTGGCAGCAAAGATAGGGACTTGGCCGTTACGACATTATGGGATTCGCGCCTATCTCGTTACTGGGAGACAGCGTGTCTTATTGGCCGACGGTTATCTGTCGATCCCTTTTTTGGGGGGAAGAGGGAAATCTGTGGCCCCCTTCGATCATCTAGGTATCCTGCGGCTGCTGGAGAGAGCGCAATAATATTATCTATGGCGTACTTTTTTCCTTTTCTTTTCTTTTTTTCTTCTTCTCGTGCCGTCGCAATGCAATACGTCTTTGCGAACCGGTCCTGTCAACCATGTGGTTTTGATGCTCTCCGCAGCGCTACGGGCGAAAGGGGGATTTAACCTTAGGTAGGTACCTATCAGCCTCCTTTGGGTCTCCTCTAATCAGATAAACCCCGTCGGATAGATGATGGTGTGCGCAACAGTAAGGCTGGATACAAGACTATGTTGTTTCTCCCTATGTGGCATGTGGACGCTGGCATAGGTCCGATTAGGGATTAGGGGTAAGCATCTTTAGGGCCTTGTCCGTCTTTATGATTATATAATACCGGCTCTTCATGTTTCTATTAATAATCTAACTTAGAGCGATACCTGCCTCTGAGAGAAAGGATCTTGAAAAGGGACCACCTCCGAAATTAATCAGAAGTCTTACGCGTAGAACATGTGTAGATGGTAGATGATGATTAAAGGGGTTTAGGTATTGGACAATGGACAATAGGCGTTAGTAGAGTTAGGTGGGTTAGGTGGATTAGGTACCTAAGGCTAGGCTTTTAGGGGGTTTATTGAGAGGCTGTTATGTAAAGTCCATATATCCTTAGACGCATTATCCCGTAACCGACCCAACGATACTCCATCATTTTACATAATCTTAATCATGCCGGTATCCAGTTTGCTGGAAAAAGAACCAGAGAAAATTTTTTCTTTTTTCTTTTTTCTTCGCTCTGATAAGCTGTGCCGTCATGAAACCGAACCGGCTTGTTACCTACCACTGCCACTAACTATCCAAATCCGAGAGAGTATTGGGCCAGGTCAAAAACTCTTAAAGAGACGAACCCCGAAAACGTGATTAACAGCTGTCATATAAATGGATCTAGCAATTCCCATTAGCTAACCTCACCAAGGTTGTCTCCATTCCTTAAGTAACGTCAGGAACATCAAGTACCTACTTACGCGCCCATAGTCGGGTAAGTATGTAGGTACGTAACTTAGGTACCTGGAATATGATGTTCGGTCAGGCTCCGATCTCGTTGTATTCCATACCTACGTAGGTAATCAGACCGCATGATCGATCAGACCAATCAACTGCGGCCACCCTCCTGATTTGAGTATTACCATTGATAGGTACCGCATGCGATCAATCACGTATCGGATCGGCGAGTTATCACCCGGGAAAAGCGATAAGACCTCAGAAACCTGACGACTTTTGATTGATGAAAAATCGGAAGCTTTATTCCTATGCGGTATACATACGATAACCAACCGTCTTCGAATAATACATACATAAATACATAGTTACATACTATTAGATTCGTTTGACTTATACGAACGCATTCACCGCTCTCGACTCTCGACCGTAGCATTTACACACTTCTGATACTTGTTATGCTACATATTTCAAATTAACCCCCTTATCAAGTAGGTACAATTATGCCACCTGCCGTACCTCATGTAGATAAGGTACAAGTAGGTACCTTCGTTCCCTTACATCTAAACGACCAGTTAGTCACCTTTTACCCTGACCTATTTTAGGTAGTCTGAGCCGCTTTCCGACTTCCATTACTAATAAGCTAACTCGTGCTGTATTAGACTTCTATCTCGCCATCCACGCTCCAGCCTAGCGCATTCTTATTGGGTTATTCGTGCGACTAGTCGAAGTAAGTGTTTCTTTCTTATAGTTATGTTAGGTACCTCTTAGTCTTACATATGTACAATTTCGCATTGCCGTCAGCCTCTCCTTGTCAGTCTTACCTTTAATCAATCTTACATATGTATATACACGCGTTTGTGTATAAAGTCAAGATAAGAGATTTCGAACGTCATCCATCAACGTAAGGAGGTTACCTTGGGTTAGGTACTTAGGAGGTCTTGGGAGGTAAATTTTCTTAGTTCTTTTTTTTTTCCTTTGTGCGCTCGCCTGGTGCTTCATACTACTTCGTGCCATTCGTTAGCACGTACATACCTAAAGTATGCAAACCTCGCTCCGGTTAGGGTCGATTAGTCGATTAGATCAAATAACTGGTGGCGGTTCCCCGGATTTCATAAGAGCCCCTCCAGCCTACCGCCTACGTATCTTAATAGTCCGCATCTCGTCATACCCTCCATGTCCTTTCCCAACCTACATGTATGTATCTACTAGTAATTATACTATGCCTTCTTGATATTAGGTATGTGCATACATATAAGGCATGTAAGGCATGTATCAATTGATGTCTGCATATGTACTTCAACCCTCCTTCTCCCTAACCTATTAACCTATTAACCTATTAAGATTCCTCCTAAACAGCATTTGATCGATCCACCGGGCCTACCTTGCTATTACATATATATATATATACCTCTCTTCGCAACTACGCTTAGGTACTAACCCGCCCGAAGAGTACCTCCGTCAAGGTCCTCAATCGGGACTTTGCAGATAGTCAAAAATTCCCATCCGTAGTATATATCCACTTTTCAGACTTTCAGATAAGTCGACTAAGGATATTGCGTGCCTGGTTCACCAGACTGGACTGGACCTACCACGAACGACCACGGTCAACGGCCACCCAACCGCCGGCAAAATTAAACTTGTGCCTACCTCTTGCCTACCTAACTTACTTGCCTACCTACATCTGTACCTACTTTGAATTTTTTGGGTTACTTGCCCTTTTTTTTTAGTCACTTCCAGTACTTTGCTTCCACTTTCTTATAGTCACCTGAGCTTTTTTTTTTTGGTTCCACGCTATCTTTCCTTACCTTGCTTTACCTTGTCTACCTTGCCTACCTTGCCTACCTTGTCTACCTTGTCTACCTTGTCTACCTTGTCTACTTTTCTATCCACCTGGGCCACCTGAGCAAGACTTATCGTCAACCCTAGAAATAAGTTCCGCCCCATTGGCCCTTACCTGACCCTTCAAAGTCAACCCACACCACAAGTCCATTCTTCGGCAGCTTCTCTTTACAGTTTTCTTCAATGGGCGTACCGACTCCTTTTCCTCTTCCATAGTTGCGGCTTCGGCTTGGTCTCTTCGCTTCTTGCATCATCGGGACGTCACGCGCCCATTTAGCTGTCCGAGCTCGCCTCTAATTTTTCACGATATTGGCAACCTAGCTATTTTGTGTTACACAAAACCTCGAGTGTCGAGACCCCGAGTGGGAAACTGGATCTACGTCGCTATGCCTTCCTCACATCCCATTCCTATTCAGACTGACCTGGTTTTTCGGCCAGTACCTAGCGAGAAATGCAATGCTTCCTCTCCCAAGTCCTCGGCGACGCACGGTACAAGACACAAGCATACGCGGTCTTCTTACTCGGAGAGCTCACCTCTTACTGCCATGTCCAGAAACAACTCGTTGACATATCGCCCTCTAAAACGGTCAACACCGTCGCCAGATAAGACCATTGCTGTTATTAATGCAAGTGGTCGCCAAGCCGCCTCTTTAATTCGGATAGCTACTGCTGTAGGCTATAGGGTACACGCACAGCTGCGCAACCTAGAAGGTGTTATAGCTTCCGAAGTATCGATGAACCCGAGTGTCACAGTTTTTACCGGAGAGCTCTATGTTAGAAATAAACCCGACGACAAAAGGGACGTCACTGTTCACGGGCACCTCCCAGGGATTCTAGTCAATCACCGTCTAATCTCGCAGCTCTTCAACGGCGCACAGCTAGCTTTCATCAACACGACATTTTACGGCAACGAAATACATATAGGAGAAGCCATTGCGGACGCAGCAAAAAAGGCCGGCGTCCAGCATTACGTATATTCATCCATGCCCGACCACGCAGCTTATAATCCAGAATGGCCCTCGCTACCCCTTTGGGCGGCCAAGCATGAGGTAGAGAAATATGTTCGCAAGATAGGGTTACCAGCTACCTTCCTCTATACCGGAATATACAACAACAATTTTACGTCGCTCCGCTATCCGCTATTCTGCATGGAACTGCAGCCAGACGGTTCGTTCGTGTGGCAAGCCCCCTTCCACCCGCACGCGAAGCTTCCCTGGTTAGACGCCGAGCACGACGTTGGGCCAGCTATTATTCAGCTCTTTAAGGACGGACCAGAAAAATGGAATGGGAAGCGTATAGCGTTAGCTTACGAGTATCTGACGCCCGTAGAAGCCTGTAAAGCGTTCGAGCGAGGGGTAGGCAGGCGCGTCCGCTATAAGCACGGGCCCATAGAAGTAAAAGTGAAGATTCCAGAGGGTTATCGAGAACAGCTTGAGGCGCTGGAGAAACTCTTCTCGCCAAATAATACCGACCCCAAGAAGCAGCCGCCGTATTTTGGAGACCTGGAACTCGATAGAAGATGTCCCGAAGATGCTTTAGCATTATGGGAAGGGCCGAGGGGACTCGAAGAATATGCTCGCGAAATTTTCCCACTGGAAGAAGAGGCAAACGGGATGACTTGGATGTTTGACTGTGATGAGGTCCCTGTATTTAACGGCCCAAGAGAGGAAATTGAAGAGGTGGCTGGTAATGGGGATGATGAGGATGGCGATTGTGATGACGAATCCTTAGATGAAGGGTTAATAATGGTAAGCGACACTTACTGCTTCAACCTACTTCGGGGCGGGGATATGTTCAATTCCCGAGACGAGGTTGTTCCTATTATTTTTAAAAGGCAGACTATCCTCTTTATATATAGTACGAAGGCTAACTACAAATATTACAGAGAGGGCTTAAGAGAGATGAAGAGTCATGGCTGGCATAAGTACCTAACGAGTTGCTGCGCGCGCCATGACTTCCTCAGCGAACAGGAACGCGAGGAGAATATGGTATTATTCGCAGGCTTGGGAATTCCCCCTGGAGGACGTGACTTAAAACTCGAAGTTACTATTCAACCCTCTTACGCATTGTTCTTCTACAGCATTTACATAGGCTCGGCTACTCTAGACAGGCCTTCGGCCCGGCACAACCCGATAGGACGACGGTTATACGACAGGAAAGCATATTCGGCTGTCAAGACTTGATAGGATATTGCATTTGAAAACTGGCAGAGGCGTCCGGTCATCGCTAGTGCATTGGTTGCCGGGGACATTATGGCGATTAGAGCGTTGCACGGCCATATATATATCTTCTATATATTAATCGGCGTTGGGTTACAAAAGTTTCTCCTCGTGCCCGCTAGGTCCTGGAACGCCTGAAGCGACCTGGATGATTGGCGAGGTTGTTTTCTTGAACGGGTTATAGGACGGGATTGGTTCTTTAAAAGACGAGGGGCTAGTCACAAGTGTATATCCGGCTGGCTGATTTACAGAGAGTTGCCAAATAATATTAGGCAGGAGTTTAGCGGTCCGTATGGTTTGGGACGTGGGCATTTGAAATACCCAAGCTGGCCGGGATAGGGAGGACCGAAGCCAGAATAGCTCAGCTCATCTAATTTACTGCGATAACATCTCGCGAAGCACCGTTGTTATCTTTAGTGTCTATATGTAAGGGATATATATGGTCCATATTGTTTGTAGTTGGTGACTGTTGGGCATGAAATTTCATCATATCGCTCTCTGCTGAGGTAATGTAATTATGCACCCAGGAAGCTTTGGCTTAGGAGATATCTTCGTTGGTTATTTTAAAGGGAAAGTAGAACACTGTTACATGTACTGATCTCTAGCAACCATCACAAATATCTTGACATCCTCTATAGCCAAACCCAGACCCCCAAGGCCGGGTTCCTCGAACACCTTTACAGCGGGCCAATTCTCGCCCCTTTATCTTCCCGTGGGGCGGGCCCCCGCCCGGGGGGGGGGGGGGGGGGGGGGGGGGGGGGGGGGGGGGGGGGGGGGGGGGGGGGGGGGGGGGGGGGGGGGGGGGGGGGCCGG